TTTTCTTCTTTGCTTTGTTGACGTGCTGTTCCCACATGGGTCCGCTGTTGTACGGTTCCTCTCGTGTGTTTCTTGATCGTGGCCAACAAAGCTTCTGAAATTTCTATATATTCCGCTGTGCATGTCCGTGTTGATGTTGTTATAGTGAAGTCTTATAACGATCTATAAGAATTTCCAAGAAACCACAGAAGGATAAAAAAGATCAAGAGCAAGGGGAAAACTAGTTTGCGGGGAGAGCGAATCAAAACAACGTCGGCTATACTTCTAGAAACACAAATTTAATTTACAAAACCGCTGAACAAATGATTTACAAAGTACTTTCCTTGTGTTTTATCCGCATCATGTTTTTCCTGCACTAATTGATGTTTCTCTTTTTAGATAACGTCGAAAATTGTCGCTTTTTAGCTTGAGGCTCCTGTATGTTTGTACAGTTGTTTTCACTCACCAAAATAAAACCGGCAGTGTTTTTCTCCGCCTTCTTTAAACAATTTTCCACCATGCTTTGATCACGTGCTGTTGTATCCCGAGCGGGGTACAATTGCTCAATTGTATCACGATCGGGATACATTTGAATTTAGTAAAGACCTCGTGACTAAGAACCAAAGTCCCTGTTTAGTCAAGAGAAAGTCTAGGAATATAACAACACGAGTAATTCAAACCTAGAAGTAACTTGGGATTGTCGTAGGTTTGATTTCGATTTACACGTTATAGTTCAGGTTGTAGGTTTATCGTTAGCACATCACAAGTGATACCGTCTAAACCGACGTTACAAAACTGTTGCGCTTTTCCAAACTGTAGAAATGAACAGGAAAAAAGAGGGAAACCGACAAAGACAGCAGAAAAAGTAAGCAACCTTAACGAAAAAGACAATACTGTGGAAAGATGAAGAGAAGTTACTTGGAAATGGTTCAGCTAGTCGCTGTCTAGATCTTCGGTCTCCGAACTATCATCGTCATCGGGATTGTCCATTTCCAAGTAAAAGTTGCGCTGAGGGAGAGGGATGTGAGAACGAGCCATAGCTTTAAGATCACGGACTTTCTTGGCACTAGGTACTAGTGATGAATGGTACAACTGTTCCAACGAAACATTACCCGCCCTGTCCTTAAGTATCTTCACCTTTCTCCAGGGCTCATCAGAGGAGTAAGTGTTTCGCATCCAAACTTCGTTTGGATGGTGCACTAGCGTGACCTTGTTGGTTACTGGGTTCAACTCTTCCCCCCAGCCAAAGTTAAGCCAGTGAACGTCACGAAAGGAAGAGCTACCCGAAGAAAAGTGACGATTGGTGTATTTGCTTGAGATGAAATCCTTATAAGTTAGAAACTGTCTTTGATGCATACTGATTACCTCGAATGGGCTTCTGCGGTTGGCCTCTTTCACTACCGAGTACCAGTCACTCGGCAGATAAACAGTCGCACTTGTCTTCCTCCTCTCTATCTGTGCAAAGTCAGAGTCGTTCCTTAGAAATGTGTGACCTCTAGTGAGGAATTTATGATTAAGTACGTCGTACACGCCTGCTGTATGTAGGTCATTGTACAAGCCAACGATTGTTAAATTTTTATTCTGCCCGCCGCACCCATCCGAATAAGAAACTAATGATTTGGCACCCGTGCGGTAGGTATGGAAGAAGTGTTCGAGACAAGAAGCAACCTCCGACGAACCTCTCTTCGCAATGGTTTCATCCCACAAATACATATATCCTTTTTCCACAACCAGATCGTGAATCCCGAACACGTACGTCCACAGCTTGTGTTGGTAGAACACGTCATTGTGTGAGAGATTTGGTGTGGGTAGATTTTGCATGAAATCGAATGAAATCACGTCCACGCTATCTTTTGAACAGAAGTCAGCCGAACCTAAAGAACGTGTCATATCTGACCAGCTGGCCACAGCTACGTTTTTGTCATCCCGCATACTCTGATATCCTTTGTCCCCCATATCTTGGTGGTCCGCTAACTGCTGACGAGCAACTGTGTTACCTGGATTAGACTTAAGCGCGAGATTAAGTTTATCACAGGTGGCACAAGTGTCCGTACGGGGACGACCGAACCCTAAATTAAAGTCTGAATTGAATACCCTACGATAAGTGTGCTCGCCCACTACCGGTTTGAGTTTTGCGGGGACGGGAAGGTTTTCACGCCTAGCTTTTACTATTTCTTTTTCCCTTGCAAGGATTTCAGGTTCGTGAGCCTCTAGATAAAGATTGTACATCTTACTGACGCTAAGATCTGGGCTGAGGAATCGCTTCTGTGGCGAGTCTTTCCTTGAATAATGACTTGTCATTCTCGGGAAAGATCTAATGTGGTTTCTAACCTGAAACGGAACAGTGATTTGTTAAGAATAAAGTATTAACTAATCTCCACGTTGGAAGCGCGAAGGAAAATGGGGCGAGTAAACTTTCGCAAAGACTTCTGGGATTGTTACTAGGGACAGGGAAAAAAGCTGGCCAATCACAGAGCGGCGCGTCTCCAGTAACGTTCCCAGACAAAATCGTGAGACACATTTCGGATTCAGTTCTCCACTTCCTATCAAAACACTTAAAAAAAATCAATTCAAAAGCGAACTAAAGGGACAACTCTTTGAAATACTGGAAAATGAGGAAGACTATATTTGAGTTTCTGATATTACAGTGCAATTCTCAAAATCATAACATGGTGCACTTCCGTATGAAGTACAGTCTGCCTTCCTGTCTCACTCTGCCTATAAACCACACGACAAACTAGATTGCTTCTAGGATTGTTCGTTTAATATATTTATAGAATTTTCTTTTTTCTCTTGCACCCGCCTCGAATAGCCTTCGCTAATTGCGGGCACAAGCTTTGTAAGCTATACTGGCTTAATTTGAAATAAACTTGTTGTTGTTGTTGTTCTCTTAGCTCAGCTTCGTAAGTTAAAGGGTGATCCTGCTTGTCTAAAAGCGTGAATCTCTAATTCTATGATTTTCATATTTTTTATCTTTTTATCACTTAGGTTAAATTTGTTTATGATGATTTTACGTTGTTAATACAGCCTTTTCGTATTGTAAATAATTTATTTTTCATATGGCTAATACGACTCTGATGGGACTTCCCTGATAAAATAAAGGTGTTATTGATATGTGATGACCAACTTTCTTCAGCACCTGATAATTCTATAGTCCGAAGAAACCTTCACTTCTTATCCCCGAAAAAAAACCCGCAAATGTTACGGGCATGTCGTCCTAAACATTTTCATGTATTTCGCTTTCACGTATCTGCTAACTGACAAAATAATTTCACACTCCGATCATTTAAAGCAGAATTTTGAATTTTTACATGGAACGTCCAACACGCAGCGAAGACTTTCAACCAATCATGATACAGAGAGAAAGAGACAAGGAACTTTACTCCATTTTGTCTCTCTTTACCCAGGTGTATAAATGGGTACTGGCGACATACTGCTGGGGGGTAACCCTGCGATGGACTAGCATCCCGTCCAGGGAAGAGTAGCAATACTCCTAGGCATGCTTCATGCTAAGGAAACCGGGATGAGCTCCGGTCGTTTGGGCCTTTGGCTCGTGTTCGCCTTTACCTTTTAACATGCAAACTTCAACTTACCTGCTCTATCGTATCAGGGGATATTCTATTCGGTCGGTTGTTATGTTTTCCCTGTCTTGATTGTGGGGCTGAGCTGCTTCTTACTCTTTGGAGTCGACCTTCTCCGATGCCGTGAAGAGACATAAATGTCCTCTTACAAACTTTTATTCTTCGGTTGTTTTCTGTAAATTAATCAACCAAGAAGAATAAACGAATTAATTTATAAACCGCAAGCAGCCGTCCTTCTTTCCTCGCAGCAACGCGCGGCTAGCGAAAAAGTAAAATTATAGAAATTAATAGTAAAGAAGATAAGAGATATTGCTGCGCAGATAATCTGGTTCCCAGATCTCTTGTCGCCTTCGTCGATAAGAGATCTGGGTACGAGATTAGTGCCGAGAAAGACTATTAACCAGCAGTCTCCCTCAGGCGACTTATAAGGCACCTACCCCATGCATAAATTGTCTTCATTATCATCTTCGAGAGAAGACGCAACGTTCCCATCATGGCTTTATTAAACGAGCCCATAAAACTCCTTCCCTCCCCTTTTCAGTTCTCACGGTCATACAAATTAAACTTCCTGGATAGATGCTTTCAAAGGAAATACACATCTAAGAGGATGGACATTAGAGAACTTTTAGAAAAGACAGATAAGAAGCTTTTCAAGGTAAGTTCAGTGGATCCCGATTGCCCGCTTAGTAACATCATTCAACAAAGGTGTTTTGCTTTGGCTGTTAGCAGTTCTTTGATTTTATAGTTTGTTTGTTTGCAGTATTCTGTTGTGTTTATTTATTTCCGAGTGGATGTGCCTTATGTTGTTTCTCGTCTATTGGTTCCTCTTACTAGCCGCAACGCAGGCATACCGTTGTTACTATAGCCTGCGAGCAAGCTCTCCTATTTGGGCGAGTGAAGCAAGTCTCGCGAGAACGCGCAAGCGAGCGGCGAAGCCTTTCCTCTGCCCCTCTCTCGCGCGTTCTCGCGAGGCTCACTTCGCTTGCCCAAATAGGAGGGCTTGCTGGCAGGCTATCGTTACTACTTTTCAGGTTTTGCTCTTGCTCTTTACCTCGTTGTGTTGTTGCTGGCTGTTTAGCCTCGGGGTCTTAGGTTTGCGGTTGCTTAGGCTTGGCGATTTTGAAGTTTGGGGAGTTTTGAGATTTGGGTCCTAAGATGTGGTGTCTCCTTTTGGGGGTGCATTGTCTCGGAAGGTATAGTCCCTCGGTTTGGCCGGCAGATTTCCCTGTCCTTTATTAACAGAGTTTTGAGATTTGGGTCCTAAGATGTGGTGTCTCCTTTTGGGGGTGCATTGTCTCGGAAGGTATAGTCCCTCGGTTTGGCCGGCAGATTTCCCTGTCCTTTATTAACAGAGTTTTGAGATTTGGGTCCTAAGATGTGGTGTCTCCTTTTGGGGGTGCATTGTCTCGGAAGGTATAGTCCCTCGGTTTGGCCGCCAGATTTCCCTGTCCTTTATTAACAGTGTGGGCGAGATCGGTGTGAATAGTATACTACTTTATTTGTCCGCTTGTTCGCTTGGGCTTCCGGCCTCGTTCCTCGCGGCTACATCGCTCGCCCCTGGCGTGTGATCTCAATCTACTGTTACTCAAAAGAAAGAGAGTGCTCGCAGTCTAGGGACGTATAAAATGAATAAATAATAAAAATAAAAATAATAATTCCGTTATTTACCCTCGGCGGTATTTAGAGCACTTATGCTAGTGGGGCCGAGAAAATGTCTGAAACAAACAATTCAAATTGAACTTAACAGGGTTAAGAATCCCAACTGGCCTAGTGAGGCAAACCAGCAGCTGGCTATTTACAAGCATGGCCAAGGATTTGAACTTGGGACTACCGTGAACAAATCCAGCAAGTGGTCAGAGCGGGACTTGAACTCGGCACCTCAGAGTTACAAGTCCAGCGCTCTACCCACTCAGCCAAGCTGCCTCCTAGTAAACAAGGCACCATTCGAGTAAATGTATTTTAAAACTTGAAGAATTTAGGCCTTACACAACCCAGAAATATAAATCCGTGTAGTTCAACTTGGTTTTTAGACGTCTCTTCCCGTCTCACAAAATACAAACCAACTACGTACGTAACTGACAAGCGACGCGAACGACTTCGTAAATGCTTCAAGCAATGCCAGAAAGAAACCTTCGCTCGCAGGACAGGTAAAGGGGAAGTGCTGTTAAACAGCTTCTGCTACAGGATTTACGCGAAAATGTTATTTTGGGTACATTTGAGAAGACTACCAACATTCTCTCTTTTCGCTCAGTGAAGAAAACACAAAGAACAAACACTAAATGTATCTATTACAATAAAGACATATTGTTCACGCTCTCCTTTTTCCCCCTACAATCGTCGAGATCAAGCGCTTACCGTTAGGGGCGGCAATCTTGGTTTTTAAATGTCTAGCCTGGGGATAAGAATTAAATTTCGGGGACCTTCCCTTCCCCCACCGCTATAAACCGAGGGGCCCGCCCTCTCGGTACATTTGAAACCAAGATGGCCGCCGGTAATGGCAAAACCGCTCCCGGGGCCGGGGGTACTCTCTATAATTGCCTATAGGGGAGACTCTGCCTTTAGGAACGCAATATTTAAAAGTGTTCAAAGATAATACATTAACAGCACTTAAAGGGTATGCAAAGGTCTACACTTAGCCTGCGTAGCAGGCCCAAGAAAGAATGGGCGCGCGAGAGGGAGACACGCGTGTCTCCCTCTCGCGCGCTCGTTCTTTCTAAGCGCCTGCAACGCAGGCTAATCTACACTAGGTATGTGAAGCGTACTTTTTGTCAATAGAAGGTATAGGCGGGTTCATCGTGGCGTCATTGTTTACATTTTTGCTTATTAGCATACGAGTTAACTCATAGAAGATGTAGCCGTATATACCAATTACCGGCAATTAGGTTCAAAAATTGAGAGAGCTGGTTAATTTATGCAGTTTGTGCAAGCTTCAGCTCTTTGCAATCAGTAACAAAGAAAATAGCAGCAATCAAAAACTGCAAAATTACTGGGTGGCAAAACATTAATGAGCTCATACATTCTTTGTAAATTTTGGGGTTTTTCAAAGAAAATTTCTCCGAAACTATTTGGTATATCGGGCTCTTTCAATACTCAGAAATTTCATTTTATTAGCTTCATCAGATAATGATAAGCCTATGCTAATGAGACAAAAAATGTAAACAAGGATTCGCCTATTGCTGGTTTACACGTGACGTCACGGCGGCCATGTTGGTGGCCATGTTGGTGGTCTCTCCTCTGGGAACGAAACTCTATTTTCATGTAAATTCTTCGAGGAAATATTCTTTTGTTTTGACCCCCAGTATGGCCGCCTTGTCACGTGGTTACAAACCAAGAATAGGACAGGGGTACCTTTTCTTTCAATAATGGTATATAAAAGGGTAAGGCATCGGACCTCGGGGCGGAGCCTCCCCATAAAGAACTTTGTTGAGCATCCCACCCTCCCCCTCCCCAGGAGAGCGCTCGATGTCGACGATCTTACGGAAAAATAGCGGACTGTGAACAGTCTATACCGTGGATTTCTTAAAAGAAGTTACCTTTAGGAACGTAGTATTTGAAAGTGTTCAACTTCTTTCCTTTGTTCGTTTCGGAGAATTTCCCTCCCCTTCCTTGAGTGCCAACCCAGGTTGGGTCAAAGCTGAGGACCAAACCGCTAAGGTACTGATCTTGTCTGGCTTTATCAGGCATGTTGTTAAATGACGTCAAAATGTGCTTCTTCAGTTTGTCGTCCACTTTTTCAAAGCACTTTTCTTTGCACTTACACGGTGGTCCAGTGGTTCTTGGTGCTTGAATAATGTTTCCATTTTTGTCTTTCCGCTCCAACCCATGCACAATGGCGTTCTTGCGCACGTTCCTTTCCCATCTAAAAAACACAAATTAATAAATTAATAAAAACAAGAAAGAATGATGGAAAAAGAGGGAAAAGCCCAAGCTAGTACAAAAATCAAAATTACTACTTAATTTTACTTTTCATTTCTCAAAATACGGGGCCTCGCGACGGTGGAAATCAACCTTTCGTTTTGCCTTTCCCGCCAGAAATTTATTTACCAAGCGAAACGAAAATAGACATTTCTTTGCCCTTGTTTTGCACGACTACAACGTGAAAATTCCAGAAACGTCTTAGTTACACGTTTTGAAATTTTGGAGGAAATGTCGTACTTGTTCTCGTTCACTTTTTTTTCCACTGCCGCTCATTTTCACCTTGAATTGGTGGCCGCTAGCATTTCTCATTTTGTCACCGCCGCTTCAAAATTTTCTTTCTGTTCTTCCAACAAAAAAATGCCTCCTGTTTTTTTTTTTTTTTTTTATCTCTCGCCCTAGATCTCTCCCGCTCTTTTTCTCGTTGAGCACCGCTTGCCTGCCGCCTACTCTCTCTTTTTCTCTGTCCTTCTCTTGCTCGTGACAATTAATCTAAGCTTAATACTTTAGACAACACGGGTACAGAAACAATTTCCGCTTTCCGTTTTCGTCTTTCTTGACTCTTTGGTTGTCTCTGCTTTACAAGACGCGGGTGGCTATGCGATTTCCGCAAAAATAACCTCGAGTTGCATTTGGGTTGCCATACCCGTTGATTGAGTTATTTTACATTGGTATGCCTGTGGTGCGGACCGACGGCGGTCGGTCGGTGTACGGTCATGTGATTACCAAATTTTCTGGGATGGGTAGATTTACTTACCAACGGTGCTCCGCTGGCGCGCGCGAAGCGTGCGCGACAGCTCCCCTATAATGTGAACTGCTTTAAGAGCCTGCTAAGAACGAGAGTTCTTAAAAAAGGTCTCTGGAAGGAGACAATTTCCTGTTCCTTCAACAGTCATGTCCTAAAATTTGTTCCTAACCTTTCTGGTCGTCTCTCTTTCTTTCTTGGTCGTTCAAAGGCTGAGTCTTCGTCATCAAGCCTAAATGCACAAGGAGACAAAAAGAACTCGAGGAGTTGACATCTTTCTTGAGAACAAAGTGCGGGAAAAGGAGACGCAACAGATAGACATGTGTCCAATAAGCTTTCTGTGTGTGATTTTATTGGACTGAAAAAGGTTATCAATAAAACGTCAGGCTTGGTACAAAACATGACAATACAGACACTAGAAGAGTTTGAATAAGAGCGATGAAATTTGGAACAGCGTGAATCCCACTTTTCGGGGAAATTTTCGCTGCCGTTGCCGTCGTCGTAGCTAAGGTCCCAAGGGAGAAAAAACGCCAGCGTTTCAAAAGTCTCAAGGGGATGAATGCTGGCGGTTTTTCTCTCTCCCCCTTGTCCCCTCCCCCATTGTTTCCTCGTTTGACCTCGCACGCGGCCGAACAAAAACTGAAAATCACACAAAAAAACCGCTAGCTACATAAACGCAGGCTATAAAATTTGTTCCTTACATTTCTGGTCGTTTGGCTCTTTTTCTTGATCCTTCAGAGGCTGTGTCTTTGTCATCAAGCCTAGATGCACAACGAGAGAAAATGAGCTGGAGACTGAAAAAAAAAAATGATAAAAACCGCTAGCTACATATACGCAAGCTATAAATTTGTTCCTTACATTTCTGGTCGTTTGTCACTTTTTCTTGATCCTTCAGAGGCTGTGTCTTTGTCATCAAGCCTAGATGCACAACGAGAGAAAATGAGCTGGAGACTGAAAAAAAAAATGATAAAAACCGCTAGCTACATATACGCAAGCTATAAATTTGTTCCTTACATTTCTGGTCGTTTGTCTCTTTTTCTTGATCCTTCAGAGGCAGTGTCTTTGTCATCAAGCCTAGATGCACAAGGAGAGAAAATGAGTTGGAGACTGAAAAAAAAAAACTGATAAATACCGCTAGCTACATATACGCAAGCTATAAATTTGTTCCTTACATTTCTGGTCGTTTGTCACTTTTTCTTGATCCTTCAGAGGCTGTGTCTTTGTCATCAAGCCTAGATGCACAACGAGAGAAAATGAGTTGGAGACTGAAAAAAAAACTGATAAAAACCGCTAGCTACATATACGCAGGCTATAAAATTTGTTCCTTACATTTCTGGTCGTTTGTCACTTTTTCTTGATCCTTCAGAGGCTGTGTCTTTGTCATCAAGCCTAGATGCACAACGAGAGAAAATGAGCTGGAGACTGAAAAAAAAAAATGATAAAAACCGCAAGCTACATATACGCAAGCTATAAATTTGTTCCTTACATTTCTGGTCGTTTGTCTCTTTTTCTTGATCCTTCAGAGGCTGTGTCTTTGTCATCAAGCCTAGATGCACAACGAGAGAAAACGAGCTGGAGACTGAAAAAAAAAATGATAAAAACCGCAAGCTACATATACGCAAGCTATAAATTTGTTCCTTACATTTCTGGTCGTTTGTCTCTTTTTCTTGATCCTTCAGAGGCTGTGTCTTTGTCATCAAGCCTAGATGCACATAAAGAGAAAATGAGCTGGAGACTGAAAAAAAAAAACTGATAAATACCGCTAGCTACATATACGCAGGCTATGAAATTTGTTCCTTACATTTCTGGTCGTTTGTCACTTTTTCTTGATCCTTCAGAGGCTGTGTCTTTGTCATCAAGCCTAGATGCACAAGGAGAGAAAATGAGTTGGAGACTGAAAAAAAAAAACTGATAAATACCGCTAGCTACATATACGCAGGCTATGAAATTTGTTCCTTACATTTCTGGTCGTTTGTCACTTTTTCTTGATCCTTCAGAGGCTGTGTCTTTGTCATCAAGCCTAGATGCACAACGAGAGAAAATGAGTTGGAGACTGAAAAAAAAAAACTGATAAATACCGCTAGCTACATATACGCAGGCTATGAAATTTGTTCCTTACATTTCTGGTCGTTTGTCACTTTTTCTTGATCCTTCAGAGGCTGTGTCTTTGTCATCAAGCCTAGATGCACAACGAGAGAAAATGAGCTGGAGACTGAAAAAAAAAAAACTGATAAAAACCGCTAGCTACATATACGCAGGCTATGAAATTTGTTCCTTACATTTCTGGTCGTTTGTCTCTTTTTCTTGATCCTTCAGAGGCTGTGTCTTTGTCATCAAGCCTAGATGCACAACGAGAGAAAATGAGTTGGAGACTGAAAAAAAAAAAACTGATAAAAACCGCTAACTACATATACGCAGGCTATGAAATTTGTTCCTTACATTTCTGGTCGTTTGTCACTTTTTCTTGATCCTTCAGAGGCTGTGTCTTTGTCATCAAGCCTAGATGCACAACGAGAGAAAATGAGTTGGAGACTGAAAAAAGAAAAAAAAAACTGATAAAAACCGCTAGCTACATATACGCAGGCTATGAAATTTGTTCCTTACATTTCTGGTCGTTTGTCACTTTTTCTTGATCCTTCAGAGGCTGTGTCTTTGTCATCAAGCCTAGATGCACAACGAGAGAAAATGAGTTGGAGACTGAAAAAAAAACTGATAAAAACCGCTAGCTAGATATACGCAGGCTATGAAATTTGTTCCTTACATTTCTGGTCGTTTGTCACTTTTTCTTGATCCTTCAGAGGCTGTGTCTTTGTCATCAAGCCTAGATGCACAACGAGAGAAAATGAGATGGAGACTGAAAAAAAAAATGATGAAAACCGCCAGCTACATATACGCAGGCTATAAAATTTGTTCCTTACATTTCTGGTCGTTTGTCACTTTTTCTTGATCCTTCAGAGGCTGTGTCTTTGTCATCAAGCCTAGATGCACAACGAGAGAAAATGAGTTGGAGACTGAAAAAAAAAAACTGATAAATACCGCTAGCTACATATACGCAGGCTATGAAATTTGTTCCTTACATTTCTGGTCGTTTGTCACTTTTTCTTGATCCTTCAGAGGCTGTGTCTTTGTCATCAAGCCTAGATGCACAACGAGAGAAAATGAGCTGGAGACTGAAAAAAAAACTGATAAAAACCGCTAGCTACATATACGCAGGCTATGAAATTTGTTCCTTACATTTCTGGTCGTTTGTCACTTTTTCTTGATCCTTCAGAGGCTGTGTCTTTGTCATCAAGCCTAGATGCACAACGAGAGAAAATGAGTTGGAGACTGAAAAAAAAAAACTGATAAATACCGCTAGCTACATATACGCAGGCTATGAAATTTGTTCCTTACATTTCTGGTCGTTTGTCACTTTTTCTTGATCCTTCAGAGGCTGTGTCTTTGTCATCAAGCCTAGATGCACAACGAGAGAAAATGAGTTGGAGACTGAAAAAAAAAAACTGATAAATACCGCTAGCTACATATACGCAGGCTATGAAATTTGTTCCTTACATTTCTGGTCGTTTGTCACTTTTTCTTGATCCTTCAGAGGCTGTGTCTTTGTCATCAAGCCTAGATGCACAACGAGAGAAAATGAGTTGGAGACTGAAAAAAAAAAAACTGATAAATACCGCTAACTACATATACGCAGGCTATGAAATTTTTTCCTTACATTTCTGGTCGTTTGTCACTTTTTCTTGATCCTTCAGAGGCTGTGTCTTTGTCATCAAGCCTAGATGCACAACGAGAGAAAATGAGTTGGAGACTGAAAAAAAAAAACTGATAAATACCGCTAGCTACATATACGCAGGCTATGAAATTTGTTCCTTACATTTCTGGTCGTTTGTCACTTTTTCTTGATCCTTCAGAGGCTGTGTCTTTGTCATCAAGCCTAGATGCACATAAAGAGAAAATGAGCTGGAGACTGAAAAAAAACTGATAAAAACCGCTAGCTACATATACGCAGGCTATAAAATTTGTTTCTCACATTTCTGGTCGTTTGTCTCTTTTTCTTGATCCTTCAGAGGCTGTGTCTTTGTCATCAAGCCTAGATGCACATAAAGAGAAAATGAGCTGGAGTGACATCTTTCTACTGAACGAATCGCGAGGCAAGGAGACGCAACAGATCGATACGTCTGATCCCGTATTCAATACACCTTCCAGTACGCAAGCATTGGAAATAAATAATTGCCGCCCAAAAAAATGAAAAATGAAGAATGACAACACGATTCCGAGAACTTTAATTCTGTGTAGATTGGCCTATCAAGGATACACTCATTTTCTTTTTACATGTACCGGTATATCAGTTTGTGTGCCTTTGCCAAAACAACTGAAGATTATTCCGTCCTACAGTATTTAAGTCAAACTGAACAATACAGAAACAGCAGTGAGAACTGTATAGTTTTTTGTATTCTTTTAATACTCTTGTCTTTAACTTAGTGTGTGATTATATTGGATTGAAAAATGTTAGAAACGTATATTGTTTTAAAATATCTTATAATTTTTTCCTCTTTCTGCGTCAAACTTTAGACGGCATCTGGCATATTTATTGGTAGCGTAATGCTCTTATTAATCGATTATTTATCGCTATTCGACTAGTTTTTCACGCACTATTTGAAGGTGTACTACACAGGTATATTAAAGTAAAGGTTTTTTAGGACTCACATAACTTACAAGTGCCTGCTTACAAAGGTGACGAGGTTTGCCACACAGGTGCCCTACTGTTGCTCTAGAGGGTAGATTTTTGTCATAGTTTTTCTGCCCAGGTATTTCATAAAGTTGAACAAATCCCCCAGGAGTCCATGGGATTGAACCCCTAGGAGAGCTCAAAAAGAAGGTAAAATCTTACTCTTTGCTGCCTGGATTGATAACACTGTACTCTAGTTTTCTTTTTACCAGGGAAGCCTGGCTGGTCTTCTTTGGTGGAATATCTATTGAACAGTTGACAGAAAAACAGACAAATCGTCATTTCACAATGATATAAAGGGGCATCAGTCCAAATGAGACCTCAAAACTCTGGCTGTCCCTTTTACAGAGGTGTCTGTCTTCGTGTTGGTTAAGAGAGTCAAGTTGACTGTAATAAAATGCACTGACATTAATTTACATAATGCATGACTATTGTGTGAAATAATGTTAAGTTCAAGAACATGGAGTTATATGTTGTAGGTAAAAACTGCCTCTAAGTTAACACCTGAGTATTCAACCTGCTTTAATTCAGAATTTCCTATGTCTTCTAGCCTTAATATTATTCATTAATTTTTAGTACCACAACATTTCCACCATATTGTTATAAGTACCTTTCAACTGTTTAGTGAGTTGTGATACTTGGTCTGCCACCAGTTTCTGATTTTTAGGTCTCTCCAGTGAAGCTGCTGATGCTGTAGAAGAATAAAACCAGGATAATAGGATAATAGGATAATAATAATACATTTTTTAAAAACTCTCATGAGGAGCCCCACTACCAATGCTGCCTTGTGCAAACTTCTTGAGGCCACTGTAGGTTGTTATGTGTAGTTAATTCACATTAAAAGGAAAATGGTCATTAATGTTCCTATGTAGAAGAAAAATTGAACTGATTGCCTGAATTTTGAGTTCATTTCTTGTTTTAAAAACACCTGGTGAGTATTCAACCTGCTTTGATTCAGAATTTCCTACGGTTTCTTGCCTTTTAATGTTATTATTATACATTAATTTTTACTATACCTACAACATTTCCATCACATTGTTATTAAAAAATTAATACCTTTTAACTGTTCAGTAAGTTGTGATACTCTGTCTGCCAGTCTGAAAAGAATTGTCAGCAGTTCTTTTCTTCCTTCACTTGCTTTAGCTTCATAGAGGTCATAACACAGAGATGGAATTCCTGTACCAACTGTTATAGCAATTTTACTTGCTATCTGTGCTACAGATATGCTGCCACTTTCAAATTCTGACCTGTTGAGTATTAAATTCAGTGGTGTGGTCTGCCGTATATCCTCATCTTCCCTCAACTATGATAATTTGTTGCATGTAAATGTGTAAGAAGGTCATATATAGTAGGGGTCAAAATTACATTTAAGTCAAAATTTTTTAACCTGGGTTGATTCTCAGTTTCCCTTGTCTGACCTCGTCTCCTAGCCCTCGTTTCAGACTTGCCAAGTCATGAGTGTCACGATTTCATGACCTATCTCATGCTCTCATGTGTTGGCAACTGATGACGTTTTCTTGAAAAGTCAGACTCCAAAAAATTTTGGAGTTGTTAATTGGGTTTGTTTCTAAGTTGATAGATATCAATAGATATAGCCAGCTCAATACAAAGAAAATGCTTAGCGCTGACGCATTTGATTACATTATTTTAGCCTACAGCGATTTGCCGCTGCCACCAAATGTATGTGCAGACTACTGTTTCCCTTGTTTCAAGATGTCCACCAACAAAACAGAGAAATTACAAAACCTAGATAGTAAAAATTGATCATAATGTTTACTGCTGCAGCTTTGGAGTGACTTCCAATACCCATAATCCCCAAATTATGGAAGTCCTTCCACTTGGAAATTTGGGACAAACAAGCCATAAACATTTTTTATTTGCTATCAACCAATCATCATAAAGGCTAATTAAAGAAAAATACCATTGATAGTCTTCAAAGAGGAAAGGATATATATGTATGGTCGCTTGGAGATACGAAATTTCTCTTCTTGTATTGAAAAATATTTCACTCGTTCGCTGCGTTCACTCGTGAAATATTTTTTCAACACAAGAAGAGAAATTTCGTATCTCCAAGGAGTCATGTAATGTTCTATTTATTATATAAACACCAATTAAATACCAAACCATTTCACTTTAACAGTTTTTTGGTGTGAGAGGCGCAATTTATTATGTAGCCATAGTAAAGGTGATATTTTCACATGTAAAGATAACATGGTCTTTTCACATGTGAAGATATCAAGTTTTTGTGCAAAAGCCCACCTGGTATTTCATTGGTGTTTATATAATAAATTCTGTTCTTGGAACAATAAAGGAATACATGTCATATAATTTTTTTCTTTTTCACTTTCTGAAAATTATGTGTTAATATATGCAGACAATGGAATTTGAACCAAACCCTTTAAGTGATGAATAGCATATTTAGAAGCACTTGGGAACAGAATAAGGAAAATTCAAAAAAGCAAAACTTTGATGCTTTTGGACAGAATGTGTAGGTTGTATGGTTCTCTGTCATGCTCACCTGAATCTTGTAAAGTAAGTGTCATACTCATCAACTGCAGCCAGTTCTCTCTGCAAGATATGTATTTGATAAAAACACACACTGTATTTATTCAAATGAGCACCCAATCTCAAATTAGCGCCCTTCCTAAAAGTAGAAAAAATTAATAAGTGCCCACCCCCTCCCCCTTCCACTCAAACTCAAAAAAGTGCCCACAACCAAAATAAGTGGTCTTATTCGTTTTAGGGTTATGTTACTAAGTTTTTCTAGCTTTTAAGGCAATTTCAAAGTCACCACAAAAACTGCTTGTGGTTGCTTAAGAAAGGTAGTCATCATACAAGTGATTCCAACCAAAAGGCTTTGCCTTAAAAATTTAGTGTTTTAAAATAGCTGGTCACTTTATTATGGGACAGGGCCATATAAAAGTTTGACTGTATGTACAAAACCAGTTTTATTATTCAGAGTTATCTTACATGGGAATCGAGTTGTACTCTGTCCAGTTCTAAGTGCCACACATCAACTCCATCAGATGCACTAAAAGTCAAAGCAAAACAAAAGCACATTACAATGTTTTTTTCCTGTGTAAAGGTTTAAGGTATTTAAACATCTTGTTTTACATGTTAAACCTCTGACGTATTAAATGCCACGTCATCCCCCACTGTTGTCCAAGGAACCCTTCCCTTGAGTTTTTGATATGTCGCAGTATTTCGAAAAGATTTTACCTGCACTGGAAAGCGTTTTATCTTCTCAGCAACATCAGGTATATTTTAATTATGGGTGGTGGCACTGCTGGAAGCCTGTGACATCACCAAACACGTACCTGCCAACCCCCGGAGTTCAAAAACCTGGAGATGTCTTGAAATCTTTGCATAATGTAAGAATATCATTCTTGACAATGTCGGAATACTCTCTGAAAATCACCCCAAGGCCTTCCGAATGTTCCTGACATTGATAACAGCATGTGAAAACCACGCCAATTTTCTAACATGTATTGTGCAATTTGATTGGTTGATTTCTAACCAAATACAATTTGATTGCTCTGTTTTATTTTTTCCGATCGAGAACTGCTCAAACAAGAGCACTAAATCCAGTTCTTTTTTTATTCTCCTCTTTGATATTTCGGAAATAATGAAATTAATGAAACATTTTTGAAAAAGGCCACGGTAGGTATTGGCTGGGAGATTTTGTGCTCTAACCGGGAGACCGGGAGATTTGATGAAAAATTTGGAGACTCCCGGCAAGATCACGAGAGTTGCCAGGTATGCAAACATGGCCACTATCTTGTCTGCCATCTTGGATATTTTTACCCAGAATTAGAAATCAGTTAAAAACTGAGAAAACTGGTAATTTTGACAGGTAAAATAAAACTTAAATAAGCACTAATACCTCATTTTAGCCACAAGCTTTACTTTTATTGTCGAAACAAGTTGAAAAAACATGTTATTGTTGAAACAAGTTGAAAAAACATGTATTTTCACTCAAAAATGGCTTGACCACCAGCTAACTGACTTCAGACATATTTTGTAACCATAGTAATTGATCATCACTAAACTTGTCTCAAAATGTGCACAAGGGATAAATGAACACCTTTATTTCAAACATCAGGTGCTGATGTTTGATCATCTAGGAAAAACTCAGAAAAACCTTACAGGATTGGCCTTCTACATCTGAGGGTGTAGCTGTAAAATTGAAAAAACCTCCCAGAGTGAGGGAACAACAAACTAACCCACATATGGCATAGACCTACCCAGTCCACAAGATTCAAGTTTCAATAATATTATTAAGGTTCTCATGAAAGCAATTTTCTTTAAATTTCAAAAACTGTTTGTTATAATTTGGTTATGGCTCAGTCAATTCCAAGCATACCATACCCGCCCGCCCTAATTCCCAGGAGGGGGCGGGGGGCATGCTTGGAATCAACTGAGCCAGTAAGTTGATTTTTTAAAAATGAGGGTTATCAATAATATTTGTAAGCTGTTTGCAATTTCTTAAGTAAATATTTTGCCTTCATTTTGTGCAAACCTCATAAATTCAAAATATTATCATTGTTTTTAATCAACCATGTTGCCATGTAAACGATCAAAATCTCACATTTAACCTAATAAATGTTGTGTCCCAGAAATATATTTAGTGCGTGCAAAATTTGAGCGTCACATCCGCTAAGAATCTGGAACAATCCACAAACTTTTGAACTGAATGTGTTCAGCCATCCATACCGTGTCGTTCTTTAAGCGTTCAGAAGTAAAAGTTGCGAGGTATTCGGACTTGTTTTCCCACGCTCGACTGATAGGAATCGGTTATTTTTCCACGATTGACTTGAAGGAATAGGCTATTTGCCCGTACTCGATGGGTAGGAATCTGCTCATCTATAGAGAGGGGTCGGATTAATTTTAAAATGGGACATCCCAACAACAGATAATTACATAAGAAGTATGGCAAGAATATTGGAAAAAAGAAGACTCACTTAATAATCCAGGAGGAACCTTCTTCAGAAAGTCTAGTCCATACAAGAAATCTAACAAGACCACAGAGGGCAGTAGTATGAAGCGCCTCCACTTTATTTGCCCTCAACAATGAGGCCAAATCAATGGAACCCGGTTCTGATGCCTCCGCCATTTTGGCGAGGTGCCGATTACCCGAGTACCCAGGAGGCCTGGGGTTCGGTTTTCACTTGATGTTCGTCCTGCGAAATTTGGAAATGTTTAGCTTTTTCTTAATTTTGACCATTAAACGTGTACTTTTGAAAAGCAAATTAAAGGCTGCAGAGTTGAGAAATATAATAAATTTTATTTTCTTCTTCTTTTTTTAAATATCGCGCTACAAAATTAAAAAATCCACTGTGTGGGGCCGCAAAAGTCCGAGCTTCATTCGGAAATCTTTATAGTACAGACGATCGCAAAACAAGGCTGGATAGCTTTGTTTCACTGCCGGCCATCTGCTTGTTGAGCTCAGTATTTCAAGAAAATAGCTCATATAATTGTCAGCCGGCCTAAGTGTACAGTCGACTCCCGAACCTTCAAGGGAAATCGAAGTAAGTTCGAGTTATCGGGAGTTCGAAGAAAACTGAGAAAATAGCCGGGAGTAAGGAAAAAAACAGATTTTTCTACACAGTGAACATTTTAATCACATTTAATTGTAGTGAAAATTAAAAGATGATACTTCCAGTTTGTAAATCAGAACGTAACGTAACAAAACATTGCCTAAATAGAGCATTTGTTTTGCTACCCCTGCGGGTACTAAACAGCATCAGCCTCCACTAGCCAGTAAACTATACTGTTACAACACGTCAATGGGAAATTCATAAGTCAATGTTTCGGACGCCAGTAGACTATTTTTTTCCCGACTTTTTAAAGGCTCAAAACATGGTTCGGGTTATCGAGGGTAAAATTATTATTTATTTAGGGGAAACAAACACTACTTCGAGTTAGCGGGAGGTTCGAGTTATCGAGGGTTCGAGTTACCGAGGGTAAAATTACAGTAAATGTATCACGGAAATCCAGGGGAAATCGATTTTGGTTCGAGTTAGCGCGAGGTTCGAGTTACCGAGGGTTCGAGTTATCGAGAGTCAACTATATGTGGCTTTGTGGCTTTGTCTGTTCGGATGTGTGTTGCAGGGGCCAATAAGGTTGAAGGTACTATCAGTTGATTGCTAGGAACCAATGAGATTTTGGCATCTACACATGACATTGCTGCGCTAAAGGTCACACAAGGGCACTTTGAAACGGCCATTTTGGTTCTTCACAATTTACCGTCTTTTATTACGGTTAAGGGTGTTTAGAAGCATCATATTTTTAAAATATCTTCATGATTCAAACGCTGAGTACAGTGATGCAGCTGTTTAAGCATTCATATTTTAGTGTGGCTGCTGGTTCAAGACATTTATGACCTAATTCGGCGATCGCGAACGGCACAACGTACGTAAATTATGTCTCACCTGCTTCAAAGTGAAGAACAAAAAATCCTAGTTTAACTTGGAAGTATGCGTAATTGTGTTTTTAGAAGCTTGAACAAGAGCTGATTTTTTTAAAGCTGTACCGAGTTAATTAATTCCGTAAACATACTTTAATCTCTCTCGCACAAAGTTCAACGACCTTCTTTAAATTCACGTTACGGCAACTTACGTGCAACCATATCTGATACATGTTTGTTGTCATAAAAGTAATTAAAACGTAGAATTCAACTTACCCAGTGGCTAAGTAAAGATGGGTAAATTTGCGTTAGCGAATAAACTTGGGAGTAACCAGTTGACGAAATAATTTGAGATTGTTTCATTGAGTGGAATAACATGAGATGAGTAGAAATCAGTATTTCAGCAATTTGACAATCATTCTGTTGGAAGTAAAGTTATGAATAATGCATAATTTTATTGCAGATGTTAGAAAAGGAGGTGATTTGTTAAATCGTTCGAGCAAAGTAACCTCGTAAACAATAGGGAGAAATATGAAGAATAGGCCACTTCCGAGGTTCCAAAAACCCTCACTTCCAAAATGAGGCCACGTGCAGAACCTTTCTTGTGAAAATGAGTTTTATTTGCATGAGAATGAAAAATCATTTTCATATCAAAGGCTGAGCACTTAACCTCGTTTTGATAAAGAGGCCCGGGGAAACTCGGGAATGGCTTATTATTAAAGTTGTCACGGAGTTAAGGACTGTTTCATTGTGTAGAATCGCACGTGAAAATCTTGTGAATTATGGTGATGCAACCATCTACTACAATATAATGATAAAAGTCTTGGTATTTCGTAACTATTTAGTATTCGATGAGCCACATTTTCTTAAGAAACTCGGAGGAAACCTTAGAGATCTCCTTCTAATCAACGTTTGGTGAGTTGATATTTACTGTACTTTAACAATTTGTTTAACTTGCACCAGATGCAACAGGGAAAGACAGAGGAAAGTTAATATATAGCATGATGATCGACTCAGCTGAGCTGTGGGGTTTTCATTTACGCACCGCAATACCTGATTTCGTACAAAAACCCAGTCCACATTCAGGATGATAAAAGGTAGATTCATCATTCTTGGTACGGTTACACGGAAGCATTCAAAATAGCTCGTGCTCGCTAAGTTCCAGAAGCAGTTTTCCTCGCAGTGAAAATGACAACGAACCTCGTGTTTTTTGGTATTATTTTGCCAATTTTACCCAAAAAGCTATCGAAATATCGACGGGCTTTCGAGAAAAGGCAGCCTGGTCCCTCCTGTCGTTGTGGCGTAAAGCTTGACTGGGGGTGGACGGGTGGGTTGTAATTGGACAATTAAATGGATCGGAGTGCATGTATGGTTTTTCCTTTAAGAAATGAGACGTTCACTATGGAAACGAAACTGTTTAATCATGATTACAAAGTCAAATCTCTCAGTCTTAAATAGTCTATTTAATCCTAAGAACAGTGTCTTCAAAGACTGGGACGCACGAAGAAAATAAAGCGAAACCTTCTAGCAATACGAGCTTTTTGATTATCTCACGTTTGACAACATAACGTCATGCATAGTAGCTGTATGTTAAAGATTAAGTCTTTCAGGTAGAATTTCGCTAGAATCAGATGAACTTTTAAGGCTCAGAGAGCTGAATACACAGTCTTTAGTGTACTTTTAAAAGAGGCCTTGTCGATTCACTGTCTAGAGATGGCCCTTCAATAAGAACCTACTCCAAGGCCAAAACGGAAGGGCCAATAAGTTCAAATAACTAAATTTTCTCTATAGCACGAGATTTATCATCGTTTTTGCATAATGTTAGCGCCTACAACCTCGGATGATCAGCTTCAACAGTCCAAGGAGGAAGGAACTTTTCAGCACTCGGTAACTTCTGTATTTCCTAAGTTACCAGCAGCAAATAAAAATGCACAGGATTACAACAATTTCTGTCGCGGTGTAAAGCTTCTCTTTCATGACGCTTTACAATCCTTATGCTAGCGTGAAAAGTAAAAACTATAAAAACCGAGATAATTTAATTGTAACAGAGCTTAAAAATATTAATACATGTTCTAAAAATTAAAGTTAAAAACTTAAAAATTCAAATCTAAAAACCACAAAGATAATTTTACAGGGAATAAAAATGTAAATACGTGTATCAGAAATAAAAGTTAGAAGCCACTAGCTTTTTCTAAAATAGAAGTCTATTTCTTTAAAAAAATAGCTATTTATGGAGATATGTCCTTTGATACACTCTCGCCACTTATTTTCTTTATGTACAAGCAAAATAACCCAATCAAGAGGGCAGTGACGATCACTATCAAGTACTAACGGAGCACATGTATAGCAGCTGAGTATACTATAGTGGCGGATCCCCACCTTCAGATAAGGGCGGGCGGTCATCCAGACCCTGAGATTGGGAGGCGGGGGCCGTTCTCAATTTTTTTTTTTCGGCCTAGAATAAGAGGGGCGGCTCACCTAAATCCACCACTGTACTATCAAGATTAGGGAACTTCAGCAATGTTCATGTAACCTGAGATCAGGCTCAATTTTCGTTTCGCTTTGTGATAACATTCCGGCGGGCAAGGCGGTAGCCGTTAGAGAGAATGTAGGAGAACCGCTAAAATTGAACCTGATCTCAGGTCATGTTCATACGGTACCGGACATCCGGTGCAGTGTGAAAAATTAAGACTTGATTGACTTTATCTTCAACATGAAGATTTCAGTATCAAAACAATCAGAATAACACGTAAAATAAGATTAAGCCATGATGATGGCGACGGTAATGAGAAGGACAAAAATCAATAGGGTCAGTTATGATTACCTGAACAACAACAACGACTCTGCAAGTGCATAACGCTTTTTCGTACACTTTTTCTTGCATGCACGACTACGACGTAAAACGTCCTAATTTTACGTTTACGTAGAACGTGAACACTTAACTAAAACATCGCTTTTATTTTTCTTTTTTCTGAACTCATATACAGTCAGTTTTTGAATTCATTCTACTTCAGAAAACTGTGACGAAATTGGACCATTTGAGTTACGTTTTTTGCAGTCGTCGCCGAGGCGTGGTTGCTTAAGCTGCCACACCGAGGAGGAAAAAAAACCCGACCGTTTGTTGTGTACAACCGCCCCCTCCCCTCAAACAATTTTTGGAAAGCCTGGGGGGTTGGGGGTGGATGTACACAGGCTACCACAATGTTCTCTATCTCTTCATGTTTCCCCTATTAAACACGACGTAAGTCAAAACAGTGAGAAATCAATTAATATATTAACAACAATATGCTCCTTGGAGAGTTATGAATATATGAAAATCATGTGTGAACTGCGGGGTGAAGAATTAGATGAAAGATGATCATGGCAGTTATAGACGCAACTTTTGCAGTTGCCAAAAGAAAGCCTGAAAATATATTTAAAATATCTAGAATTGATTAATCAACGTTTTCAGTCTTTCTGAACGAACACCTTGAAAAATTTTCGCTACAACGATGAGAGAAATAAAGGTATTTAATTCAGAGTTCTCGTAGCAAAGTGCTATTTTCGCAACTACAACAAAAAGAAGTCAATGTTAATTGTGATTATTGAAAAACAAATTATGACAGCGGACCACCAAAATATAGGACGATCATTGATATCAATATGATGTACATCACAACGTTTTGACTGTATACTAACAGTCTTCACCTGGAAAGAAGTTCGACAGCTCACGCGGCGTAAACTAATGAAACACGGTGCTCCGCTGTGATTGATTGTTTTTCAGCGGCTGTGATTGTAATTTTCTTCTTTGCTTTTTGGTGTGCTGCTCCCACGTGGGTCCGCTGCTGTACGGCTCGTTTGTTGTGTTTCTTGATCGTGGGCAACCAAGCTTCTGGAATTTCTATATATTCCGTTGCGCATGTCCCTGTTGATATTGTTATAGTGAAGTCTTATCACGATCTACAGTCGAACCTCTTGGTACGGACGCCTCTCTATTACGGACAGTTTTCAATGTCCCGACAAAATTCTCATATATTTTCTTTAAAAAAAAACCCGGCTCTATAATACGGACTAGGGGTGTAACGATTCATATTCCTTGCGGCGTAATGTTAACAACATGCAACCCTAAATCCTCAATTTGAGAATAGTAACAGGGACAGGAGGATTAACAGTCGCTTGGTTCGTCACCATGTTTGAGAAGCAGACAAAGAGCGTGTCGGACATGCTTTGCCTTATTTGGAAATTCTCAAGGGGTGGTTGAAGGACAGCATTTTTACAGGCAACACAAAAAGGCGCACGAACTGCTATCGTCTTTGCTCGTCAATCAAAAACGCACATTTTTAAGAGTTCTGGATTCTGATTTTACAATATAATAACTCAATGAGGGCACCCTGGAAAAGGTGTACAAAAATCGAACCAAAATCGAAACGTGGAAGGAAAGAATCGTGAATCGAACCGAACGGTCGTAATCGCGATTAATCGAGAATTCGATTAATCCTTACACCACTAATACGGACTCTCTCTAAAACATAACCTACTTTTTTAAAGCTTGGATAACTACAGATAGCATAAAGATCTTTTCTGTTACATTTTGTACTGTAGTTACTGTTTACTGCACTTGCAAAATATCGAAAGACGCTTTTAGAATTGTGATTTACGTTACAACTTTTTACTTGCAGCATTGCGCTGTAGCTCGTTTCGTGTTAAAACAGTGATTTGTCTACGACTGTACTTACTTTGTAGCTGAGATGTACAATGTTGTATGCTAGAAAGACACTGTCTTTGTACTGTGAATTAATAAATTTAAATGCAGTTTAAAGACGCGTGTGAGCCCGGTTTTAGCTACTGACCACTTAAAACTGTAAGTGGAGTCATAGAAGTGACGTCGTCGCAGTGACCTCTTTTATACGGACACCTCTCTAATACGGACACTTTGCTCTGTCCCTTCGGTGTCCGTATTAGAGAGGTTTGACTGTACAAGGATTTCCAAGAAACCACAGAAGGATAAAAACGACCAAGAGCGACAAGGGGATAACTAGTTTCCTGGGAGACCGAGTCAAAACAATGTCGGTTATACTTCTATAAACACAAATTTAATTCACAAAACCGCTAAATATATGATGTACAACGTATTTTCCTTGTGTTTTACTGATCCGCATCTTTTTCCGTCACTAATTGATGTTTCTCTTTTTAGATCACATCGAAAATCGTTGCTTTTTTGCTTGAGGCTCCTGCATGTTTGTGCAGCTGTTTTCACTCACCAAAATGAAACTGGCAGTGTTTTTTTCTCAACCATTTTCCACAATGCTTTGATCACGTGCTGTTGTATCCCAAGCGGGGTTCAATTGCTCAATTGTATTACGGTCGGGATGCATTTGAATTTAGTAAAGGCCTCGTGACTAAGAACCAAAGTCCCTGTTTCGTTTAGTGAAAGTCTAGGAATATAACAACACGAGTTGCATCGTGTAATTTAAAGCTAGAAGTAACTTGCGATTGTCCCGATTTCGATTCTCAGTACACGGTACAGTTCAGGTTGTAGGTTTCTCGTTAGCACATCACATGCGACAAGGTGGTACCGTCTAAACTGACGTTACAAAACCGTTGCGCTTTTAAAAATTGTAGAAACAAGAAAGAAAATAGGGGAAAACCGACAAAGACAGCAGAAAAAGTGAGAAACCGTAACGAAAAAGACAATACCGTGGAAATAAGAAAAGAGATGAAGAGAAGTTACTTGGAAATGGTTCAGCTAGTCGCTGTCTAGATCTTCGGTCTCCGAACTATCGTCATCAAGATTGTCCATTTCCAAGTAAAAGTTGCGCTGAGGGAGAGGAATGTGAGAACGAGCCATAGCTTTAAGATCACGGACTTTCTTGGCACTCAGTACCAGTGAAGAATGGTACAACTGTTCCAACGAAACATTACCTGCCCTGTCCTTAAGTATCTTCACCTTTCTCCAGGGTTCTTCAGGGGAGTAAGTGTTTCGCATCCAAACTTCGTTTGGATGGTGCACTAGCGTGACCTTGTTGGTGACTGGGTTCAACTCTTCCCCCCAGCCAAAGTTAAGCCAGTGGACGTCACGAAAGGAAGAGCTACCCGAAGAAAAGTGACGATTGGTGTATTTGCTTGAGATGAAATCCTTATAAGTTAGAAACTGTCTTTGTTGCATACTGATGACCTCGAATGGGTTTCTGCGGTTGGCCTCTTTCACTACCGAGTACCAGTCACTCGGCAGATAAACAGTCGCACTTGTCTTCCTCCTCTCTATCTGTGCAAAGTCAGAATCGTTCCTTAGAAATGTGTGACCTCTAGTGAGGAATTTATGATTAAGTACGTCGTACACGCCTGCTGTATGTAGGTCATTGTACAAGCCAACGATTGTTAAATTTTTATTCTGCCCGCCGCACCCATCCGAATAAGAAACTAATGATTTGGCACCCGTGCGGTAGGTATGGAAGAAGTGTTCGAGACAAGAAGCAACCTCCGACGAACCTCTCTTCGCAATGGTTTCATCCCACAAATACATATATCCTTTTTCCACAACCAGATCGTGAATCCCGAACACGTACGTCCACAGCTTGTGTTGGTAGAACACGTCATTGTGTGAGAGATTTGGTGTGGGTAGATTTTGCATGAAATCGAATGAAATCACGTCCACGCTATCTTTTGAACAGAAGTCAGCCGAACCTAAAGAACGTATCATATCTGACCAGCTGGCCACAGCTACGTTTTTGTCATCCCGCATACTCTGATATCCTTTGTCCCCCATATCTTGGTGGTCCGCTAACTGCTGACGAGCGACTGTGTTACCTGGATTAGACTTAAGCGCGAGGTTAAGTTTATCACAGGTGGCACAAGTGTCCGTACGGGGACGACCGAACCCTAAATTGAAGTCTGAATTAAATACCCTACGATAAGCGTGCACGGTGACTACCGGTTTGAGTTTTGCGGGAACGGGAAGGTTTTCACGCCTAGCTTTTACTATTTCTTTTTCCCTTTCCAGGATTTCAGGTTCCTGAGCCTCTAGATAAAGATTGTACATCTTACTGACGCTAAGATCTGGGCTGAGGAATCGCTTCTGTGGCGAGTCTTTCCTTGAATAATGACTTGTCATTCTCGGGAATGATCTAATGTGGTTTCTAATCTGAAACCGAACAGTGATTTGTTAGAATAAAGTGTAAACTAATCTCTACTTTAGAAGCGCATAGGAAACTGGGGCGAGTTAACTTTTGCAAAGACTTCTGGGATTGTTACTAAGGACAGGGAAAAAATTTGGCCAATAGCTGAGCGGCGCGTCTCCAGGGAAAAAAGTTGGCCAATAGCTGAGCGGCGCGTCTCCAGGGAGAAAAGTTGGCCAATAGCTAGGCGGCGCGTCTTCAGGGAGAAAAGACACATTTCGGATCCAGTTCTCTTTAAGTACGGAAAAACGGGCAACTCTAACAAAAGTGCAACTTGTTATGCAACATTGCTGCAAAACGAGTTGAATAGCGATGTTGCGCGTTTTACTACCAATGTTCAAACCTGTGAACAACCTGATTTGTTGGAAAAAAGGTTTTGAGTGAGTGGCAAAACGCGCAACATCGTTATTCAACTCGTTTTGCTGCAATGCTGCATAACAAGTTGCACGTTTTCTGTTGCCCGTTTTTCCGTACCTATAGTTACAGCTTCCTAAATTAAAGGGAGACCGTACTTGTCTTAAAAAGTAAATCTCCAATTCTATGATGACCAACTTTCTGCTTTTTCCGGTGTAAAACGGATACTCTTAACGAAACAGCATCTGATACTGATTCTATATTTCTGAAGAAACCTTCACTTCTTATCCCCGAAAAAAAAAGAACCGGGAGATTGGACAGAAGGACTATAACTATAACTGTGCCAGTTACAAATTTGAACAAGAAAATTGTGTCTATTAGAAAGACGTAGTCTGTAGAACAGGCGCTAATTTGTCACGTTTTTCAGGCGAACACAAGGCGGACGTGATTTTGGGGAGTCGCTCCAAGCGATCGTTTGAAACCCTGATCTACTGTCGACAAAAAATGTGTGACCCCGGTTTGACCATTAATACCAAAGTACGCCTTAAAGCTTGCTACCATGTATCTTATTCCAATTCTGAACGAGAAAAACTCTCCTTAATGACATCAACAAATTTCCTCGTTTAATGAATGCGAAGAAACTCGAGAAGCGAGGGCGCTGCAAGCACCGATAAAAGGCGGGAAATTTAGAGGCGCAAAGCTTGCTTTTCTTCAAAGCGAATTAACATCGTTCGCAATTCTGATTGGACGTATCAATTTTTTCTCAAGTGGAAAAACATTCTTCGCTCCTCTGATTGGCTAGAACGTATTTGCGTATGAAAATTAACGACATATCTCTTCAGTTAGCCTGAGAAAACAGCCGACATTTCGCGACACCACCGCTGCAGACTCGTACCCAGTCGCTATTTAAGTGTTTTTTGGGGTGAGAGAAGATTGGGATTAGGTTGAGGCGCGCGCGGGGTCTCATGGGAAGAGACGTGTGCCTCCACCTAATCCCCAAAAACCACTTAAATAGCGACTGGGTACGAGTCTGCCACCGCTGGTTTCTCCGCGAAATGACGTGCGAGGAACAAACGCAGAAATCCATACTGATGACGTGTTACTGCCCAGATCTGAGTGGTGCTTTCCATTGATTAAGGGAAATTTTCACCCAATCCGAAGCACTACCCGGATCTGGGTAGTGATACGACATCAGCATGGAATTTCTCCGCTCGTTTCTCAGACGTCATTTCGCGGGAAACCAGAGGTGGTGTCAAAAAACGTCGGCTCCTTTGTCAGGCTACCGTTCAGTGAGTGCATCTCAATAAGTACATGCAAAATTGTGGAGGAGAGTGTGGCCGATCACAAACTTAAGATCTAGAGGTCCAGGATTCAAGTCTCGCCCATCGCGTTGTTTCCTTAGGCAAGGAACTTTACTCCACTTTGTCTCTCTTTACCCAGGCGTATACTGTAAATGGGTACCGGCGACATAATGCCGGGAGTAACCGTGCGATGGACCAGCATCCCGTCCAGGGGGGAGTAGCAATACTCTAGGCATGCTTCATGCTAAGGAAACCAGGATGAACTCCAGCCGTTTGGGCCTTTGGCTCGTGTGCGCCTTTACGTTTTAACATACAAACTTAAACTTACCCGCTCTATCGTATCAGGGGATACTCTATTCGGTCTGTTGTAATGTTTTCCCTGTCTCGACTGTGGGGCTGGGCTGCTTCTTACTCTTTTGAGTCGCTTTATTCCGATGCCGTGAAGAGAACAAAATGCAATCTGACACACCTTTATTCTTCTGTTATTTTCTGTAAATCAAGAAAGAAAAAATGAACGCATAAAGGGAGGGATGTGTTCTATCAGGGGTTATTATCGGACTATATAACAACATGTAGACGACACCACAGTTGTGAAACATCATTGCTGCGGCTAACTGAAGATTGGAAAGCCAGCCGAGATAGGAAGGAACTGGTGGCTGTAGTGTCAATGGATCTGTCAAAAGCGTTTGACACCATACCGCTGTTGCTTGCCAAACTATCAACCTATGGTTTGAACGGCAGCGCTTGCGCGCTACTTGAGGATAACTTGAGCGGAAGGATGCAGAGGATGAAAATCGGCGATGCATACTCTAGCTGGCAAACTGTAAGAAGAGGTGTACCACAAGGAAGTGTACTGGGACCGATGTTTTTCAGCATCTTCTTAAATGACCTTTTCTACGTCATCAAAGAAGTGAAGCTTCATGCATATGCAGACGACGAGTAATTATATGACTCGGATTCTGATCCTATCGCCCTTGACCAGCGTATGCAGCGCGAAGTACGGAAGGCAAATACCCGGTATACAGAAAACGGAATGATTGTCAACCCTAGCAAGCATCATGCCATGGTTCTGGGGTCTACTGATCACCAGTTCTCTCTTACCACTAAAGACCTGTATGACCTCCTGGGAATGACTATCGTAGTCGATTGAATTTCGATAAACGCGACTCGACTGACAAGTCGAGAGAGAAATTAGAGATGTTAGGTCTAGAATCGATTATTAGGGAACTTAAGCACCAGACGTTCTTGATTCATGAACGGCATGGCTGGCTGCGCAGAACTGGATCGGGCACGCGGTTTGCGTGCCAAATGCAAATCATTAAGTAAAACAACGTGAAACAATCACGAACGCCGACAGAATAATTCAGTTGAAAATGCCTTTCAAAGATTTGCGTTAAGTTTTGTTTCTTTCTTACGAAGAAAACATGATTTCAGACAAAGAATTTCTACTTTTGTATGACGAATACTCTTCGAAACCCAGAATTTGAACTTCTGGTTTCAACATGAGAACTCGCGTTTTGAAGTCCGGGTCGGTGACCGCAGCTCAAGAACGTGTTGACATGCGCAGTGGCTATCATGCTGAAAAAATACTTCCGGTAGGCGTCCGTGGTACCAAGAACGTCTGGTGCTTAAGTTCCCTGTTATTTTCCGTTACGCTCCCCGGAGTAACAAAATGACCGACTGAAAAACTCTTACAGAACTCGAGGAAAAACAAAACTAACTTGTGTCTCGAAAGTCCAGACTTAAAGGGTTCTGTCATCCTTCTATACTTCCACTTCAGTAGGGACAGAGAAAATACAGCAAATCAAAAACAATTCCGGTTTTTCTTCTCCGAAAACAAATTTAATTCAGAAAACCGCTGACCAAATGATTGACGATGTGCTTTCCTTGCGTTGTTTTTCCTACACTAACTGATATTTCTCTCTTTAGATAACATCGAAAATCGTTGCTTCTAAGCTTGAGGCCCCTGTATGTTTGTGTTGTTGAGTTTATTCATAAAAGTGAAATCTGACAGTGTTTTTTCCGCCTTCTCTCAACTGCTTTCCACAATGCTTTGATCACGTGCTGATGACTGACTTGTCAATCGCGTGGTTGGTTTGTTTATGCTCAGAAAGAACCTTCTCTCGCGGCGTAAGCCAACCATCCACGTGACTGACAAGCGACGCGAATGACGTCGTAAATGCTACAAGCAATGCCAGATAGAAACCTTCGCTCGCGGGGTAGGTCGAGATCAAGCGCTTACCGATACTAGCGGCAATCTTGGTTTTTAAATGTCTAGCCTTTTGGGGATAAGAATCAAATTTGGGGTCACCTCCCGTCCTCCACCGCTATAAACCCAGGGGCCCACCCTCTCGGTACTTTCGAAACCAAGATGGCCGCCGATAATGGTAAAAACCGCTCTCGGTGCGGAGGCGGGGGCGGAGGGGGGGGGTGGTTGATGTCCCCATAATTGCCTACACGGGGAGACTTTAGGGAGTGTTCGACGACCGTGCATTTTACTTTAAAATGGATGTAAAGGTCTAAGCTAGGTATGTGAAAGGGTACTTTTTGTTAAAAATGGTTTATAAAAGCGCAATGGATCGTAAGGGACTGGACCTTGGGGCGGAGCCTCCCCATAAAAAACTTTCTTGAGTATCCCATCACTTTCCCCAGGAGAGCGCTCGACGTCGACGATCTTACGGAAAAATAGCGGACTGTGAACAGTCTATACCGTAGATTTCTTCAAAGAAGTTACCTTTAGGAACGTAATATTTGAAAGTGTTCAACCTTCTTCCTTTGTTCGTTTCAGAGAATTTCCCTTTCCTTCCTTGACAACCAACCCGGGCGGGGTCAAAGCTGAGGACCAAACCGCTAAGGTACTGATCTTGTGTGGTTTTACCAGGCATGTTGTTAAATGTCGTCAAAATGTGCATCTTACGTTTGTCGTCCACTTTCTCAAAGCACCTTTCTTTGCACTCACACGGTGGTCCAGTGGTTCTTGCTGGAATAATGTTTCCTTTTGTACCCATGCACTCCAGCCCATGTACAATGGCGTTCTTACGCACGTTTTGTGTCCATCTAATCAAAAACAAATTAATAAATTAATAAAAAAAGAGAGAAAATTAAAAGCGTTTTGGTTAAATCGTTAAATTCCAACAGTGAAAGTAGCAACCTTAAGTTTAAAGAACTTTGCTTAGCTTTGGCAAATTTCTTTTGTTTGACCGCGGGGTATTTTCCTGGTTGGTTATGATACAACGGCTAACAAAAAAACGGCTAAGGATAAACTTCTTTGCGACTTTGCTGCAAACCGAGTTGAATACTAGCGAGGTTGCGCGTTTTACCATAAACGAAAACAAACGTGGCAACCTAATTTGCTGCAACACAGGTTCGAGCACGGGTGGTAAAACGCCCAACATCGCTATTCAACTCAATTTGCAGTGATGTTGCAAAACTAGTTGCACATGTTTTGTTGCCCTTCTTACCGTAGCTTAAATTAACACGAAACATGAGGTAATTTAAACGAATACGACTGAAGAATAAAACCGAGAGGAGAACTGTACGCTTAAAAAAACTACCATTAAAGAGGAAAACAAGTGACCGAAAGTGGAAAACAAAAAATTAAAGAAAAATTCCTCGGAAAACCACGACCTGCTGTAAAGAGGTGAAAAAACGCACAGGCCAAAGACATCGCCAAATTTCCCGTTTGTGACTCGCCAGAAGTTGCCGCCTAAGCCATGAACCAGAAGAGACAAACTACATGGAGATAACGGCGGCAGCTGACCGAAAACTGACGCCGGCCGGGAGCGGAATGTTGCCAATCAGCTTCAACAAGCCTCGGCCAACGTTCGCAATACTTATCACTCTTCCTAATTTTAAACGAAATTCTGCTTTATATACTGCTAAGTGACGTCACTTATTTGGTGAATAAGAATGCCGCCTATTCTCGACCCCAGTGCTTACGAGTTTGGAAATGCACGCGTACTCTCTCTTGATCTCTCTCCTTTACATGCGCAGAAGAGCTCTGGGTCGAGATTGCAATTTTGTGAGCAATCCCTCGAAATCACGCATGCTTGTAGCGGTTGTGATGCTTTGCGCCCCCGACTATAAATTTGGCCGCGCTGCCCAAAACGTGGTCATTTTAATGATCGGTACTCCGGGACCATGGTCAATTTTCGCGACCCGTCCACCTCCCCTGTTGGCGGTTGACAAACTTCAGTGTTATCCTCGTTGCGTGCTTATTGCCTCAGCAGTCGCAGACTTTTCCCATAACTAAATAGTACGCGGTGAGGTAATGAGTAGGCAGTGGGGATATGTTAACATTAAAAGAACAAAATCTATTCACAATCAGTTCTATGAGAGTAACTAATTACATAATTATCAGACCCAATTTTAGCAACATCCATACATTCTCTCTTACGTGGTCGCACTATCTTCGTTTCGCCTTTCCCGCCAGCATTTTATTTACCAATTTTATTTACATCAGGTTAATTAAACATATAATAAAAAAATAAGGTAAAACAGGTAAAAGAACTTTTAAAGGTACGCTTCGATCTTTGAAGAGATGGGTTTTAGTTGACGTTCACTGTAATTTTCAGGGAGTTATAATAACTCCTCTAGTGGGGCTAATTTAACTCCTTACAGTGGAGTTATTTTTCGTGGAGTTATTTTAACTCCAAAAAGGAGTTTAAAGAACTCTTTTTCAGGAGCAAAAGTGACCCCAGATATTGAGGAGTTAAAATAACCCCAAAAAAGGAGTTATCCTGTACCTAAAATTTTTACTCCACTTTCAGAGTTAAATTAACTCCAAAAAGAGTAAAAACAACCCCTGTAAGGAGTAAAAGTAACCCCATTTCGGAGTAATTTTAACTCCAAGACTGGGAGTAAAAAGAACTCTTTTTCAGGAGTAAAAATGACCCCAAATTCGGAGTTAAATTAGGAGTTAAAATAACCCCAAAAAAGGGGTTATCCTGTACCTAAAATTTTTACTCCATTTTTGGAGTTATAATAACTCCCTAAAAATTACGGTGTTTAGAGGCATTAATATCGGCACCCTACCTTAAGAAACTGGCAGTTTAATCTTGAGCCAAATATCAACCACTAGCCACCTTCACTTCAGCGAATAATTGTTATCTAGTTTGAGCAGTAAACTCTATATAATGTGAACAGCTTTAAGAGCGTGCTAAGTAACGAGATTCCCTAAGAAGGTCTCTGGAAGGAGACAATTTCCTCTTCCTTCAACAGTCATGTCGTAAAATTTGTTTCTAACCTTTCTGGTCGTCTCTCTCTCTTTCTTGGTCTTTTAAGGGCTGACTCTTCGTCATCAAGCCTAGATGCACCAGGAGACAAAAAGAGCTGGAGTTGACAGGTGTTCGGTAAGCTTTCTCGGATATTCGCCTGTATATTTGAAATATAGAGTACTGTACGAGAGATTTACCAACCCTACCCCTCACAGTTTTGTGACGTTGAGCAGCACTACCAAATTAGGGGTAGGGCTACCAAATAAGGTAATGAGCACGTGCGAGCTGAGTAAGCTAGGACTCTACGAGACGAAAAAAGAGAACAGTGAGAGCGTCTTTTCCTTCGAGGTTTTTTCATCGAGTTTGGCGAGAGTTTTGTGAGTAGATTGAAGCGGAATAAACCAGAAAACCGTGTTATTATGAGTTCTATGAGCTGTTTTATTGTTCAGCTCAGTACACGCAAAAATAAATTGGAAATAATTTATAAAATCGAGAACTTCCATTCTGTATGGCTTGGTATAAGATAACTGGATGGTGTCTGTATCGCCTGATTATTAGAAAACTGGCCTATTGTAAGTTCCTTCTAAACTTGGTGTGTGACTATATTGGATTGAAAAATGTTATGAGTAAAATGTCAGGCTTGGGTATAAAACCTGACACTAGAAGGGTTTGAATAAGAGCGACGAAATTTGGAACAGCGCGAATCTCACTTTTGGGTGAAGTTGTCGCTGCCGTTGTCGTCGTCCTTGCTGACGTCCCCAGGGAGAAAAACCGCCAGCGTTTCGAAAGTCTCAAGGGGTTGAATGCAGGCGGTCTTTTAGCCTGCGCAGCAGGCGTCGAAAGGGGTTGGGGATAGCGAGAAAGGGAAAAGGGAGGGGGGTTGGGGAGAGAGGGTAAGGGACCCTTCCCCATCCCCCATCGTTTACTCGTTTGCCCTCGCGCGGGGCCGAACCCCCGGAGGGGGCACTTTAGGAATTTCTGGGTGGGGATGTGCCGCTGGGACCCTGGAACCCTTAACCTATACCAGAGCTAGTTCAGCTGAGTTTTGCTACCCTATACTAGAGTAAACTCCCCAAATCCCCCTATCCTAGAGTAGCTGTTTCCCCAGTCTAGATAAAATCTTCAACCAACTGATCAGTTTCCTGAAAAATCATACCCTATTCTAGACCCAAACGCTCTGATTTATATACCCTGTCCCAAAACTGAAAATCACACACGAAAAACCGCCAGCTACATATACGCAGGTTAAGAAAGTTGTTCCTCACATTTCTGATCGTTTGTCTCTTTTTCTTGATCCTTCAGAGGCTGAGTCTTTGTCATTAAGCCTAGATGCACAAGGAGAGAAAATGAGCTGGAGTTGACATCTTTCTACAGAACGAAGCGCGACTCAAGTAGACGCAACAGATCGATACGTCTGATCCCGTGTTCAATACATCTTCCAGTACGCAAGCACTGGAAATAAATAATTGCCGCCAAAAAAATGAAAAATGACGACACGATTCCGAAAACTTCAATTCTGTGTAGATTGGTCTATCAAGGATACACTCATTCCCTATTGTTGTAGCCTGCGTAGCAAGCGTTTCCGTGCTGTTTCGGAGCAAAGACCGCGCGAAAAATGGCGCGAGTAAGCGATTCATTTTTTGGCTCTCGTTTCATTTCTCGCGCGGCCAAAACCGAGAATCTCGTTCCTCGGTCTTTCTTTGCTCCGAAACAGCACGGAAACGCTGAGGCCTTCCAAGGGGGGTAGCTGTGTCGCAATGTCGCTTGCTTTAGGAGACCGTTGTCGCCTAATCTACAGCTGCAAATGTCGCTGTCGTTTTTTGAAGTGTACATAACTGTACCAGTAATTTTTGTTTTGCGAGAAACTGTTTCGCAACAGGGCTATAACAGGATTTTCATGGTGGTCAGTTGGCAAAACTTTGTGAGCGGCGAAGGATGAACGCTTCTTCTTGTTCTTTAAGGGTAGGCTCCTGCGGGAAAATTTGGAAAATCTGAACCCTCAGAAATGCAATTTCCTGTAGTCTGAGTCACTTTTATTGATAAAATGCACAACTTTCCAACGTCACCGTCGTTTTTCACTGTTTAGTATGTCGCTGTCGCATTTTAGCAGCGTAGGCATGTCACTTCTCGCTTTTTAAAAATTCCCATGTCGCCAGTTTTCAGGGCCGTGTCGCATGTCGCTTTTACCCCTTGGAAGGCCTCAACGCTTGCTACGCAGGCTACTGTTGTTGCCCAATTGAGGATAAAGATTTGTCATAGCTTTTTGGCCCAAGTATTTCTAGCCAGCGTAGAAATTAGAAAGCGTTTCCGCGCCAGTTTGTCGAGAAAGTTGGGACAAGAACAAAACAAAATAGGAATGTCTCTTTTTTTTGCTCCCGCTCTAACTTTTGCGCAGTTACTCGATGGGAAACGCCTGGTACGCAGGCTAAGGTATTTAAATAAATTGAACAAATCCCCAGGGGTCCGGGGAGTGAATCCCTGGGAGAGCTGCTGATAGAAGCATCAACTGTTGAAGATATCAACTATGCTGGAGCAAAAAAAGGTAAAATCTTACTTTCTACTGCCTGGATCGATAAGACTGTACTCTAGTTTTCTTTTCACTGGAGGAGCCTGGCTGGTCTTCTTTGGTGGAATATCTATTAAACAGTTCACAGCAAAACAGAAAAACCATCATTTCACAATGATGTAAATGGGCATCAGTCTCGGGGGGGGGGGGGTTAGGAATTTTGGGGTGGGGTTGTGCCTTTGGCCTATCCAGTACAGCTGAATTCCCCCCAAATCTCCCACCCCCTATCCTAGAGCAGCTTTTAGGCTGAGTTGCGTGAATTTAAACTGCAAATTTGATTTTTATATATTTTTGGGGGGTGATCGGAGATGTTGGTTAATGGAGTTGACTGTAATATTTGAAATTAATTAATTAAATTTTGAATTCATTACTTGCTTCAAAAACACCTGAGTATTCAACCTGATTTGATTCAGAATTTCCTACGTTTTGTAGCCTTACTATTATTGATTAATTTTTAGTACCTTCAACATTTCCACCACATGTTATAAATACCTTTCAACTGTTCAGTAAGTTGTACTCTGTCAGCCAGTCTGAAAAGAATTGTCTGCAGTTCTGTTTTCCTTCCACTTGCTTTTGCTTTGTAGAGGTCATAACAGAGAGATGGAATTCCTGTACCAACTGTTATGGCAATTTCATTTTCTATCTGTGCTACAGATATGCGGCCACTTTCAAATTCCGACCTGTTGAAAATTAAATTCAGTGGTTTTGAGGATATCCTTTGTTGCATGCATATGTGTTACGTGTCAAAATTAAATTCAGGTTGAAATTTTTTTAACCCAGGTTGATTCTCAATTTCCTTTGTCTACTAGCCCTAGTTTCAGACTTGCCAAGTCTCATGACTCTGTCGTGAGTCTCACAATTTCAAAACCTATATCATGCTCTCCTGTGTTGGCGACTGATTCTCATATTTTCTCTTAAAGTCAAACTCCAAAAAATTTAGGAGTTTTCCAAGTTAGATATTTAACAATTATTCGCCGAAGGCGAAGTTAATATTGTTGAATAATCCCCTCGACTTCGTCTCGGGGATTATTCAACAATATTAACTGAGCCTGAGGTGAATAATTGTTTTAGTATATTCACACCAAGTGATCTCAACAGAATCAGAAAGGAAACCATTAAAAAACGATTAGTTTGATTGACGGGTGAATTCATGCGTGAACACGAAGCCGTAAACAGTGGATGCGCAAAAGTTAGATCTTTACAGTATCTTCAAACATGGCAAATGATAGTTTTAATCTTTTTGTATCGAGTTTTGTAAGTTTTAGCACCAACGGTTTAAAAGAAAACGCGGAAAATTTAAATTACTACCCAATTCTGAGAAGAAAAGTAGAGCTTTATTAGTTTCTGTCAACTCACCGTGAATGAGAAAGTTTTCTTTGTGGCTTCTTGCAAATGCTGTCAACGGCAACGATCAAGGTGAGCATTGTTTATCTCCAAAGTTCTTTGCCTTGTTAACTTGCAGGCACGTACAATTTTCGAAAATATTTGCCTTCCTCTTTTCTCCATTAATTAACTTCTATTTATAGGCAAAATTGGTCTTGCGGGAAAATCCCGAAATCACAAAACAGTGACAAAGCGACCTCGTTTTCCTCTGTAGTGGTAAACAAAGCTTCGAGCGCACAAAATGTCAGCTACAGTAAACCACTTCACAATAAATCACGCTGTTTAAACACCATGAAGTCCTTTATTGCCTTCAAAGTCATCAGCACTTGGATATTCGTGTATTTTCAAAAAGGCTTTACTATGAAACTTTGGCAAATAGTCAGGTGGCTAAAGGCTCAGATCTATACAGAGTGGACAAAAGCACCAAACTTTCCATGGTTGTAGCTTAGGGCATGTTAGTCAATATTAGGATCGGTGCCCACAGCTACCTCTTCAGGATTTGCAGCAACCGCTCGCTGAAGTTCTTCAACAACCTTCCATGATGGGTGGCCTGTGCTATTATTATTGAAACCAATGACTAAAACAAGTCAACTTACTGATATAGCAATTATGATATACCATGGTGGGTATCCTGTGCTAAAATATCAATTCCTTGATTTTGGCCATTATTTTGATGAAAATCACATGAAAGACAAGAAAATAAAAAAAAGAAATTGTATTATTATTGAAACCAATGACAAAAACAAGTCAACTAAATGGAAAATCCAAGGAAGATGTTTTCAGACGTGTACTCAGTCCCAACTAACCTTTCAAGATGGCTGCTTGAAGGTGTCTTTTCATGGACTGTAAGTATCTCCTAGAATAAATTGCCGTTTTTTTAGGGGAAATTGTGCACAATTTGAATCACGACAGGTTTAAGTGAAGTTTTCAGCTCTTCTTGGTGATAAATGTGTTATCGAAAGCTACATTTTCGCTTCATATTTTGTCCCGATTATGAATGACTATACTGAGTTTATTAACTTACTGGTTAGTTAAAGGTTTCTGAAGCTGAGATGTTTTCTACACACCAGGATGGATATTAACTAGGATCGTTGTTATATTTGCCAAGAATCAACAAAAGAAGGTTTAACGGTACAAGCATTAATTTATAGAATGCTCCTTGAAAATGTACTAAAAAGGCTGAAGTGCAAAATAGGCATACATGTCAGAGGAACGCAAGAAGAAAAGTGGAGCAGCTTGGAAGGTCGAGGAAGACGAGAAATTAAATCAAGAGCATTTGTTGAACTCACTGAGTACAGAGCAAATGCAGTGGAGAATGATACACATTTCTTTATAGTTGCCGAACTTCATATTGAGCTGTATTCGTTACAAACAGAGGCACACACTTTGCAGTCCCGCTATAGTGTCAGTCTTACAAGCTCGTTTGGTGCCACAATCTCCAACTGGCTGTTTCTGATCTGCTTCAACATGCTTTTTTCTCTTTTCTAGTTTGCTTTTTCTAACTTGGACGTAAGGTGACAGGATTGATGCCGCTTTGCACTTCAGTAACGTGTTTACTACTGTAGTGATTTCAATATGAAACTTAATTGCAACAAGACGGCACAGTCCTCTTTCTTGAATTCTAGTAAATTGTCAAGAAGCGTTCTATAAATAATTGTTCCATTAAATTAATGGGTTTCTCAGATCCTCTCTTTTCGATTCTCACCCTAGGTAAATATGACAACGATCCAAACTGATTTCCATCTTGGCGTGTAGAAACGAGTTTAAACTCAATCATGATAAGACTGAAATCATGCTTATCTTGTCGATGTACCGTACTCGTCCACCCTTTAGCGACATCATTATGGGTAATACAAGGCTAAGAACCACCACCAACAAAGCCTGGGAGTAGTATTTGATGACAACTTGCTGTTTGACGCACACGTCTCAGCATTCTTTTGCAGATTATCCAGGGGCGGATCCAGGGGGAGGGTGCAGGGGGTGCGCACCCCCCCCTGAGATGACCTGCGGTTGTCTAATACAACTGGTATTCTCCAAAAAAAAAATACTATGTGGTTTATTGGTGTTGAAGTAGAGCAAGAGACGAGTGCACCCCCTCCTAAAAAAAATCCTGGATCCGCCCCTGTTATCATTTCACCAACTCAGGAATTTATCAAAGATAAGAAAGTGTCTCATACAGGAGTCTAGCGAAATTGCAGTGCATGCTTTTATTACATCTAAAACAGACTATTGATTGCAATTCTTTGCTCTATGGTTGTAGGAAAATGCACTTGAAGGAACTTTTAATAATATGTTCAGAACACTGCCCCCAGGATCGTTACTCGGACTCGTAAACTTTTCGAACACATCATTTATTTGACCTTCACTGGCTTCCTGTTAGTTATCATGTTGTTTTTAAACTTATTTTGTCAGTTTTCAAATCACTTAATAACCTTCCACCTAGCTATCTAGCGGACAGTTATCGAAGGCCTTCCGAGAACTTGTGGTCCGCATCTCAGCAACTCTTAGAACAACCTCGAAAACTCACGGGGAAAAGACTTTTTCAGTGTGCCTCCCTAAACTGTGGAACTCACTACCATTAGCTAGATTTTCACAAGTCACCATCTTTAGCCAGTTAAAAGAAAGGACTGAGAACATATCTTTTTACGCAATTTTTAGAGAGTAAGTCAATACTTTTGTAAAACGTCTTAAATATCTGCAGATCACATATCTATACTTATAGAATGTATATTTAGTTTTTTGCATGACTTATTATCATTATATATAAACTTTAATGGCAAAATAATTTTAAAACAGATGAATTCTTGTTTCCTTCTCTTGTTCTTTGTGAATTGCAAATAGATTTTAATATATCTTATTTCATGCTCGAGATATAATTTTTTTTCCGTCTTTAACATTGTTAAACACCATGTGCTCAGGATATGAGCGCTATAGAAAGAAGCCATTTTTACTATTATTAATTTTAACCAGTACGAAAATAAACTCAGTGTAGTCATTCATAATCGGCACAAAATGTGAAGAGAAAATGTGGCTTTCGATAACAAATTTATCACCAAGAAGAACTTAAAATTCCCTTAAACCTGTCGTGATTCAAATTGTACACAATTTCCCCTAAAAAAACGGCAATTTATTCTAGTAGATACTTACAGTCCATGAAAAGACACAGCCGCCAACTTGAAAGGCTATTTGGGACTTAGTACGCGTCTGAAAACATCTTCCTTGGAATTTCCATTTAGTTGGCATGTTTTTTTCATTGGTTTCAATAAAAAGACAATTTCTTTTTTATTTTCATGTCTTTCATGTGATTTTCATCAAAATAATGGACAAAAAAAAGGAATTGATATTTTTTAGCACAGGACACCCACCGTGGTACATCATAATTGCTATATCATTAAGTTGACTTGTTTTAGTCGTTGGTTTCAATAATAATAGTATTAATACAGCTTCTTTTTTCATCTACTTCCCTTTTTATGTGATTTTCATCAAAAAATGGCAAAAAACAAGTGATTGCAATTTTCAGCACAGGGCACCTATCATGGAAGGTTGTTGGAGAACTTCAGCGAGCGGTTGCTGCAAATCCTGAAGAGGTAGCTGTGGGCACCGATCCTAATATTGACTAACATACCCTAAGCTACAACCATGCAAAGTTTGGTGCTTTTGTCCGCTCTGTATAGATCTCACCAAAATTTTGCACTAAGCAACCGGACTAAAAACACGACAGTTCACGACAGCGATTTTGTTCTGCTTCATATTCACCGCCTAGCGTGGTGAATATAACGTCATAGTCCGAGATAGCTAACCAATTAGATTGCTTGAATTACCATGATCACTGAGTGTGTATATACTAACAATAGATAGTCAGCTCTACAAAGAAGACGCTTTGCGGTCGCACTTGATTACACTATTTTAGCCTACCACAATTTGTCCCTGCCACCAAAATTATGTGCAGGCTTACTGTTTCTCTTGTTTTAAGATGATCTCCAACAAAACATAGAAATAAAAAAACCTGAATTAAAATAGTAAAATTGATCGGAATGTTTATTGCTGCAGCTTTAAAGTGACTTCCAATACCCATACATTCCCCACTGAAAGTTTCTACTACGAAATTTGGGACATCTCACGACTTTTTACCCATTTCTTATTACTTTCCCCAGCTCTAGGCTCACAATCTGACATTTTTTTGCCTTTTGGGGGTTGCCAAGTCTGTAGTTTTCATAACTAGGGCTGGGAGACAAAGGAAATAGAGAAAAAACATTTTACCCTGAATTTAACTTTGACCTGTAACATGACAACAAACTTAACCCTACACCAGTGCACTGTGGTCTGTCTAATTTCAACAGTTTTTTGTCCAGTAATAGGCCAAACAGTAAACATGTTTATTTTGCTATTAACCTATAATCAGAAATGCCCCTTAAAAGGCCTTATAAAAAAATGCCATTGCTAGTGATCTTCAAAGAGGAAAGGATATTCTGTGTTCTTGAAACAATAAAGGAATATTACATATACATTTCCTTTTTTTTTTTCACTTTCTGAAAATGTGTTAGTCTGCAGGAAATGGGAAACCAAACCCTTTAAGGGATAGCATATTTGGAAGCACTTGGAAACAGAATAAGGAAAATTCAAAAAAGGAAAACTTTGATGTTTTTGAGAAAAAATGATTTGTTTGAGTTGTATGGTTTTGTGTCATGCTCACCTGAATCTTGTAAAGTAAGCGTCATATCCATCAACTGCAGCCAGTTCTCTCTGCAAGATTTGATAAAAGCACATATTTTATGCGTGCAATAAGCTTTTCTCAAAAACTCTTAGTTTTCCTCCAAAAATTTGCATAAGCATTGTTTTCAATTTCTCTTGGAAAAACAACTGCCATGAAAAATGCACAAAAGAATGAGGCCAATATTCAGCCATGACTGAACAAGCTTATAATATTGGTCAATAATTAAGGATCATGGCCAAAATCCAAACTTTTTCTTGCAGGACCAACACAGGAAATCCAAGGTGGCTTGCCTTCTCTGGTAGCCAATCAGAATGCAGGATACACTTCATCTTGCCTGCTCGGGGATTCAGCCATGTAATAAGACTTAATTGTCTTATTCATTTGAAGATTATGTTAGTTTTAGCCGTTAAAGCAATTTCACAGTCACCACAAAAAGTGGTCATTTCCAAGTGATTCTATAATATCAAAAGGCTTTGACTGGAAAATTTTAGTGCTATAAAAGGGCCTGTGTCATATTGGAAGTCCAGTTCTTTTGGTTTTATTTTGCCAATATTACTCGCCCTCAATCGCTATGGAACTTAAAGTAGGCAAAGAAATTACATATAAAATAATGACAAAATCAGAGATAATTAGAGACAAACAAATATGTCCCCTAAGCATTATTTTGGAAGCTGCAAACAGCAGAAATACTCTTTGAAAAACTGTTAGGCTGAACAGTTTTCAAAAACCCTAAATTTCAATTGGTTTCAGTCTTCTTCAGTTTTGCCCATCCATGGCTTCTATTGTATCTGTTGTGTTATTTTAACCTTCCTTTACTGTATTTTAAAGCGGTTATTTTTATGTTTCTTTTAAGTCAATAGGCATTTTGCAATAACCCGATTTGGCTGAATTTCATGACACAACTCCTTTAAAATAGCTGGTTGCTTTATCGTAGGAAGTGGCCATATAGAAGTTTGACTGTATGTACAAAACCAGTTTTATTATTCAGAGTTATCTTACATGGGAATCGAGTTGTGCTTTGTCCAGTTGTAAGTGCCACACATCAACTCCATCAGATGCACTAAAAGTCAAAACAAAACAAAAGCACATTACATTTCCCCACACAAATGTACAAGGCATTTAAACACCTCATTTTACATGTTGCTCAAGGCTTCATCTATATTTTGTAACCATAGTAACTGATCATCACTAAACTTGTCTCAAAATATGCCCAAGGGATAAATGAACAGCTATTGTTCAAACGTCAGGTGCAGTCATTTGATTGTCTAGGAAAAGCTCACAAAATCTACAAGGGGTGGCCCTGTATGTCTGAGGGTTTCGCTGTAACGTATGGTTCTTCCTGAAGCAGAACACTCCAAAGGGATGAGAAACAAGCATGAACCAGAAAACACACAAAAAAAATGTGCATGGGACAGTGTAATAGTATTTTTTAAAAATTTGTTTACCCTGAAAGCTCTTAGGAGTTCTTAAGAACTTGTTGAAATGTGTCCGTACTTTCCTAGACTACGAGTAGTCCCCCATTTTTCCTCAGGGATAGTAGGGCGAGCGAAACGCGAGCGCGCGTGAAAATCACCTCATGTGCGCTCGTGTTTCGCTCGCCCTACTATCCCTGAGGAAAAATGGGGGACTACTCGTAGTCTAGTACTTTCCAGATCAATGAAATTTGGAAGTTTTGGTTTTTTAGGAGAGGGGTAGACTGGAGTACCCACAGAAACTTATCCTAGTGAGAGAAGAACAAACTTAACTCACATATATTTAACAATTATTCCTCGAGCCCGAATGGGCTCTGAGTCAATAGCCCATGAGGCTGAAGGCCGAAAGGGCTATTGACTCAGAGGCCATGAGGGCAAGAGGAATAATTGTTTTAGTAAAATCCAACTAGTTGGTCAAAAAATATCGAGACAAAACAACTTTAGCAAGTTAAAGTTAGACTTTAATCCTTTTTTGCCGCCAAAAAGCCAGCGCTTTGCGCTACTAGTAGGCTATAACATATAGCCTAGTAGCAGCTCAACCAATCAGAATGCAGCATTGATGATAGACCACTAGTTAGATTTTACTAAAATGGCATAGACCTACCAAGACCACAAGTTTCAAGTTAAGTTGTTTGAGGGTTATCAGTTGTTAGCTGTTTGCAATTTCTTAAGCAAATCTATTGCCTAAATTTTGTACAAACCTCATAAATTCAAAATATTAATGTTTTCAACCACGTTGCCATGGCAACGATCGAAATCTCACATTTAACCTAATAAATGTTATCTCTTAGAAAAATATTTTGTTCGTGCCAAATTTAAGCTTAGCATCCGCTAAGAGTCTGTAACAATCCACGAACTATTAAACTGCATGTGTTCAGTTTCAGCCATCCACGCCCTGTCATTCTTTAAAGCGTTCAAGTGGCGAGGTAGACTTGTTTTCCCACTGTCGACTAATAGGAATCGGTTATTTTTCCACGATAAACTTGACGGAATCGGCCATTTGCCCATACTTGATGGTTAGGAATCTGCTCATCCATAGAGAGGTGTCGGATTAATTTTAAAATGGGACGTCCCAACAACAGATAATTATCTAAGTATGGCAAGATTATTAGAAAAAAGAAAGACTTACTTAATAATCCAGGAGGAACCTTCTTCAGAAACTCTTGTCCATACAAGAAATCTAACAAGACCACAGAGGGCAGTAGTATGAAGCGCCTCCACTTTATTTGCCCTCAACAATGAGGCCAAATCGATGGACGCTTCTGAAGCCTCCACCATTTTGGCGAGGTGCAGCCCGTAACGCGGGCGAGGTGCCGATTACCCGAGTATGCAAAAAGGTCCTGGGGTTCGGTTTTTTCTGTCCTGCGAAATTTTGAAGTGTTTTGCTTTTCTTAGTTTTGAAAAACATGTGTTTATGAAAAGTAAATTAAAGGCTAAATAGCTGAGAAATGGAATAAGTTTTTTCTTGTTTCTTTTTTAAATATCGCGCTATTCTGTATAAAATTAAAAAAGAAAGTCTGAAAAAATCCACCGTGACATATGCCGTGAAAGTCCGATCGTCATTCGGAAATCTTCGTACAAACGATCGCAAAGCATGACTGGATAGCTTTGTTTCATTGCCCGCCATCTGCTTTTTCGCTGAGTTAGTGAAGCAATTATCCTCGCAGTGAAAATAACAACGAACCTCGTGTTTTTTGTATTATTTTGCCAAAATGAGCGATGCTGACGACAGGGATGCTTCTGAGGAAAAGGTAGGAAAAATATACTGCTCTTTTAATAGCCTAAAACGGTAAATAATACTACTCTTCCGTTGTTCAATTCGTTAAAAGCACGCTTTGCAATCTTATTAGCTTATTCATTTTGAAAAAACAATCGAATGAGGGGATCTTTGGTTCCTCTTAGTATTTCCGATTTATATTTTAAGGAGTAAGTTGTTGAATGAGAGGAACTTCATTAATAAAGTACTTCAGATCATACCTTTAATTTAGCTGAACTGATGTCAAGTTAACTTTAGCTTGTCACTTTAATCAAGTTCCAGATTACAACTTATCAGTAAAATACTAAATACTAATAATCTAAGGTAGGCTTAAAACAGAATACAAGATTCCTTAGTACATGCTCTGGATAAATTTCGCTTGCACATGGCTGAAAGCTAGGTTTTGATTTCTTATTTGTATTCATTTGTAAAGTTTTACCCAAGTCAGCTCCAGAGCTGTGACCTAAAAGCTTCAGTAAAGTATGTACAGTGGAACCCAGTTAATATGGTCACCAATGGGCCAAAAAAATTTGGCCGTATTAACGAGTGACCATATTAACGAGCGTTTTTTAACAAGAAAATCTATGGCTGTTTTGCTGGGCAGCCAAAAGAAAGTGACCGTAATAACGAGGTGGCCATAAGGTGGGGTTTCACTCTACTTTTCTATTTTGTTGCTATATTTAAACAACTGTATAGTTTTTGCTGTCCACCAGTGATAGAAGCAAATCGAATTTCCATATTATTATGTAGTGCCAATGATGAATATTTAAGTTTCCAGATGTTCGGCCATATTTAGTTGTAATGTTAGTTTTGTTCTCAAAGTAATTTTGCCGGGCAACAAATTCCAATATATTGCATTCGCACTCCATGCAAATCATTGTCATGAGTTGACTGATGCTTGCATAGCAATCACTAATTATTATCTTATTCGCAATTTACAGGAAGTGAGTGACAGAGATGACAATGACCAAGGTGAAGAATACAATGGTGCAGGGTCAAGATCAGCTTCCCGCTCACGGTCTCGTTCAAAGTCCCGTTCCAGGTCACATTCTAGATCTCGCTCAAGATCCCATTCACGATCCCGTTCTCGCTCGCGGTCAGGCTCAAGGGGCAGATCAAGGTCAAGAAGTCGGAGCCGTTCACGCAAGCATCGTTCCCCATCTCGTAGTAGGTCACGTTCCCGTTCTAGGAAAAAGAAAAGATCTTACTCACGATCCCGATCTCGGTCTCGTAGTCCATATCACTACAGACATAGAAGGTAGCTATAAAAAAAATTCAGTTTATTAATAGTTGTAATGGTAGGGAGTTAATGCAACAACCATATCAATGGTAGTGAAATTTTGGCATTCTTTCCAAATTGTTGATAATTCTAAAGTGCTCAAGTTGTGGGGCGTTCTTTGGGACTTCATCCAATTTCAGAAAGAGAAAGAAGACTTTTTTTCTGAGTCAGTTCACATCCCCCATAAGTTATTGCTTAAGAAATGTTTTGTCTGTTTATCACCATACAGTTGTTCATCCCAGCAGATATTCAGGCCATGTACATATGAACTACAATGTATTGGTTAATGAGTGATTTTCATTATCCATGAAGCCTAGTGAATAGAGCTTCTGCTATTGTCTGGGAGGTCATGTGTTAGCCCTTTAAGCCCTAAGAGTGATCAGCATCAGCAAAACGGCCGTACATTTTCTTGTAAAAAAAAAATCCTCATTAATACGGTCACCTGTTAATATGGCCAAATTTTTTTGGCCCATTGGTGACCGTAATAACAGGGAACGTTTCACTGCATTGCTGTCAAGGTTTTTCAGTTTAACGTCTACTCAACAAGACATGTCAATGTTTTTTTTTTTATCTCCATAGATCCCGCAGTGTGTCTCCACTTTCCTCCAGAAAACGGCATGTTGGAAGCAGGGTAATGCTTGGTTGTCCTGTCTTGTTGTAGCTTTCTTCAATTTTTTTGCGTTGATGTAAATATAACTTTCATTGTGATATTTTTTCTACCTGCAGGACAACCCTGAAAGTAGTAATTGCTTGGGAATTTTTGGATTAAGTCTGTACACCACTGAAAGAGATTTAAGACAATACTTTGAGAAGTATGGTGGCGTCGAATCAATCCAAATAGTGTATGATCGTCAGGTAAGAAATTTATTTTGCTGGTGATATATCAGTGATTCGTTATAATCCATTATAAGGCTGAAATATATTGATATAGATGAATTTACCTACATTTACTATAAATCACAAACAAAAACATTTCAATTAACTAGTTCTCTTTTAATGAACACCTATAATGAATGAATGAAGTGTCCTGGATTAGAGGGCAACAGACATGTTTTTCATGTTAACACTAAGCTTGGATGTCAGCAAAATGGGCAACAAGGGCAGCCACTATCAGTCCATTCATGAGCTCACTGTAACCCACCCAGCCCATGATATATTATAACTCCCTGAAGACGACACCTGGAGTTTTGTCACTGCCATTACAAAGTTTTCAATGAGGTCTTTAGTAGTCGGCAAAAGCCTTGGAGTGGGCGGAGAAGGAAAAAACTCACGGCGCGACTTGCAAATGCCGAAAGAAGGAGTTACAATAAATTTTGAAGTTAGGGCTTCTTAAAGTGAATTTCCAGCATTCTGGCGCAAAAATTAGTGTTTGAAAAGAACACAGACATCATTAAACTTTAGCTTTTTTGTCAGTAATTTCCAAAGAAAAGTAGGCGCTGAGTTGATGTGAAATAGCCGGCAAATTTTGCCAGCCGGCTCTTATTGAGAACCCTGGCCAGAATTCAGTTATCTTCAGTGACTCATAAAGAATGACTCTGATGACTGTACATTTATGTGTGATAATGGTTAATGAATAAGTATTTCTAAAGGTGTGATTAAGGACAGTGGTGGAAGTTGATCCATTGTTTTGTTTGTAATATGTTGAATCTTGTAGAGTGGTCGCTCAAGAGGATTTGGATTTGTGTATTATGAAGCAGTTGAAGATGCTAGAGAGGTTGGTAATTGCCTTGCAAGTGTATTTTATATATTGTGCACATCACTGTAGGAATGAAAAGAATCCTTTACTTTAAGGCTGTACATGAATACAAATTGGGTAAAAAATTATTAGTCATTTCCGAGATGGTGGCCTTCAGTACGCGAGGTCCCGAGTTCAATTCTTGGTGATGTTATATCCTTGTTTGAACTTCTCTCCTTTCTCTGTGGCTTTAACTGCATTAAATACCCTTAAAATGGAGCATTGATGGAGGGTGGGGTAAAATGAGCACACCATCGATCTCAAGTTTATCAGTTGAATTACTGTCATGAGTTATGGATGTAAAATATGGTTGCTTTACCTTTGACCTTTACCTCTTAAGCCTCCTTAATTTAACAAGAAATAAATATGTAAATATTGATGGGAGTATTAACATTTATTAATATTTTCTTTTAGGCTAAAGCAAGTACTAATGGTTTAGAAATTGATGGTCGTCGTATACGAGTGGATTACTCCATCACCAAACGGGCTCACACACCAACTCCTGGGGTCTATATGGGCAAACCTACACAGTAAGTGTCACTTGCTAGCCTCTATTTATATTTAGCTAAGGGTGGGGTAAACTTGGCTGGGAAGAGGCTCAGGTCTTTTTTGTGATTTTATGGACCAAGATAAAGTCAAAATCAGTAATAATACAGAAAAGAATGGCAGGGATAATGATATCAGCATGATGAGGTGAAAATCTATGAAAAAAAAGAGACTGCATTGTGGCACAAAATTTTTGCGGGTTCTAATTTTTGTGATTTTTCTAGGATCTGCTAAAATAAGTTCCTGCAAAAAAGAAAAAAGGGCAGGAAACATTATTTTGTCTTGGAATAATTCACACAACATTCTCTTATTTCCGATCACTTCTAATTGATAATCCTAACAATCCGTCACCATGGATGTCATTGTAAATGAATGACAGAGAAAAGTAATTTGTTTTTCTGGTTTAACATAGCTTTGCACACTGTAGTATTGTTTGAAAAATAATATGTATTTCCACTGCACATACGTTTAACCAATAGAAATGAAAATATTATCACTGATTATCTTATTTTGTTCGGGACTTTCTGAAAACCACAAAAATTAATTCCCAATAAGAAAAAGCAATCTGTCCTAATCACAAAATTAGTTCCTGCAAAATGCCAAGAATCGCCAATCTGCCAAAAAAAAATTATAAACTCCCACAAAAATTTCATGCTACATGGTAGGTGAAAGAAGAAAATTAATTTCTTAGCATGTTGTACAAATATGTTTAAATATTTTGGGCCCTCTTTCCTTGCTGATTCCTGGAATAAATTCCCGTTCACTTAGGCCCAGTTTTTCATGAGCCGAACCTAATTCGAATTAAGGCCGACCCAAATTGTTTAAACCGGCTGAATTGATTCAGACGCCGATCTTAATTCCAGCCGAGCTAAATTCAAACGGAGAAAAATGCTCATTTCAATCAAATTACTAACAAAATACGTTATAATAATTTATGCATTAGGTTCGGTACATGAAAAGTTGGGCGTCTGAATCAAAGCCGTTCCAAAGTCACTCCAAAGGCGAAATTCCCGGCCAGGCTAGGCGAAAAGAACGGCTGAGCTGTTCCAAATTGAAACAGGTGTTCCTAATTGATTCAGAAGCCGAACTTTTCATATACTTAATTCAATGTATTAGGTTGGGCTCGTGAAAAGTTTGGCGTTTGAACCGGGCCTTACAACTTCCTCTGTTGCTCATTTCTTGACTTTTGCTTCTAAGGCACCGAAACTATCGCAAGAGTTACTATGATGACTACAGTCGTGATAAAGAGTATTATGCCAAGGATCGACATCGTGACTCATATGGCAGTGGATATGGTTATCGTTCTCGCTCCAGATCCTACTCCCCACGTAAGTGGATATTATATAGCAATAATAATATTATTCTGAATTTATTTTTCTCCTTTCTGATGTGAGCGAAATAATTGATAGTTTAGTTTTCCTGAGTTCCTCTGTAAATCATCAACAATTTTAGATTTTTAGAAAAGAAAAAAAAAACACTAGCTGCCGCCTCAGGCAGTTGAATACCGGGCCTGGTTGAATACAGTGGAACCCTCGCTCTACAGACATCGGTTTAGAATCGACAGTTTCGTTTGTCCTGATGAAAAGGTCATATATTTTCTGTAAAATTACTGGAATTCGATTGATATGGAGAACGGACCATTCCCGTGTTCTGAGTCACAAACTTTCATATATCATCTACTCCACTTTACAGACACTTTATTTTATCCGCGCACTATGACCGAACTTCTTAACAGTAAAAACCTAACAGAAACAGCGAATCACCTTTCAAAGGTTCTGTCAAATATTCAGCCCAGCTGGTACCCTGCGAGCAGAGGCTACATTTTCGCGGTATGAGCTGGCGTGCGAAAAGTAGCCTCTGCTCGCAGGGTACCCAGCTGGCTGAGTCGCAAACTAAAAGCAATACTACAACAATACAAAGTAAAACTGTGAAAGGTTTGAACCCAGGAGTCATTTCATAAGTGGGCTGAGTATGATCGTCCGAGTGAACGTAGTCCTGAATAGGACTGATGTTGTGCAAAGTAAAGTCAGACGCCATTGTCGTGTTTTAAGAACGATACTTATTAAAGGTGATTTTATTACGATACTATAATAAATGATCGTGAGGTTTCTTTGGAATGAACTTGCTACAGTTGCAGTAAAAACGTCTGCTTTAGTCTTCTTATCAATGAAAAGTGTCCGTGACATTTTTTCAGACCAACCGCTTAATACGGACACCCGGATTATACAGACATTGTGGCATGTCTCCTTGGTGTCCATGTTAACCAGGTTCAACTGTCCAAGTTTTACAAGTGTAATTGACGGACAAGTACAGGGCTCGAAGTTATCTTTTTAGTGCCCTTGCAAAGTTTTGCTAGTAAGATTTTTTCCCACTGGCAAACTGGTGAGACCACAAGCAAATTATTTCCCTTTGTTTGGGAGACATGGATAATTCTAACTCGCAATCGTTTGCTAGTGGATATTTTTCTTACTCGCAGATTATCAAAATCACTCGCATTTTGCGAGTTTGCGAGCGTTAATTTCGAGCCCTGAAGTATACAGTTTAGTTATTGTTTCCGAGTGTGAAACATTAGCCATACTTTCAAATTACATTTGTTTTACGCGGTGGTGTCCCCATAGTAATCATCTAAAGTGATTTATTTGTTTGCTTGTTTTATTTTCTAACATGTATCGTTTCAACCTTTTGCAGGCCGCTACTGATGCTTGTGGCGAATTTTGCAGCAGTTTTTGAACAACATGTATCATAACCCTGTAGGCCATCACTTCAGCACTAGCCTTATAACAGGTGTAATATAGTCAGATAGTTAAAACATCCTCGACTTCACTTGAGATGAAAATTTATTGATTATTTTTAAAAAGTCTGTACAGTGCCTGAAGTTACACTGTGATTGAGTAGTTTGTTACTGGAAACGATTTAGCCGGGTCAAAATTAGAGTAGATATACTTGTAAAAGATGCTATATTTCATCTTTACATTTATGCATAGAGAACTATATTCTGATATTCACTCAGTAAGTGGAGAAACTCGAGTTTGACGAAAGCACTCATAACAGATTCAAGCACCTGCGTATCGAGTCTTTAAAGTGCGGCACTTTTTTAATAGTTTTGGTTTTGTGTTTTACTTTTTGTTTGTGCTGAGAAGAACAGTAACTAACGAGTTACTAAATCAAAACTTTATTTGTTTGTTCTTGTCACGTTAATCTACTGATACTTTGGATTAGTTGATATGTGAAAGCAAAGATATTAGCATGGATTTTGTTGAACTCAGCTTATCTCCTTCGCAGCCGCTCGGGCCGGTGTTACGCAATGCTCCCCGTTCCTGCGTGGGGACTCTCCGGGCCCTCTTGATATGAACTTCTCTGTGTTATGGACAGTTCATTGTTTCTTTAAGAGGTTCGACTTTGTTCAATTGCTGAGGGGCAGGCAATGTTAGCTAATGCAAATGTTTTATTTGATTTTAATTTTATAATGGAATAAAGATCAACGTTTGGCGTGTTTGTCGATGTTAACTTGAATTTATTTTGCCACAGGGCAGAAACATGAAGAAAACGAAATATGAAGATTTGAAAGAAAGAGCGAAGAACCACATTTGGTCGCGAAATTACGCAAGTAGCGCAAGAACGAAGATAAATCGAAGTTAGAAAAAGAATGAAGATTAATTTGAAGAAAATGAAGATAACGGATCGTGCGAAGAATCGAAAGTTAAGGTTGAGAAGACCTAATTTTGAAGTAGGGCAAGAAAAAAAAGAGAATTGAAGATTGAAGCGAAAACGTGTGAGATCGGGGGGAAGTGAAGATTGATTGAAAGAAAAGTGAAGAAGCCAAGTCTTCGCACTAAAATGAAGGGTTTAATGCAAGAAATCTCGTGAATGCGAAGTTAAGGAAGAATGAAGCCAAGAAGAATATTGTCTGATAATTAGCAAGGCGGGTGAAGAAAATTTGGCTTGCGCCGTAGAAGTTAAACGAAGATAGGCCGTGAAGAGGTCCGAAAAGTGCAATTCTATTGAAGCACTGAAGCGGTAGTTTGTGTCAAGGTCACAGGTAAGGGCGAGATTCGTCTACCAAATTTACATTTTCAAAATTGGATAGGGTAGTTTACTCGAACACCAAGTCTGTTTTGTATAGTGTTTTGTATCCTTTTCTATAGAGTGGTTCCACATGACGTCACGGCGGCCATATTAATGTCCCAAAACAATGAAATGGCGGCCATGTTGGTGTCCCAAAACAATCCTCTGGGAGTTGAACTCTTTTCTTATGCAAACGCTTTCTTTTGTTCCAATAAATTTGCATAGACGTTGGCCACGTGAGTGAAAACACTCTATTCTACTCCACCAATCTTCCCCACCCTATTCCCCTTTCCTTTACGCTCCTCTCCTCCCTTCATCTCACCTCTTCTCCACTGTAACCTATCATACACTACCTTACTCTTAGTCTACTCTATTCTTATTTTTGCTCTTTAGTGTGTTGTTGTATTGTCAGGTCTGTTTTCCCTTTGTTTTGTTCTTTGTGACTGTTTCGTGACTTGGTATTTTATTTCGAAAGACGTGTGGGTGAAAAACTTTCGAATGTTGTTTTGCCTCATCCCGAATAGGTCTTTGAAAAGTTGCGGACCTCACAATGGTACGATCAAACGTGTAAGTGTTATGTCCCTGTTCTTGAGCCTTGGTCAGTAACGTTAGCACACGGGCGGGGATGGGATAGAGTTCATGCTAAAGGAACCTTTCGGCGTTGCTGATTCTCGCGGTAGCCCTGCACAAGGCTTGCGTACACTACAGTGGAAGCATAAGTGCAAAAATCGTACAAGGGCATTGGCATGCTGATTGTTGGTCCTTTTTTAGCGCAGCTTAAGAGAAGTCCCTAGTAACAGATATGCTTTTGCGTCTGGCTACGTTAAAAAACTGCATCGAACCTCTAAACCAGCCCAGATGAACCTCGTAAGAGGCCCAGCTCGACACGGTTCTCTTCGTAGCTCTGTATGGTTACAGCCCCTCCCCCAACCCCATCCCACCCACCCACCCACCTCCCTTGTGTGTTCTTTTGAGATTAAGTGTGGTTGTAGTTCCCAACAAGTTACCAAGGGTCAACATGGGGTTTTGTGTCGTAGCGGTCCGTCGGCAGGTCGACTTTTTGTGTGTGCTATACCCGTGACCATCATTGTCGGTGTTTCCTTTAAATGGTCACATTAAAGGATTTCATCCACAGACTCTAAAGTTAGATTCACCCTGTACAGCATGATAGGAAATTACTGCTCGGTAGTTTTTTCGAATGGTGACTCAAAAGGATTTTATCTACAGATTCAAAGATAGAAACTACCTTGTACAGCATAATGAACAGTACCACAGGGAAGTACTGCTCAGTAACTTTCATTTCATCCAAAGACTCAAAGATTAGAACAACACTGTACGGTACAATTAAAGCACCACAAGAAAGCCTGCCAAGAGGCTTTCTTTGAATGGTCACACTTGAAGATTTCACCCGCAGACTCAAGGATTTGAACAACCGTGTGCGGCACAATGAAAGTACCACTAGAAAGTACAGCCCAGTAGCTTTCATTTAATTGGACATATCACGGTGTCAACGTAACTTGTACAGCATAATACAACGGAACTAGGGGAGGGGCCTCCATGCCCCCTCCTTATTTTTAGGTCAAACTGAAGCCCGTTCATATGGCTGAAGAAATTATTTTTGAGGCCAGGCCCTCCCTCTTATCCTAGGCTTTGGGTGAGCGGGTCCCCATCTTACTTTAATAGGATGATTTAGCAACAGAACGGGAACGTCATTTGACGACGGGAAAGCGCGCGGTAAGGACTAAAGTCGAGTTCCGGTGCCCAATTTGCCGCTGTGCCGTTGGTCAAGCCGGTTGTTTGATTTGCTCCCGCCGTCGTCAACTGACGTTCCCGTTCTGTTGCTAAATCAGCCTATTAAAGATCTGAATCTGCCACTGCGGTAAACACTAGCCTCCGTATTAGTCTGATTAAACAGCAGACATTTTGCGACGCCACCGGTGGTTGGTTTCTTCAGACTCGTACTTCGTCGCTATTTATGTGTTTTTGGGGTGAGAGAAGATTGGGGTTAGGTTGAGGCGAGCGGGGACTCATGGGAAGGGACGCACCTTTATATAGCCTCAATCTTCTCTCAATGTTCTTCTCTTTTCAACTGGGTACGAGTCTTTGATTTTCCCGCGAAATAATTGGGACTTTAAGACCCAACGACGCGGACGGCAACGAGAACGTCAAAAAACAAAAGGTTTAATAAGCAAAACAACAGCTTTGCACGTGGATCACGCTTTTTTGTACATTTCTTTCCTGTTTTTGGACGACTTCTACGTGAAAATGCCTAATTTCGCGTTTTAATGAGGACGTAAACAAGCAACGTCGAAATTTTATTTCTTTCTGTGCTTGAATATGGTCTCTTGAAATTGAGCTTCAGGAGGGCCCGCCTACATTTGACAAAGTAAGTGGGTAGGAATAATCGCTGTAAAGGCTGAAAGAACGCAAATTCACTTTTTAAGGGACGTTCTGGTTGCCGTCCGCGTCGTTGGATCTTAAAGTCCCTAATGTCTGATCCGAGTCTGAGAAACGAGCGCGGAAGTTCCATTCTAACGACGCGTCACCACCCAGATCTAGGTAGTGCTTCTGATTTGGTGAATCAAATCTCCAATTAATCAGGCCTCAGTTGTTCAAAAGTTGGATAGCGCTATCCACCGGATAAATCACTATCCAGTGGATAAGTATTAGGGATAGTGGATAGTGATTTATCCGATGGCTAGCGTTATTCACCTTTTGAACAACTGGGGCCAGAAGCACTACCCAGATCTGGGTGGTGACGCGTCATCACTATGGAATTTCTGCCCTCATTTCTCAGACGTCATTTCGCGGGCAAACCACCGGTGACGTTGCGAAATATCGGCTTTTTTGGTCAATGGCATTCTCAAATTACAGGAATAGGTGAGTTCTTGGTTGGACTTGGTAGTTTTCTTGTTTGCAGGTGGCAATCCAGGCTGATCATACAAACATCGCTGGGTGTATTGAGTGAGCCGCCGGAAAAGTGCTGCAAGGGAGTTACCTGAATGAGACAGCAGCACTATTAAGTGGGAAACGAAAAAGTGCTGTTTATATTATCTTTGTCCATTACAAGGCTGTTCAAGGAGACTTTGGGACGAGTGTTTGCGTCAATTGAAGGAAGAGAGCGTTGCGATTGAGTGAGTTCTTGTTTTTCAATGTAGATTTGAAAATAAATAAAGAAATGCTTCGATACCAAATTTCGCCAGTTCTCTGTCTTGTCAGCACGATTCCAAGAGATTACCCGAGATCGCCCAACGTAAGGGGATCCGGGAATTTTTTGCTCAAGGAATCCGGAATCCACGAGGTGGAATCCAGAATCCAAAACTGTCTTGGATTCCCTTATATGGGACGACCGGAACATGCGCATTTTGATAAAAACTCGTCCTGAATCACGCATATGTCTACGAGTCTCTGAACTCCCTGAAGTCTGAGTCACTTCAAAAGTGATTTTAGTTTTTACGAGCCGGCCGTTCATAGAAAGATTTACATCACAGTTCGGTAAACATCAGATGTAGGTGGACAATTTCCGTGGTTCGTAAATCTTGAAAAGGTCTTGAATTTTAGTAGCTGTCTTGAAAAGTCCTTAAAATTCACTTCCTTGTTGAAAAACATGTTTTGTGCATGAGCAATATCTTACTTCTGTTCCTTTATTTTAAATGCTATTTCTGTACCTCAGATGCATTTTTTTTGCGCGCTGTGATGGCGGGCCTTTTTCCAGTGCGGTGTACAGCCTGCGCGCTTATTAAAAGTTTCCTTTCCACGCGCGTCCTTTTCTCGGAGATGTATCACTAGAAACACGCGTTTTACAAGTAATAAAGTCCGGTAGGGGGGCGTCTGCCATATAAAAGTGATGGGAATGCTCGTCGTCTCGCTTTGGGGTGTAAATTACAGATTTTCCGACGAGCATCCCCGCCACTTTTATATGGGAGTCCCCCCGGGAATAAAGTACGCACTCATTTCTTTAAGTTATGGTCCTCACTTTCTTTCCCCGTTAGATTATGTCCTGGGCGTTTAGTCATCGACATGGAAAAAAAAATCCTTGGTTCGTAACTAACAACCAAGCACGAACCTCCAGCTCAAGTGGAAAGAACACACGGGTATCAGTATGTATTCGTTAACAGTCTCGTTTGCAATTCTGTGGCGGTAAGCGGTTCTTCTGCGTCAATTTCCGTTTTGTTTCTTGAAGGATTCAATTCCCTTAAAAGAGTACAGTTTGAAAGAAGTTCCTTGATACGGCCTTTCAAGTGTCATAAATCCATAGATCATAATACACACAGAAATTGGTAGGGTGCTGATCCCGCATTCTCGTCCCTTTTTCGCGAGAATCCCGCGTGCCGAACTTCTGTCACCGCTATCCCGAATATCGTTTTCTTTCCCAATTCTGCATCCCTTGCCCAAATTTTGGCGAATCCCGCTTCCCGGGTAGGAGTCAAATCCCGAATGTCGTTAACGCTACCCGAATCCCGCATGTGTGTTTTGTTTGTTTTTTTTTTTGGTCATACCCCAGATCCCGGGAAATACCCTTCCAGACCCAGTTCTCATGTTTATTATTCGCAGTTGTTTCTATCGCCATGCGCTTGCAGATGTTTTCCAGGTTGCAGATTTTTTTATTATATGGCTGCATCCGCGAGCGGGTAAGATGAAGGGAGTCCTGCATTCTGATTGGCTACCCCTAGGGCTTTCTACAAGTTGCTCGAGGTTTTCCAAAAAGTTTCCTGTTATTTCTCAAAAAGTTGCTCAAAAAACAATCAAAGGTTGCTTTTTGTGACGAAAGTTGCCCAAAAGTTGCTCGAAAAAGCAGAAACATTATTTTTGAGTCTGATGCTAGAACATGAAATTGTACGACAAAAGTAAGATTTCTAGGACAAACTTGAAGCAAGAGGCACACATACACCATACACCCGGCCTGGCTAGTACCTCAAGCATGCGCACAGCCGTATCACAATGCCGATAAGCCGATACAGCTGTCCATGGCTTCCACTGCCCGAGTGATATGGCTATGTGCATGCGTGAGGTACTGGCCAGGCGGTGGGCTGGTGTATGTGTGCCCTTTTCTTTAAGTTTGTCTTTTTAAGATTTCTAAGCATTTTAATTTTGTGCATTTTTGCGGCGTAACCAGCGTTGCCAAATAACTTTGTCCTCAGTTAAAACCAAAAAAAGTAATGAGCCAATAGAGTGTTTTCACTCACGTGACCAGCATCTATGCAAATTTATTGAAACAAAAGAAAGCGTTTGCATAAGAAAAGAGTTCAACTCCCGGAGGACTGGTTTGGGACACAAACATGGCCGCCGTTTCATTGTTTTGGGACACCAATATGGCCGCCGTGACGTCATGTGAAAACACTCTATATTGCATGTCCTTCTTCTTCTTCGTCCACCATTTTGAATAAAAAAACCGCTGACCTAGCTAGCAGGCCGGCTACTTTTATCTTGCGCCCATGAATTGCCGCAGGGGGAAGGAAATGGCTCTTGTTTTTCACAGGACATTCAAAAATTGTCTACTAAAACATAATAAAATATGGACTGAGAAAGGCCAATTTAACCACTAAAAGCTGCTCCGATATCTCAGAATCAGGAGATAACTAGAGAAATTGCTCAGAATGCAAAAAGTTGCTCGAAACGAAAAAAGCTACCGAGCAACTTGTGGAAAGCCCTAGCTACCCCAGCGGGCAAGATCGGGTTTTTCCGTGTAGGTCCCGCAAGAAAAAGTTATCTTTTTGCCACTAATAAATCCTTTATTACTGACCAAGCTTGTTCGGTCAAGATGGCTGAAAAGTGGCCTCGTAATTTGTGCTTTTCTTTTGACCTCGACTTCGTCGGCGGTCAATAAAAACGCTTAAAAGAACTTGGCCAATATACAGCCATCTTGAACGAACAATCTTGGTCAATAACGCATGTGTAAAGAAAATACACGATGATGTGCATCTTCGCTTGAAACGCGCTTCACCTTCGATGGCACGCGGAAGGTTTAATTTTAGTGGCGAAAATGCGAACCGGCAGAACTGACGGCCGAAAACAAGCGGACAGTCTTGGTTTAGACGCGAGAGTCCTACAAGGGTAGCACGAAGTTTGGGTCTTACGGGTAAGAAATGTTATCTTTTCCTTTGCCGAAGCAGAAGTCGAGAGTTAACGGAAGTTTATACAAGTAACGGAAAGGCCCAGTGACGCCCATATTTTAGGGTTGAAATTTAGAATCAGCACGCGCGCGGGAAATTTAATCTCGAAAAGTGGCGAATATAGGACACGAAATGTTGCGCACGAAAGCAAACTTGTAACAGACACCACCAACCGACTTTGGTGGCATAAGCAAACAGTATAGCAACATCTCCTTCAAAAAAGTTAAAATGTCAGAAGACCAAATAAAAGGTTTGTAAATATTGTGGAGAAAGCAAGAAGTCGGCACAGGGGTGAATTGTTTTTGACACTAACAAAAGTTTTCTTTGGCACGGTAAGTGAAAGTTAAACCACTGTATTTGTCCGTGGGAATTTTTTTTATCGTTTTTTAACACAAAAACAATAAAAACTCCCAGAGTTGCCAAATAATTCTCTCTTTGCAACTTTCAATTGAAACGAAAGCTTTTAAAAGTGCGCAAAATTTCTTTAACTATTCTGTTATTTGGTGAAAGATTTTTAGGAACTCAACCTAACGAAGAAAAGAAGGCACAAAAAGGGAAAAAGCGCAGGAAGTCTAGGCGGAGTCGTAAACTGATCAGTTTCGTAAGTACAACCTACTTGTCTTCAATGTAAAAGAGGGACTGTCCTAAAAGAGCTTGAAAAACTCTCTGAATGAACCCTTCCACGGTTTTTTCAAGTTTTGATGAAGACCACTCAGCGAATATCGATACATCGACACTGCTGGAAAAAGGTCCATAAAATTAGGAAACCTTATACCACGTTTAAAGGCAATCTGTCCAAAGCGAGCAAAGATATATTGCTCCACAACCTCGCGAAAGTTTTACAGTACGTTTGTGTGTGTGTGTGTGTGTGTGTTTGAGGGTGCTGGTGAGGAGAAGGAGGGGGGGAAGCTCACCACAACGTCTGTAAAACTTGGCACCTCACTAGACACGTTCAAACTTGGCAGTTGCCGCCTAATAAACACCTTTAAAAACTGCACTTAGAATCCCATTTAAAGTGCAGAGTCTAGTTTTTTTTTGCATATCATTCGCAAACGTTTTACTTCTTCAAATGACCACTAGGTGGACCGGCCGAACTGGGGAAGGCGAGCTCGCTGTGACATTAAACTAATGTGGCAAATATCGGTAAGATTCTGCTGTTGTTGCTGTTATTTTTGTTGTTGGTACCAGGCCTGAAACCGGTCAGAATAAGGTGGTATAAATCTAACGACACGCCAACTCGCTGACTTTCCGCTCTGATCTTCACTTGTATGATACCACGTGCAAGCACACGTGCCCTGAAGCAATAGCAATCACAAGTGTCCTTGGAATTTTTTTTACAGTAAAACGCGGGCAACAAAAATGGAAAACGTCTTCTTCCATAATCGCTTCAAAACGAGTTAAAACAATGTTGCGCGTTTTACCACCAGTCAAGTCTGTCTCGCAACAATTCATATTGTTGCAGGTTTCAGATAGTTGTTGTATCTTGTTGCAAAACGCCTTAGGGCCTGTTTACATGGAGTGGGGGACCCCGGTCTAGTGGGGTTGGTTTCTTTTGTTTTCACGCCCTGGGGGACACAAAACAAAAGAAACCTACCCCACTAGACCGGGGTCCCCCACTTCATGTAAACAGGGTCTTAAACTACTCTCTACTTTTTGCAACAACTTGTCGCAACCTACAACCCGGCACGGTGCACGTGCTTGCAAACAAAAAGAAATCCAAGGAGCAAGGTCAACGGCTTTACGCGCACTGCTGTACGCACACTGTCTATGTTATCTGTGAGGTTCGTACAGAGTCTTGAATTGTTGAAATAGTCTTGACATTTGCCCAGCAATTTTCCAGACCTGGAAGAAGTCTGAAAAAATTTGTAAAAAGTCTTGAGTTTTTTTTTTATTTTTCAAAGTTGAAACAAGTGCTTCATAAGCGATACTGTTTTTCGTTTTGGTCAAATCTGACTCAATGTCGCCCGTATGTTGCAGTGGATCAAGAAAACAGTTTGCTTTCTTCCTTCGTGTTTTATGGTCTCTATTGACCACCCTCCGTATTTATTTGATAACCTTGAGGTCGGAAAAAGAAATTAATGTTTTGGAAAAATGTCTGGAAAAAGTCTTGAATTTTGGATCCAAAAAATCTGTACGAACCCGGCCTGTATCTGGCAAAAGGAACCGGCATTAATGATTTTGGTTCGGCCATGTAGTGTTGCGTTTCATTTTCAGTATTGCTGTCAGCGTAATTTGCGTTCAAAGCTAAACGGGACTATTAATTAATTCGCCTATTTCTTTCTCTGCATCATTCTTTTTTCCTAGATTGGCGAAGGCTTCGACATCTGTCCAGGGCAAGAGGAGTATTTGTACGAAAACGAGTGGTAAGTATATTATGAGCTATTGCACAAGACACTTAGAGGTCAGGTTATCAATCTATCCACAAATTAGCGCTATTAAAATTAAAATTGAACCGATCTTAAAAGGCGAAGTTTTTGATCTTTGAACTTGAAATATTTTTGGATAACAAGCGTGGCGGCGACTAATGTTTCTTTATGAAGAAGTACAGCTGTCGAAACTAGTCACCATTCTGGGCTGGTGTGATCTCATTCTTACTTCCATGGATAATAGAAAGACAGAGAGAGTGAAATATGCGAGGAAACATAAGACGCGCAAAACGTCGAATGAGGTTGAATGACTCTTGATAATGTGACGTCACATTTTTCCACTATGTTGGAAACGATCGCGTCAGCCAGTTTCCTATCCAGTCTTTCTATTATACATGTTACTTCTTAAGTTAGTGACTAACTGATTTTGCTGGCTCTCATAGGACACCCACAGAGGAGGATTTTAAACTTTTTGATGAAAGAAAGCACCAATGTTGTCAAGGTATCAGTGAAAAATTCAGGTTACAATCTTTCAGATTAGTTGCTAATAGCGAAAACAGTTACATGGAGAAAAGTACTGAATTTACGTTCAGTTTTCTATGGCGTCGTCAAAACTCATGTGCGATACGGCTTTTACAGCGCGCGCAACTTCTTAGGAACTTGAATTATCGCTTTTTTTCCGGCGAGCTCTTGAGCGGAAACTTTCTTCTTGGATGACAACAACTTTAATATTTATTTGTACGGAAACAAATTACATTTTGTACCTGAGACACTCAATATTGTTCTTGGATTGCTTGCAAACGCAAAAACTATCATCAGTATAATGTAGATAGCTGGTATTTTCTAAAACAAAAAGAACCAGAGATACGAAACAAAACCAGGAGGTTCTGACAAAAAAAACAAAAAAGCAAAAAACACGATAGCCGTTTTCAGACACTCCTAGGACCACTTATGTGAAAAGCAATTTCCTCGCGCCGTTTTTCTCTCGCGGTAGCTTTTATCGTGCACGCATAGTCACGTTTGTTCCCCGCTGTACTCGACGCGTTCAGTGTATAAAACTCGAAAAAATGTCATAGTTACTCCACAGATTGGTTGTTATATCGGGGTTTTGTTGGGGAGGGAGGGGGGGGGGGTGGCTGACTGGGAACCCGGACAAAAATTTCCGTTTAAAAGCTATCACAGCCAGTTCCTTTGCACTTTCCGAGTATATTTGTATGCATTCCGCCGGGGAAGAGAGGTCACATTCTATGCACAGTTTTATAATCAATTTATAAGGAAAAAGGCTCAGTGTATCCGAAGGTATCGAGGTACATCCAAAGAATAAAACTGTTGCTATTTTTGGTTTCATTTTTGCAGATTTTTCATCATTAAATTCCAGGACAAGACCGTCTCAAGAATCTTGCGGAAAAGAAAGCTGTTTCTTTGAAGATGGATCAATACTTTATTTGTAAGGGACGGGCGTGCTTTTACAGTTATCAGACGGGCAATTTAAACTGGCAGTTCATATTTTAGGTGTTAAAAATACATGACTGTTAATAACATTCCTTAATTTAGTCTTTTTATATGTGAAGAATAAATGGCAACAACATTCTATCCGCTTTTTCACTCCAACTTGTGGTCAAACTGAAAGCAAGGGGCAAACATATGAAACATACACCAACTGGCGGCCTGGCCAGTACCTCACGCTTGCGCACAGCCATATCACCCGGGCAGTGGCAGCCATGGACAGCTGTTTAGCCCTTACTGACCTTACTGGGACTCATCAGCATGGCATTAGTAGCCGTCAGTCCTATGAATGCACAAAGCCCTGTTTCCATGGCTGCCAGTCCACTGCCTGGTTCATGTTGTTGTGGGTTCAATTCGCATGTTGTAGAAATGCTCCTGAAAGTTTCCTCAAAGCATACCCACTTGATCAGAATGGCAATTCGCGCGATCATCGCTTTAGGCCACGTTTACATGGGGAGACGTTGCCCCGAGTAAAAGGGTCACTTGCTACCCTGGGCGAGCCAAGGGCGAGCCAACTTTCCATACCGCGGCATTTACATAAGAAACAAAAGGCTGGCACGGCCAGAAGTGTGCCCCGCCTAGACTTGTCTACTTGTCACCCTTTTGTGATGTTAGGTTCACCCTTCTAGCCAGCCCACCTGTACCTACCCCTCCCCTAACTCGACGTTAACATTTGCGTCTCACTTGGAGCAAAATGTTGGGGTTAGGGAAGGGGTGGGTGGGCAGTTTCTCGGAAACCTTAATTGATCCCAACATTCTCGATATACACGCTTTGGCTCGCCCACCCGTTATTACTGCAATTTTTTGAAAATGTGTTTATGCAGCGCCTTAAGCGATACCTGAATGGGCAAATTTTGTGGCTTTCCGTCCCAAACACCCTAAGGGAGACCAAAATCTGCAATTTACACCCCTAAGCGAGACAACGAGCATCACCGTCACTTTTATATGGGAGCGCCACATCCCCCCCCCCGCCCCTCCTCTGGGATAAGGGTGACCTTTCCACCCGGGAGTAGTTTTCTCCATTTAGCCGGTCAACGAGGTCTTTAATACTCTCCATTTTTACAAAAGATCGTTGTGACTCGATTTCTTCGGGGAATACACGGGAATCTCGATCAGAACACTATACAACTGGGCCCTGAATAGGGGTGGTCTCCGAGAACTATATTAGTTTAGGGTTTGATATTCGACTTCGTTTGTCAATTTTTGATTTTGTGTTTGGTCCAAAGCCACCAGGAACCCAGGTTCCCCCACTCCTCGGCTATAAAATCAATAACACGCTGAAAAATAAGCTTGAAAATACACGCTGGGCAACTACATACGTTTAAAGGAGCGACGTAGTTGCTTGAAATAACAGAAAACAAATGTTTACCATGGTCTCTGAATTGTATCGGAGGAATCGAGGATATTTGCAGTCACGAGACCAGACCTCACGTGAATTTGCTCCTAATGTTGCGTGATGCGTTGTGTGACAAAACGTGACGGTCATTCCAAGGGTTGTTAGCAGCTTCCCTAAATATCAATACGGGGAATTTCTCTTTTAAACCGATGAGCTTTTACTAATGTGAATGAAATTCCCAATATTTTTTATTCAAGAATGTTCAGGTTGCGTTGCTATATAATTTATTTCTTTGCGTAGAGGGCTTCTTGAAAATTCTGATCATTTGCAATTCTCTCTTCACTCCCGTGACGTCACCACCTCGCAATCGTTGAACTCTAAAAATGGCGGCGAATTCGTGTGGACCTTTAGAAAGAAACTTTTCAGCCGAGAAAACGTGCTAATCTCCTCTTGGATTTCACGGTTTGACAATCCTTGTTGAATAGACAGACAAAGGAAGTTAAGAAGACCAACGGATGTATTATACGACGCACCAAATTGACTTCCCCGTCACAAATCATAAACCGTTCCTCGGCAATGCTGTTGTATTAACGTTCTGAAAGTGTAATATTGCAAGATTGGTCTTGTGAGAACCGCTCTAATTCGCCCTGCAGGAAGTCCATTCATGCACAGAAAATGAAAGATTTAGTATTTTTGGAAGGAATTTTGGCCGCTGTTAATTCTCAAGACACCCAGAAAAGGCTGAAAGCGGCTGAAGACCTCTCGACCTACCTCAGCGATCCTTCGAACAGAGTAGAGTTTATTGGCTTCGATAAACTTCTCGATGGGCTTGTTGCGTGGGTCAATAGCAGTAATTTTAAGGTAGGAAAACGAAGAAAGTCATTTACTTTCTTGTTACTTTTTTTTTGCTTATGTGCTGGATATATTGCGAATATTTTCATGGGATTTAGCAAGCACTAGAACATTTAGTCGACACGATGCAAAATGCTCGCGAGTTTTTGACGATCGTTTTCCGAGAGGTCTTTGTGCATGGATTGAAAAACGATTGGCAGTTTAGGCCGTAAAAATGAAAATCACAGTTTATCCTTTTCGAACTACACTGATTTGTTATTTTTAGACGTCAGGCGTCTATTAATTGGAGCTTGAGGTATTAGGGTAGTTTGAGGAGTCCATATATTCTGTAGACAAATATTGGCACCCGAACGACTTAGTACAGTAATTAGGTATTTTCCTTGGTATTCTTTATCAGAAATAACCTGCCAAATAAATGAATGGTTTTATTTTTCTTTAGTTGAGCCTAACGGGGTTGGATCTCCTTCATCAAATTGTAGACAGGCTTGGAGCAAATTTTCGCAGTCATCTCTTACCAGGTTAGCGAATAAAATATAACTTTATACCTAGAGAGGGTAATTAGGACAGTTAATTTACAAGTAATTTATTCTCCATGCTGTGTTGTTGGTGTTATTAGAAACCAATTCGTTTTTTTTTTGTTTGAAAACGGAGACAAAGCTTTAAAAATTTTGAATCCATTGATGTTAAGCCTGGACTCTTCAGATTCTAAATAAACGCCGGTTAACTATATGCGCCGTGTTGGCATATAAGCGCTTTTGTTTACTCATAGCTTTGATTCGCAGGTATTGCCTTGAGAAATACAAATGCCATGTAAATGCGAACCCGAGTCTTGTAAAAACTTGATTTTTAACTTTGATTTTCTGGACAAATACATAAATTCATCTTTAAAAATTCAGAGTGGCATAGATGTTATGTTAGATCATTAAATATAAATCGTTTTCTGGTGGATAAGACGTAACAACAACAAGTACCAGGGCTTGTTTTGTTGAAAGCGAATTAATTGTCGTAATGTCAGAGCACAAATTACTGTTTCTGTCAAGGCAATTTGTACCTATATCATTTAGAAATTTCAGTTATAAAAGTATCCCGATAAATCCTTGGCGTAATGTTTATATGAGTCCCTGCTGTTGGATGTTTGCAGATGAAGTGTCAATTTCGTTAATTTTATTGACTTCAAAGTTAAGAACAATAGTCACTTAGTCACGATATAAAGGGAATAAAATTCCTTTATTGGTTGGAGGTTTTAATTATAGCCTTAGAAGTATGTGGTTTAGGTTGTAACTCATTTTCATGAATTGGAAAAGGTCTTAGATGAAAGCAAGAATGAAGATGTGGTCTTTCATATTTAGAACTTTGTTTAACTGAAATATAAATGACCTCTTTCCGTTCCACTTTTCATTGATATCGGTTTGTAATCGTCCGCCATGTTGCCTGTGATACGAAATTGCATAATTATATGATAAGGTATATACCTCACGCAAGTGTTGTGTTTACTTGGTGTGAGAAATGTTTGCATATTGTATAAGATTGTGTTATTGGCCTCTGCATAGCAACATTAGTGGAATACGCCTGAGGTATACGTGCAAGCTGACCAGTGTTTATGGCCGGCATTGTAAGCTACATATATATGTAGGTGAAATCCTTTAAAATGTATTTGTTGTTGTATTTACGGTCATTGACTGACAAAATGTTTTCTACATTTTCAAGTCTCCTAGCTGTTTGCTTTAGAGGGGTGCAGAGCTTAAAATAAACCTATTTTTAGAGGTATCAGTATCATATAATCGTTTTTTCAAAATGCAAAGCCATTTATATGTTTGTATAACATAGTAAGATTAACTCTATAAGATGCAATTGTAGTTGCTTGACTGCAATAAGGGTAAAAATTCTTTAATATTGTTGTCAAAATTTGGCAATGACTATTGAAATTTACTTAAAACAAACAGTGGTAGATAACTTAGTGCTTTTACAGTCATGTACATGCATATGAAAAATGCATTTTTGTGGTGGATTACTGTGACTTTGTTGTAGATTTTGCTAAATATTTTGTTGTACCTCTGCATGCAGGTATAAATTTTAACACATTAGTACAGTATCTGCAAAGTCTGTGTTTTCTCAACATTTTCACTGAGATGTCTCTAAGACAAAACTCGGCAACTTGCATGCTGTATATGTTACAGGTCAAAATTGAATTCAGGTTAAAATTTTTAACCTTGGTTGATTCTCAGTGAAGGTTAAAAAAATTTAAGCAGAATATAATTTTGACCTGTAACATCTACATCCATAATTTTCTCAAGTTATTTTATCATTACTGAATGTCTAGCGCAAATTTTGAAAGCTTATTTTGTTTAGGGAAGTCAATACTGTTTCAAGGCTGGTCTGTAAAAAAATGTTAATATCTACAGTGCATAAGCAGCCCGAAAGCTCTGACCCCAACCTGAGTCCAGTTCTATAAGGGGGATGTTTGGGGTGATGAGAACTGTAATATCATGAAACAAAATCATCAGACATACCCAAACCTGACTTTATGGATACTGAGGGACAGAGCCTAACATTTGGATTACAGAGCTGTCTGGAGTATTCAGTTAGGAAATGTTTGAAGTTTGCTTTTTTAAGGACTCTGTAATTGAGAGGCATAGTCATACCCGCTTTATGGACACCCGCTTAAAACAGACACCTCATTATTATGGACAAAAAAAGTTAATTTTTTTTACTCGAATCCCAGTAGGGCCATTTATACGAGGAAAAATAAGACGCGTCTTAAATAAGACGCGAACTGTACCATTTATACAAGAATGTCTTATCTAAGACGAGAACAGCTCGTATAAATGGTTCGCGTCTTATTTCTGTTCTTGACTCGTTTTCATGTGAATGTTGCCCGTAGCAATGGCAATCCAACGTGGCACGCCAAAAATTAACGCATGCGTACTATGCGTTCGACGTGAAGGTCATTTGTACAAAGTTTTTCTCGTCTTAGCTAAGACGCGTCTTATCTAAGAACAGGTGTTAAGGGCTGTTCCAAAATAAGACGCGTCTTATTTTAGATGAAATGTGCCGTTTATACGGAAAGTTCGCGTCTTATTTAAGATGCGTCCTATGTAAGACACGTCTTATTTTTCCTCGTATAAATGGCCCTAGTGTTTCCTTGGCTCTGCCTCATGAAACATTGAGATTCTTGCGAAACAAAATGAATTGTTTCCCTTGGCACTAGTCATCAATAGTATAATACTATTGGGAATCTTGAATTCAGAATCATGGAAGAGAAAAACAATAGCTTTTTTGATTCTGATTTGGAGACAATACCAGGGCTTTATAGTATATGGCTATATGCATGATATTTAGATTGAAAATTAATATTGTCCAATATCGGACACCAGTGTGAAGTGGCATAGTCTGAACAAGATGTATACATGTAAAATTGTACTTGTGCCTCAATGTTACATTTAAGTTCTATCTACAATGCTCTGTATGAATATTTACTGATGTAGCCAGAGAATTAATCTCCATATTTCTTTTGGCAGCTTTTTTCAATGTATTCAACCCTTTTGAGAAATCTACTTTTATAGGAACTTAGGTAAATCTTTTTACGTTGGATTTTTGCGTAGGGCATTTAAGTTGATTGAGTCTGTCTGGTTCAAATCTAGTCATCAAAAAAATAGTATGATGGCCAATTTAATAGATTGGTTGATAAAGTCACTTAAAGGAAAGATTATTTCAATTTTTAGGATTGCTTTAATATTAATGTTTTTTAGTAAGTCACACCTACATAAAAAAGCCAATAGGCAGAAAAAAATTTTTAACTGAATGTGACATCTTATTCTAAAATTGTCTGTTTTATTAAAATGCAAGCGGAATGATTAAGTGCTGTCAGATGATTCCATACCTATTTTTCAAAAATATTGTAGGTACTGTAGTTGTAATACCAAAATATTGTAACATTTTACATAAATTTGCATTAGAAGAAAAATTATATTAATTGTAGAAAAAAGTTGAATTGCTTTATCTCGAGGAGCTGCATATGCGCTGTGAGACAAGAGCTAGTGGCAGTAAATCAAATATTGTTCAAAGATTTCTTTATTAATCATGGATTAAGGAAATACTGTAATTTTTAAAACTTGGAATATGTTGACAAAATTAGGAATGATATAAGCTATGTATAAACTTTATATCATGCTATGACAGCTGATCTTTTGTAATTAGCATAAAAGGGCTTTGTCACTGCTCTGAGTCAAATATCGTATGATTATCGAACACATTGCTGCTCTGTGCTTGGCTTTGGTATTCATGTGAAGATGATACTAACTATAGTGTAAGATCCTTGCTCATACTCTTAGCTAAAATAGTCACTGTTTGTGCTTTTGATTATGGGTATATGTTTATTCTTTTCATCATGCATATGGCTAAAGAGAAATTCCGTGTGTACTTTATTTTTTTAAAAGAACACTAAAAATGTCGTGGCTTTTAAATGTGCTAATCATTAATCACATGTTCAAGTAAAATTCTCTCTATTTGTTGTTGAATTTTGAAACAAATATTTGCCACTCCTCAGGACACCTGTGTTTGGTAGTAAAATTTTGGGATTAGTTTTTCTTTCCTCTTTGCCATTAATATCCTTTTTGTTATTTTGCATAAATTTTTCAACAAAATAGTCTTTTTGGTTTGTGACAACAGAATATAAAAAGGAATGTTTGTTGGTGTCATTTTAAGGGTGTTTTCAGTCAAGTTTTTAGTTTGCTAACTTGATTTACCTCTAGTCTATCTTAAATTATTGTATTCCATACATATTGGTGTGCATACATTAACATCTTGAGTATAGCTGGAAACAATATACATGTTGTGACACAAAGTCTTCTTTGGTTTAAAAGTTTTCAAAGTAGTTTAACTTTTCTTTTTCTTTTGGTAGCTTTTAATATTGATGTGAGACAAAATTAATTTAGCTCAAGCCAAAGAAAAAATTGAACCACAATGTAAGATAGAAAAAGTAACTTTGTTTTGTGTCATGATTTATGATCAGCTTGAACAGTATACAGGAATCATGTATAACTTGTTACTTATCAGCGATTGTGACCTTAAAAAATTGCATAAAAATACAAATACTGCATCAGAATATGTGTATGTGTAATCAAATGGTGATGAGTGAAATTTGGGTAAAGGCTCGGGAAATTATTAGGATTTGGACAAAACGCAAGTGAAATTATTCCCTAATTTCACGAGTATTCCATTTGATTACCTATTAAAATCATGGGTGACGAATTACGTTAGCAATCTTGGATTTTTGACATGTTTATGCTGGATCACATCGATCGAGAACTTCCCTCTCTCGAACATTTAGAGCTTAAATTTGGCTTGAGTTCAGAATTTTTCAACAAAATACCTGTTAGTATCCTTCTTGATGTGCTCTTTCGTGTGTTCAGGTTTTTTAAGGCATCTTTTTATGCCCTGGCATCTTCGTTCATGACATTTTGAAACTTCGTCGCCATCTTGACACTGAGACGTACGTATGGTTGCCATGGCAATTTTTGTAATTTCACATGTGAAATTACAAATTATTGCTGAAATTTCGTGCCAAAATTCAGGAGTAATTTGTCACCTATGATATTAGTTCTGAAATGGCCCATCATTACATTTAGTTTACTAAAGGGCCAGCCTCTTCTTTAAGGTAGCCGTTTCTTTCAGCTTAGGTTAATGAGAGAGCATAGCTTGCTTTCCAGATAAATTTATAATGTAAATTGATTTTATTTTTGGGTTTTACAGTAGTTGGAGTGTGCGGTGTTATTTTGTGTGAATTTGTATAGGTAATAGCATGATTTGTAGTGATATTTGGCGTAAATACCACGAGTGATATTTCAAAATTGTTACACGTAATTGAAATTTGAGACAACTTTGAAATATCATAAGTGGTATTTATGCCGAATATCACATACAAATCATGCTGTTATTTGTTTATACTACTACCTACAAAAGGTTTGTAATTTTCACATGTAGGTATTTCAAATTAAGCTGAAATACCACTGCTGTAGTAGTATAAGCCTTTAAATAGTTGTTTATCCTGAATGTACCCTCACCTGTACAAAAAAGTTAACTGATGCAAAATACCCCCAAAAAACTGAATTTAATAATAATAAAAAAATAACCAAGTTTGCTGACATTGCAGAATTGAACTTCATTTATTTATTTATAAACTGGTTTAATAACAGCATTTGATTGATGGGAAGTGTGTGTGCAATTTTCAAAATCCTTTTTGCTTTTTATAAACTTGTTTAATAACAGACGCATTTGCCCCAAAAGCTTTTTGATGGAACAGTTCTTGTGTCATCACTTCCTTTGGAAGACATAGCAAAACAGACACTACTTTGTACATGTATGTGGGGGATTGAAAGATTCTACTTAAAATTTGAGGTTGTCTATGATAGAAGTCAGCCATAAAACTGATCCTTTGCCTTTTTTTGTTACAGTTGTTCCAGCCATTATTGAAAGACTAGGAGATAGTAAACAACAGGTTTGTTTTTCCCTTCAAGAAGGCTTTGTACTTTTATTCAGTCCAATCTGCTCCAAAGCAACTGTCATAAAATTTGTGAAAATTGAAACGATGGGAGCCATCACTAAACCGAGCGAAACATAAAAATACTGTAAAATTCCGAAAATAAGCCCCGGGCCTTTATTTTTCAAAGGCCCTTTTTGAGGGGCTTAGTTTTGGAGGGGCTCATATTCAGAGGGGCTTATGTACGGAGGGAAATTTACGTTTCAAAATCGATTGGACTACCGTAAAGTTCTGAAAATAAGCCCAAGGGCTTATATTTTTCAAAGGCCCTTTTTGAGGGGCTTATTTTTGGAGGGGCTTGTCTATGCAGGGAAATTTGCATTTTAAAATCGATTGGGCTAGCCTTATAGTGGGAAGGAAATTGACTGTTTTTGCTTTATTTTAGTTTGAATTTGAGGGCAATTTCCAAGTACAAGCCCCCGGGGGGCTTATATTCGGAGGGGTGATTTAACGGAGGGTTTTTTGCGTTACGAGTTTGGGGGGCTTATATTTGGAGGGGCCTATACATGGAGGGGCTTATTTTCGGAATTTTACGGTGGCTTGTAGTGGGAAGGAAATTTACCATTTTTGCTTTGTTTTACTTGGTATTTGAGGGCAAATTCCAAGTACAAGCCCCCAGGGGGGCTTATATTCAGAGGGGTGATTTAACAGAGGGTTTTTTGCGTTACGATTTTGGGGGGCTTTTATTTGGAGGGGCTTATTTTTGGAATTTTACAGTAACCACTCAAAACAAGAAAAGAATGTATAAATAACACAGCAAATGCACAAGGAGGATCAGATGGACAAACTTGAAGAAGATTAAAACAGATTGCAAGTGTGGTTTTTGAAAAATTATTAGCCGAACAGTTTTACAGAGTTCATTTTTGCCACGGTTAATGCTTTGTATAATGCCTAACAGATATATTTGTTTGACACAGAGCTGTAATTTTGCCATTCACAAGTAATTTCTCAAGGTTGTGCAAATAAGGATGTGTAATGGCATTGTTAACCCTTTAAGTCCCAAGAGTGACCAAAGTTCATATTCTCCTAACAATATCAATACATAATCTAGAAAAAATGTGGTGAGAATTACTGAAATGATCATCTGATGGGAAAAGCTTTGATCAGCAAACAAATTCTCTCAACCAATTCTTTAAGGAAATGTATGAAGATCAGTCTGGAGAATTTGTATTTGGATATTGTGGCTTAAAAGGTTAATAAAATGAACTACAAACCTGTGTTACAGCTGTGTCACAATAAATCGTATCACAACCTCTTTAATGATTGCTTTATAACATAAGCCACATTTGTGTCTAGGTGCGTGATTCTTCTCAAGATCTGCTCCAGAAGTTTATGATTGTATCTACTCCTCAGGTAACTGATGATCCCGTTTTATCTTTTCCCATGTACAGTAGAATCCCAACTTCTCAAACCCTCAGTTTTTTTAATTTCTGACAATTCAAACAAACCTGACTTCCCTTCACAAGTTAGCACATGCATGCAGAAGTAATTCTTCTCATTTTTTCGCTCCACCTGAAAAGTTACAGAAATCGTTCGGCAGCTCAGGTTCGCAGACATTACTTTTCAGGTGGAGGGGAAGAATCTGGTGATCTTGAATAATCAGGGTTAGGAAGCAAGGAAAATTGCTAACAAGTGAGCAGGATGAAAAGTGTTTTACATTTTTTACTTTTTTTTTCTTCCACAGCATGTTCTTGAACAGTTAATCCCTGCATTTGGTCATAAGGCGTGGCGAGTACGAGAAGAAGTGCTTCATTGCCTGGTTACTTCTCTTAATGAGTGAGTTACAGCTCTTAGGACCCTGTTGTTTGAAAAATTATAGTTGAACTGCTAAAATGTTCTACTTGTATTTTTTCTTTGAGATTGCCTTCTGTTTGCAAAATGGGACAATAATTTTTTATTTAAGGTGTCCATTAACCCTTGCCTCAGATATAAACGTCAAGAGAAACAAAATCTTGACAAGCTCATTAGAAATTGATGATAAATTAGGGAAGTCACCAAACTCATTTTCCAGTTGTATGTGCTTAAAGCTAACAGTTTAGACTGTTGCTATGCTAACTTAGAATGCAGTGATCCATTATTAAAGAAGAAGAGATGAAGAATATATAATTTCATTTAATTTATCTGTACTCACCCAAATGATCATAATTATTCCGCCTATTTATGAAATGATTCCTGGGTTCAATCCCTTTGTCTGAGGCCTTTGAAGGGGAAGAAGTTACAGGTGACATGGCCCTGAAATCTGGTGGCAATCCTCTCGGAAAGACAATTGACAGAAAAGGAGGAAGGAATTGTGACTGTGACAATCCATTTTTAAGTAGTGAAAGCGACATCTGTTCACTTTTGCATTTTGGTTGTTTCAGCAGCGAAAAAAACAAACTCTCTTCCGTTATTTCCAAACATTTTTGGATATTTTCTTTTGAATTTTTTTCTGGTGTTGTTCAAGAATGGTCCCAAGGGAGAGACGTCAATGCAACTTATTCTTCCTAGGCATTACAACTGTATATCTGTCTTTAATTCCAAAAAAATTGAGTAACACAAAAATTTATGCTGAACCAACAGTGACATTTTGTCCTTAGCTAAAATGCGATGGTGACCTTTTTTCCTAACCTACCTAGTAACAGGCAGTCCCAGAAATGACTGACAAAGCAACAGCATACCACCCCTCCCTTGGAAGGCCTCTTCACTGTACTACCATGCCTACATGTTAGCCATCAGGAGGTGTCTGTTATCAGTAGTTTAACTGTACCTCTGGCTGCCCAGTATGAATAGAAACCTGCAGCCTCTTGTCAATGTTTTATTGACGGACACTGTTTTTGACTATATACAGGTTTGGTGCACCATCTCTGACTGTATCTAAGTTTGTACCACACATTTGTAAGCTTCTTGGAGATCCAAACAGCCAGGTAACCTTGTTAATAATAATAATTATCATACATTGTGCTCACCAGCGTGCAAAGAAAGTAGTATCCTATAGCCTCGGGCTAGTGGATTTTGCTATCGGGCTGGTGAATTCTGTTATTAACTTGCTTGACGGGCAAGTGAAGTTTTTTGAGGTAATATTCAAATTACAGAAGAACTGTGAAATCAATCTGCTCATCAAAACATTTTTGGGGCTAGTTGAAATTATATTTGGGCTAGTAAAATTATGTTAGCTTCAGCTTGCCCAAATGGCAAGCTGTAGATGACTTTCTTTGCACCCTGCTCACGATCAGTCCTTTTCATTGGCTAAGAGCCTACAGTAAAATTTGGAAATCACGCAACCTACAGATTAGTCAGTTATCTGTTAAATCTGTATGTTGTACATGCAACGTATGATTTTCAAGAACAAGTTGTCATTATTTTCTTCCAAACAATGTATAGTAAAGCAATTATCAGATTTATCAGTTTTGTAACATCCAGAATAATCAAGGTCCCGGTAAGCATTATCAGTCTTGGCCTCCGGCTTGGCTGATAACACTTACCTTGACTTTGGTGATTCCAGATATCACAAAAACCTCATGCAGTAATAATTTGTTTATTATCTACTTCTTATGGATCACATTTTTAGAGTAGTAGGCAAGGCAGTGGCGGGGGAATATTTGAGCGGAGTATTAAACAAGGAATATCCATAACCTGAGAATAGAAATAAAAAACTTGAATTCCAGCTTGTCCTTTGGGCAAGAAGCTCTCACATTCTGCTTGCCTAGGGCCACATGTTGTTCTTCATAGTTTTATTGATGATTTGTTAGAGGATGCAGGGCTGTGCTCTAGCAGAGCCCATTGGCCCCTGGCACCCACCTTTTGCTCTTAGATGACTAGGAAATCTTAGTTTTTGGTGGAAGTCATCTGCTGGGCACCCTGGATTTTAAAGGTTCAGAGGTACTGGGTTTCCTTTAATTTTTTTTATAGCACAGCCTTGGGATGACTTCCCTAGAACAGTTATTTGCCCATCAAGAAAAGCCATGTGTCCCGGACATGACTTTTTTGGGCCCTGGAGTGGCATGCACATTTTAGATTTTGTTTTAGTCATCTCACAGTTTGTTGCAGACTAAGCTAAGCTTGTTGTGTGTGTTTTGTTTAGGTTCGAGACAGTGCCATCAACAGCTTGGTTGAAATTTACAGACATGTTGGTGAAAAAGTTCGAGTTGACCTGAGTAAAAAAGGAATACCATCATCAAGGTTAGCACATGGCAATTTCTTTTCTGATCATGAACTGAAATTACATAATGGAAACTGGTTAATGATTGTCCAATTATCCCTCCTGCAGTGGTTTTGGGGTTTCTTATAAAATTTATCGTGTGGGATTTTGTGTTTTCTCTTTGCATTACCATTTTTGGTTTCTTTTTTTCTGTTTTGGGTTTTTTGTTTCTGTTTCTTATTGGCAGTCTTACTATTGTTTTAGCTTCAAACAGTTTTCTGCCTTTTCTCTTGGAATCGGTCAAGTTCTCATTTTAGCTCTGAGTACATTTGCAAACAATGACATGGCAACTAGAGTAACTCTGAAACCAGAAGCAAGAGACTGCTCACAACCTACAAGCAGTTCACTTCTCAAAGGCTTAGTGCTGCAATCTACATGTATAAGTTCTTTGTGATACACTTGGGACGCTTTTTTTATTTACAATCTATATTTCTTCCCTTCATTTGTTAGAGTTACTTAAATTTTCATATTTTTTCCCTGCCAATTATCTTTAAAACAGTTGTTTAAACGTTTTATCTTTGTCATGCATGATTTTGTTTTCTTGTTGTGTGGTGGTTAAGGGGGACAGGGGTTGGGGGGATGGAGAAGGCATGTTTTAGCTGAGGAAGTGACAGGTTTGGATCATGCAATTTTTATTAAAAGATTACTTACCAGGCCAGGAGAGTGCAATGTTAAGTGGGCAATGTTCATTTTGTCAGAATAAGTGACCCATATAATTTATGTTTTTCCTTTACTTTATTTTCAAATAAACCACCCTGCAGTGTTTTGCATCCAATTGCTTTATTTTTTTCAAAGTTAGCAAGAGTTGAGAACAATAAGAACATGCTTTGCACACCTCTACGGTTTACTTGATGTTGGTTTATCTTATTTTAAAACCCCCCCTAAGAGATAGTTCCGTCATATAAACTCTAAAGTACATTTTTCTGTACTTTTCCCTTTAATTCAAGTGGGCTGAGATGCAGGAAATATTGTAGTTCTTGTCATGATTGTTACACATTAATACTTATCTTGTTTACTGGCTAGGCCAAGGATACATTTTAATACCCAACTTTAGGTAACCTGTTTTCCAACATTTTTTTGACAGATTGTCAATTATTTACGCCAAATTTGACGAGGTAGCCCGATCAGGAGATATGATTGCCAATGAAGCCAATGGTATGAAATTTAATCTTAAAGAAAAATAAATGAATCAACTGATTAAAACCCTTACTAGGGATGATGGATAAAGCTTAAAAGGTTACGTTTAACTCTTTAATCCCAATGTCCTTTCTCCTCTTTCGTATTATAACAAGAGAGCAGAAAGAACAAGTTGCTCAGACAAGTACTAATCTATTCTTGAGTAATCATGCCTTAAATTCCTATAGCCTCTCTCATTGATTACTCACTGCAAGGAGAAATTTGGTAATATTCACTTAAAGGGGTCTAATTAGTTTAATTGAAATAGGTGCACTGTTGTTTGCTGTGCTCCCTGGTGGAACCACAAAAAAAAGATGTATAGTTGGAGAATTGTCAGGAATTGCCTCTGGGAGTATTCTTGATTCAACCTCAGTAACAATTCTCTCTTTACCTCCTTTGGGGCAAGAAATACATGTTTTCTCTGTGAGCTCCAGCTGGTGTTAAAGTCACAGGAATTCACATTGTTGAATTTATAGTAGTTTTTGTTGCCTGTTGGAGAGTTTTAAGGGATACACGTATGCTAAAATATTGTTTCTGTCATAATTTTTTGGGTTCCCCCCTCTAGGACTGCATTTTTGTTTTTGCTTTGACGAGATTCTTATTCGTTTTTGCTGTTTTTGGTCTATAACTTGTAATAGACAATCTTGAGCGTCCCTTTTTTATGAGATTAGAGGACTGAGAAAGTTGATGACTAATGTGAGAAATAATCAGTTGTGAAAACAAATGTGATCATAAGACAACAATCTTAGTGGATTTCCAAGTTATTTGAAATTTTTATCCCTTCTACTTGTGTGAAGTAAAACTTGCAAATTAGGTAATGTTGACAAGTAGGATAAAGTGGTTTGTTTATAATTTACATTCCAATGATGCCGGGAAAAACTTTTTGTTTCTATCTCCATATCATACTCTGTGTGTGTATTGTGATCCTTGTTTCTATATTTAGTGTTATTAAAAGAAAGCCCTGAGTCTCATAAAGAGCCGGTATTTTTTGTTTCAAGAGTTTAAGAATAATAGCATTTTATATTGTTTGTAATTTATATGTTCCTTATTGTCCTTATTCAGTGTTGTGTAAACCACATGATTTTAGTTCTGACATTCTTCTCTGCAGTCATGCAATCATGAATATTATGTATCTGGCAATTTTGTTGGTAGAAGGCACAACAAATCTTTTGCTTTCAGGTGGACAGTTTTTGTTCATTGCTAAATAATAGAACAGGAGAGCTGAATATTTTACACAGCTGTGTGGCGTCTGCTTTGGTGTTGTGAACTCTTGTGAATTTACATAATACATACCTTACGTCTAGTTTATATTCCATCTTAAAATTACCCTTCTAATTTGATAAAAAAGCATGCCTTCCATTTTCTCTATCGCATAAAAGAATCAGTTTTTTAAATAGAAGAGAAGTATCATCGCAAACTCTTATTAATAAGTAATTGCTCTGACTGCTTTCATGAAATATTAACTTTTGCTCTCAATCCTATTGGCTGAAAACACTTTTAAATTCATTTTCAGTTAGATGCAAAATAGGATGAAGTTTCACTTATATTTCTGGCTGAGAAAATAACTGCACCTGTATGCTTGTTGTTTTTCTGAAGTAGCCACTCAACTGAGCTGTTATAAAGTAGATTTTCCAGTATATAACATCAAGTTTTATTGGCTGAAGGAAGGGATGAGTGAGAGATAATTTGTGTGCTTTTAGCAAGAGGCATTATGAAAACCAACATGGCTTCTTCTGTGTTTGTTCATTGAGCATGGAACAAATTTTGCAATTATGACTTGACAATCTGTCTGTGCTCTGCTTGGAATTGTGTGAAAGCGACCTTGTTTTCTATAGCGCAAAATGTGGCTTGAATTAGTACATATGGGTAGAAAACCAGGCTCTGTGAATGCGTGGATGCTGTAGTGTTTTGCTTGTTGGTGAGCCAAGATATGGTGGATGACCTTTTGAGCACTGATGGCATTTCTAAAGAGTATCTGATGATTTTGAAGCAGATCGAAGACTACTGTAGTAGAGGCCCAGAAATTGACTTGGATTTACAAAGGATTGCAAATGGTAATGTTTCAAATCTTGTTTTAAATCAACTTTCCATTTCAGCTGAAACATAATATTTCATATTCATGATCCATGTTGTATTATTGCATGACATTTTGAAGACCAGACACCCTAACCTAAATTTGCATTTCTAAACTTTAAGTGAGATTACTGTGCTAGAAAGATTATTTTGTCAGCAACTTATTTATGATGCGACTGTACTGTTTGATTTCAGTTTCATGGATAACATTTGAATGTTTGTGTTCAATCATGCATGTAAACGATTGAATGTATTTTTTCTTTGCTCTGCCTTATTTTTCACCTTACATTGTTTTTGAATTATTTTATTTTGTGTTCACTTGGAATTGTGGTTATAGTTGTGACATTTTAGAGAGTTGTTGACAAAATGGTATATTCAAGATGCTGATAGTTGCCAAAATATGATAAGAAGAAATAGTTTTACAGTCATGCACAGCTGTGTGAATTTTGTAAACTAAATTACAGAAATCTAATTTGACATTTTCTCCTTTGTTCTGTGGTTATAGCAAAACATATAATTTAATTGTTCATTATTTCTTTGTGTGTTCAGCTGTAATGCAAGTTTAAAGATTATTTTCTTCAAAGTTGTATGTGATGTTCATATATGTAGATTTAAAGATGAAAATGTCTTAAACCACATCTGTATTTACTCTTTGCATTATAGATCTCTCTGCTACTATAGCACTGCTTGTATTTAAGTTCAGGATTTTCTACTGACAGTGCATTTTTAGTAGATTTACTGTATTTACCATTCTTTATTTCTTTGAAAATCTGCACCTTACGTGTAATAGCACAGAAAAGTTTATTTTACCACTTCAGTGATATCACTATTTTGCCTTTGTGAGCAAGGCTTTGAAGGGTTGGCTGTATTCATTCCTCTAGGGATGTAAACCTGGTCTGAAAGTTTATATTTACATGTATTATATATATTTTGACTGCATGGAAAGTGATTTAGAAGTTTGTTTGGAATTCATAAAATCAAGAAGAGCAACTTGTTAAAATCCTTTAGCAAGTTGCTCTTCTTGATTCCTTTCTAGGCATTTTCAGTCTAGATAGATACGTTTTATGTTTGCTTTTAAAGATAGATTTGAATTTGTGTTGAACCACCACTCTGTATACAGGTAACAGTAATGTCATTAAAACGTTGTCACTCAGTAAACTGTAGATATAAGCTACAGAGTCATGATATCATAATAGAAATATGGATATTCCCAACCGATATTGATATTTTAAGTACGATCATATTGCTTGTGAAAATAAGGCCTTGTCTTGAGGTCAGTCTTAGGTTCATGTGGATAAGATCTAGGATAATGTCAGGCTATTTTTGTTTGTTATTTATACTTATGAGAGTGGTTAATTATATTTGGACTCGTAGGGCAATACGTGCCAGTATGATACATGTTCCTTTCATATCATTTTCAGGCATATCCATTTGCTGATAAACACTTCACAGTAGACAATAAGATTGACCTACTTCACAGCTTTTTTTTCACAGCGTGAAACAGAACACTAGAAACGAGAATAGGCCATTGTTTACAATAGTTATTTTAGTCACACTTGGTTTTGATGAAAGTCATGCAATGAGTGTGTTACAATAGTGAAGGTCTCCAAGACTTGATGACAGTTTTGTAATTACATTAGCAAAACGGATATTTTGTACAGTATATCCTGAGAGATATAAGAGCATCCTTCTTGGATAATATTACATTTTAATTGTCTTAACTTTGTGTCTGCAACATGGAGTTTTCACATTTCTTGTTATTTAATAACACTTAAACAACCCATGCACTTACACTCTAAAATTTACATTAAGTTACTTAAAATTACAATACCTTACAATAAATTACAATACATTGCATTACAGTCTTGCCACAAACCAACAAAGTACAATAGCGTGTAAGTCTTAGTTTGAGTAAAATAATTGAATCATGATAGTAAACAAACTTCTTGTCAATTAGAGGTTTCCATTTTTTGTATTAAAAGTGATATTCAGGTGAATTAGTACTTGTTGATGTTTGTTTTTCTATCTCAGCTTTGTTTACACTACTGTTTGAGAAACACTTAATATCTCGGGCTCTTCTTTTATACAGCAGCAGTAATAGACTTTTATAGTATTTTGCAAGCAGTGAAAGGTGATTAGGTAACTTACTGAGGTGGTTGTTAACAGTAATACCATACAAGATTTTCATGGCTGATAATTCTAGCTGAATTGATGGGTGATTCTCGTACCAGTCTAGAAAAGCTAGGAGTTATCACGCATTTCTTGGTGTCTCTGAATTCAAACTGAAACAGTTTTAATGAAAACTGAAAGAAGACAGCAAGGAAGTACTGAAGGCTCATTTTATTACGATCAAATGTTGGGTTTGGAAAGTACAGACAATCATTCCGTTCGAGGGATTGTCTGTATCTTCTATACCCAAAGTTTTATTTTGCTCTGCTCATATTTGCAGTTGAGGACAAATACTACATGTAACAACTTCTGTACCATGACCTTGTTCATTTGTTACATAAATACACTTCTAATCTTGACGTTGTTTTTGAAGTTAAAACACTGCCAAAAATGTTGCCCTGCTCTCAGCAAGATAACAAAAGTATGAAATGCTCTGTTTTCTTTTTTATTCAACAAATGGTACCACAGAAAGTTTCATTCACCAAATGATTTCTTCTCGAAGGACTTCAGAAATAGATCTCCTAAAGAAACTTGACGAAACTGCACGATTGTAACGTTATTCTGGTTATGATTACTGGCTTTCATTCAGTACTCTCAGAGATTTTATTATGCAACATTCTCAAATACTGGTAGCTGCCGACCTTCATTTTGTTTATTAAAAGATATTTACTCTAAGACAAGTTAGATTGCAGTATTTTAGTTTAATAAAAAGGCTCTTCATTTATGCGGCATACTGGGCTGTCTATAGTAGCCACAGCAACAGTAAGAAGGCATTGGCACTTTTATAGCACAAAACGAAGTGGAACTGTGCAATTAACTGAACTAAAAGTACCGTTGAACTTGCTCTATGTAAGCGGATGCCTTTGGGACCAGACAAATTGCCTACTTAGGACAAGTGTATGCCCAAGGGAGGTTAAAAGTGCGTTGCTTCTTTGTGGCTGGGACCATGACTTAAGATAGGTGTCCACCTAAGGAAGGTTAAATATTTACTGTTAATAAGTGGCTGGGACCATGATTAAGTGTCCATTTAAGACAGGTGTCCACCAAAGGTAGGTTAAAATATAGTGTAGGTGTGTGGCTGGGACCATGACTTAGTGGTAACTTAAGATGGGTACCAACCTAAGGAAGGTTAAATATTTAGCGTTAATAAGTGGCTAGGACCATGACTGTGTGGCAAGTTAAGAGAAGTGTCCGCCTGAGGGAGGTTAGAAATGCAGTCTGCAGCTGTGATTAAAGGTCGGGTTAATCTTCGAATTTGCCCCTTCTGCCACTTAAATGAAGCTGAACACGAATTACACTTTCTATTCAATTGTAATCTTTACGATAGTCTTCGATCTAACTTTTACAGAAACAGTAGTAATAGATATCTCTTTTTTAATAATTTTGACAACAATGAAAAAACCCTCTTCATAATTATTTAACAATGTCGATCCTCATATCTACAGACGTACAGCCACTTCTATACATTCATGTATGGAATATAGAGAAAAACTTGTTCTTTGATTATAGCCTTTATTTGATTTAAGATTTTTAGCGTAAATAAGGTAGGTAATACCATGTACTCACGTGGGAATATTGAAATAAAGTTGTAAGTGAGGTGTCCATCTGAGGGACGCCTTTTTTGTATGTAACTAAGACCATCACTTAGTGTCTGCTTAAGAAAGGTGTCTGCCTGAGGGAGGTTAAAAATGCAGCGTTCGCGGCTGCAGCCGTGATTAAGGATCGCTTTAAGAGAGGTGTTTGCCGGAGTGAGGTTTTAAATGTAGTGTCTGAATGTGGCTGCAGTTGTTACTAAGGGTCGCCTCAAGAGAGGTGTCTACCTGAGGGATGTTAAAAACGCCATCCTGTGGTCAGAAGAGACTTACACCCTTAAGTCTGGAGAGTGACTAGCATCAAACCAACCGTTCTTGGTGAAAAAACTGATAGGAATAAAATAGATCAGTTTTCTTTGAATCACTTTCAATGGTTCTACGAGCATCAGTATATGTTGTGGTTCAATTTTATCCTTGGTGTAAATTTTATTTTCTTTTGTTTTAGGGTATGGTAATGTATGATAGTGAGTTCGAAACAAAGGCAAATAAAATTTAAACCAAGGATAAAATTGAAACACAACATTTATACCAGTAACCAGTAATTTTATCAGGTATTTTCCATGTGTGTCTGTCTTCTTAACTCCAGCCCACTCTGCCGGGTTGACCAATAAAATTCAAAACTCAAAATTTTGTTCCTTCTATACTTTTTACTTTACAGGTTCTTCAAGATTAAATGGCGAAGTGGAGTCTACAGATGGAGCTAAGGTGAGAACCAGTAAAACCAAATAAATATAGCCCCCCCCCTAGAGAGGGCACGTGTATATAGTTTTTGTTATGTCTGTTGTGTACTTCTTACAAGCGTGATTTCTTGCATGAAAGAAAATAATTTCGACGTACAAGGTGACGCTTACGTATCTGACGTATTAAGTTGCACTACACTTCCATGCCATATAGCACGGCGATGACTTGAGTCGAAGAAAATGAAGTGTGACTTCTTGCATCGACAGTTTCTATGGAAACTGTAAACACAAGAACTGTGTTTCTTTTCGCAAAATGTAATCGTGTTCGACCCTCCCCCCCTCCCTCTCCACAACAAAATGTTCTTATGTGACACTGGCTTACAATGCAATTAATTTATCCTTTCCTTATATTACACATATTTATGTGTTCCGTTTTGTTAGTTTCACGTGACGCGTTTGCAACATCTCACAACTTCCTCACAACGAATACCGTGAGAATGTTTGACTACCTCACCGGGCTTTAGGGAAAAGCCTCATGAAGATTGAGAGCCTAGTGACATAATCTTTCTTTAAAATTTCATTGCGTTCATCTAATTCTTTATCCAAGGTATTACATACAATTTTACCATAATTTTCACCAAAGAAAGTAATTTAAGGAGACTGGTTTTTATGGCTTGATTTTGATAAACGTAAACAGGTGCAAGGCTAAGATTCTTCTAGAAGTAATTTTAGAAGTAATATTGTTGGAGACAGAAAGTCTCGGATTTTGTAAACAAATTGGCTAATACGCGGCACTAAAATTTAGTGTGACTCTGCAACTGTATAGTGGCTATTAAATTAAAGAATTTTTTAGTCACCAGAAATTTCTTTTGCGAGTTGTCCAGTTATCTGTTTAATTCTGTTTCCATTTTGTGCTAGAATGATTTCGATAGATACAGACAGAGGAGCAGACTTAATGCACTTTATTAAAATTCGAGGGAATTTATTCACAGACGGTATCACGATCAGTTTACAACATCATTTGTAATATTTTGCAAGAACGTCAATCGGTAGATGGTGTGAATTGTTTAGAAGAGGAGACTCGTTCTTTATGAATGACTGTGAGCAACTGAGTTTGAGCAGTAACAAATGTTAGAAGTAAGGTTATTGTTAGCTTTGGTCCTTAAATAAGTGTAGTATGTCTGCGGTTTAAAAATGATTTCCGCTTTTGTTTTATTGATCAGTGACAACTTGAATGCTAGAACTTTGCATCGGCATTATTTTGAAAGTGTTTCTTATGTTAGTCCGACTGTCTCGTAGGTTTTACTACCATATCATTATGTTGTGTAACTAGTTGTGCCTTTTAGTTCCCAATTTCAATATGATGATAAAGACATATAAACCGCCTGATTCAGACGCCGAACCTGATTCTCTGAATTAAGTACGCGAAATTTTTCGCGTCTGAATCGGTTAAACATGACCGTCGCCGCGTGAAAAGTTTTATATCCGAAGGTTTAACCTAGGCCTCGGTTTTGCGGCATTCGGTGAAATCCTGTGGTAACTTGTAACTTGAAACCTTTTAAGTAGAATTTTCACTTGATGCTGTATTGGGTTTGCTGTGTTTGCATAATCAATACAGTTGGAATTTTTCTGAATATGTATTTTGGCTGAGAGTCAAGTGGGCACCTCCTATTACAATTTATAATCTAGTCTTGAAACTGTTCATTGCAAGACAGATTGAAAATAACAAGGGTGAATTCTCAGAAAGGCCGATTTTAAAAAACCTGCGAGGAAAACAGGGGATGACTACTCCATTTCAGGTATAAACTATTCACAACTTTGAGAGGCTAATTATTCTTGTTATTTTTCAGGTTTCGACAGCAGCACCTTCAAGGGCTGCCTCAGTAAAAAAGGCCGCACCTGCAAGAAAAACAAGCGGAACGAAATCTTCAAGTTCTTCTAATTCAGGTATGACCAATGCTCAACTATTAAACGCCTTAAATAGTCTTAAATAACAAAACTGGTCCATTCAATTGATTGGAAGACAAGTTTTAGCTTTTTAAAAAAGATAGCAAATTGCGTGACACAGCCCCGCTGGGTCACCTTGACTCGGATGATGACGTCCACATAGGTTATATTTACGTCCGTTTATCTCACCAATGTTCTCATTATCCCTATACGATAATATTCAACCTTCTTAGTAAATATTCTTTCTGTTTTTTTTTTCAGCCTCAGCGGGTGCAGTTGATGAAGCAGACTTTGAGAATGCTTTTTTCGAGTGCCCGGATGTTAAGGTTTGTTTAACGTTAAACCACACCTATAGCAGTTAGCGTGTTCCAGGCTCCGAGATAGTCAGGTCCGCTGAATTGAGAAAGTGCGAACATAAACAAAAAAAACGGGAGGAAACTGGCCCTTCCGTTTTCCGCTTTTTCCCGCCCCGCCAACTTTTTGCGTACCTTTCACTTTCGCGTCTCCCCCTCTATCTGAGAGCCTGGAACAGGCTATATAGGATTACGATATTGGGGTTGTTTGGGACATAGTGCGATGACCGACTGTGATTTGCTGTTCTGTCTGATCCCTTCACAGTGCTTTCTTTTACGAGCCCAAAATATCTAGTTCCCCCACAATGACGCTAGACTGCAAAACAGTCCGTATTTTTGCGTATTCAAGTACGCGCAAGCTGTCAAACAAAGGTCTGGAGCGAGGCTGAAAACGGAGAGCACGAATCTGGGAAGAGACGCTACGGGCGTGTAAGGCTCGCGCGCTCCGCGCGTGTGAGACTCTTACGCTACGCTAAACCGATTTCGAGAAACAAACCGACTGTTTTGCAGTCTAAAGTGACGCTGTTTTTATTATTTGCCTTTCCCCGCCTTTTCTCTTTAGAACAGTCAACTGATTTTTACCGATACTCGTAGCTTGTTGGGCTTAAACCATGGACCACAAACGTCTTCTGCTGTTACTGACTCTATGGCTATTGCTTTTACTTTCAGATTTATAACGCTAAGGATCTGGCGGAAGAAATGGCGAAAATACAAACAGTGTTGTCAGATGACAAGAATGACTGGGAACATCGTGTAGCCGCGGTAAGTCTAGCCTAAATCCATTATCAAGCCCCGTCCTTATCTCTAATAACCCCCCTCCCCTCCCTCATATTATTTTTCACTGATAAGTGATAGACTGTATCAATCAATCACGACTGTAACGCTTTGTGTGGACTGATCGAGGATGGTTTATTCACCAACTGGAAGTTCAGATTTGTTTTTGATCCGCGGGTGCATGACCAGAAACTTCCAACCTCTTGTACTTAAACTTTTCCACTTTGTATTATAGTTCTTTATGGAGAACTGATACCATCGTCTTTGCTAAATGAAATAAGCCCTCCCTCTCAAATAAGCCCCCCCGTCTCTATTAACCCCCTCCCCCCTCAAATGTGTTTGAAATAAATAAGCCCCCTTAATAGAGGATTTACGGTATTTCATTTGTCGCTTGCAACCAAGGAAATAGAAGTCTGTACGCAGGCTACGGTAAGCCCTATTCTTTCTTGTGTCCTCTGGGTTATCAAAGAGCGGGTGAAATATTAACTAGTGGTAATCACAGATTAGGGAAGCGCAGTTGTGCAATTGCAACAGAGTTCACTGTAGTTACCGGTATGCCCCTCAAAACGGCAGTAGGTGGGGTGGGGTGGGGCGGGACCAGATCACAGTGTAAGTGCCTATAAATCTCTCGATTTAATCTTCTTGTAAAGCCACAATAAAGCAGATTTGGTTGCGTTCTCCTTCGTCGAACACGATATTTGAAACAAATATTTCTCTGGCTGGTATCGCCTGGCCTGCGTGACACTTCGATTTCTCCATTAGAGCTTCCAGGTTGCAGTAAACGAAAGGCTTTTTTCGTTTCTGTGCATCACTTCATACCTGTTGAACTGAATTTTTTTAGACCTTTTTTCTTTATCTTTCCTTTCCTCTAGCTCAAGAAAATTCGCAGTTTGGTTCAGGGTGGGGCGTTGGAATATGAAAACTTTGTTTCCTTGCTGAAACTTCAAGAAGGCGCATTCAAATTATCGGTGAGTGAGTCAGTGGAATCTGTACGTGGGCCACAATATTCCACTTAAGCGTGCCACTGTCAGAACTAACCAAAGTCAACATGCTAAAAATATATAATACCATGTGCAAGTTCTGCTGTGGAGGTTTCATTTGAATGGTCACGTAATAGGATTTCGTCCACAAACAACCAGTGCAGACGTATTTTGGGCGGGCGAAAGCTGCTTGTTTATGTTCGTATTTTTGTAGCCTTCATCTTTGATTTATGACAGAGGAAGATTGGGGAGAGAAGAAATAGCAACCTTTAGCAAAAAACATTCGCGCGCCCGAAGAAAACGCCTGCACTGCAGGCTACTATCTGAAAATATTACAGAAATCAACTTTGTTTTTTAAAATTGAGATTTTCATTTACAAGCTATACCATGATGGAAAGTATTGCTCTGTTCGAATGGTCACTTCAGTTTTAGTTTTCCGCGAACTATTGATATAGCGAGCCCGGCTTGGTTACGGGTTACACATTACCTTCAAAAAAGCAGCGTTGATTTTTTTTAGTTGGAATCGTTAAAGGCTTAATGTGTTCGTTACGTTATTTAACAGTACATGTGTTTTTACTTTTTAGATAAAAGACCTTAGGTCATCTGTTACAAGAGAGGCCTGTGTAACTCTGAGGTGATAACTTTTACTATGAATATTTGATTCTCTTGTAAAGGTGTTTTCTTTTCATTTTCACATGTACGTGACTCGTTTTATAATGTTTTGTTTGATTTTTACTTGTCTTTTCTTTTGCAGCTACCTATCTACGTTGCTAAAGAACCAATTTGATCACACGGCCGAAGCTATTTTACCAGCCCTGATAAATTTAATTCTCAATAGCGCTAAGGTAAAAAAAATTGTTTTATTTCTTCTTGGCACCCAGTTTACTCTCCTTTGTAACACGGACACCATCCTCAAACTGACACGTAGAGTTGATCCCTGTCGCGTAGACCTTAACTAGAGAGCTTAAGCATCACGTTTACGTTACGTCAAACGGCAAACGTGAATTTTTACCACGTGACCAAGTTTCGTCTTTACTTGTCGTTTACTGTTCATTATTACTGCACCTAATTTAGTAGTTTCGCGCAATTTTTCATCCATAAGAATTGTTTTGAGCTGTTTTTGTCTACTCATTTTCTATTTTGAGAAATTCTCAACTTGAATCTGACGTTTGCCGTTTGCCGTATACTTGAAGTTTAAACTCTCTAATGATTAGTTTTCGAAACCTCAGCATAAAGCTTTGACGTAATTGAAGAAAATCGTTTGTAGAACGCTGCCTTTATTTAGGAACTCCTCTTCTAATAACTCTTCGCGGGAGTTTTTTTGAACGTTCTTTTTTTTGCTGTAGATTATGGCAACATCAGGTCACGCCTGTATCAGATTTATCCTCAAGGTGAGTTTGCAAACCCCCATGTCTGTGCCACTTCAGTAGAAAATGTTATCTGTTTAACAAATAAACTCTATTTTGCCGTTTGTCTGTTCAGTTATATATTACAGATGACACCAACTTGTGATTAGAACTAAAAACAAAAAACTGAGATGGCCAATATGGAGTTACAGTTTTGGGTCTTTAGTGTATGTAGCTATTAAGTTTGATTAAACCCCTGAGCAACATTTCACCTTACTTTTTGATTGATAACTATTCTAGTACATTTACTTCTTTGTGCAAAACTTTCTTCTCAAAGCGGCTTTTATGGCACAGTTGAGGTTATTTTTGTATGTTTTACTTGGAACAGAATACCCACGCACACCGGCTCATCCCGATTATCACGAACAACCTGACGTCAAAGTCCAGCATCATTCGACGGTGAGTGCGGAGGAAACGTTTTACAAAACTCCATGCCGCAGTAATGTAATGTTCAAGTTTTTAGTTTTACCTTGCACAAGTTCTCACGCGAACGCTGTACATACAATCTTGGAGCTTGGAATAGGTTCATTTGTGCGGATAATCTATGGACAATCGCTTTCCTGTTTAGAACAAAAAAGGAGAAAGTCCAAAGACTAGTGCAAAGCGGATAGAAGAAACAGGTTGCATGTACAGCGTAGTAAACAATACCACAGGAAAGTACTCCCAAGTAGCTTTTGTTTGAATGGTCAAACTTTAGGATTTCATCCACAGACTCAAAAGTTAGAACCACCTTGTACAGCATAATAAATAGTATCACAGGAAAGTACTGCCCAGTAGCTTTCATTTGAATGGTCACACTTTAGGATTTCATCCACAGACTCAAAAGTTAGAACCACCTTGTACAGCATAACAAACGAAAGTACTGCTCAGCAGCTTTCATTGAACAGTCACACTTTAGGATTTCATCCACAGACTCAAAAGTTAGTACCACAAAAAAGTACCGCTTAGTACCACGATAAACTCGCCACACATGTGACAACGATAAATTGATTCTTTTATTGATTAAATTTAAAAAACCTTATTTTCTCGCCGCTTATTCAGCTATGAATTTGTTTCTTGTACAGACGCTCCTGTGAATATATTGACTTATTTCTTGTTCACTGGGACGCATCCACGATAAAACCGTAAGTACAAAAAATGGAAAAGCAATACCGTTCGTACCTCAAGCGTCGTGTAAACAGACGCAACATTGTTGAATGTTACATGTTGCGTCCATTTGGACACCCTGTTGCATGTTGTTGCCTGTTGTTAGGTTGTTGCGCAAAGTTTGAAACCCGTCAAAATTGTAAAGCTACGTACAAAATAACAAACGGACGCAACAAGTCCCAACATTGTTGGGCGTCGTTGCGTCCGTTTCCACGTAGCTTTATTAGTCTGTTCCAATTAACAGTATTCTCCAAAGGCCATTTCAATATATGTTTTTAAGAAATTCCCGAGGTGAAGTCGAGGGGAGTATTAAAAGTATTCATTTCGGACAGTAACAGGAAAATAACTTGTAGTACGCATTTTGTGCTTCAAGAAAAGAAATTTTTTTCCTGTTTCGCTGTTTAAGAGACTTGCGGTTTTTGTATATTTCTTTGTTCGCTGTTTTTTCGCCGTTGCGGAAGCGAAGATTAGATTAAGCGACGTTAATGACTCGGAGCATGCAATATTCAAAACAATTTCAAAACCATAAGGGCTAACCATAAGTGGTTTCGAGAGCGCTAAGAAATCTTCAGGAATTTTCCGTCTTTAAACGTCTGTTAAGCGTAGCTAAGGAACCGTGGAAGCGCAAACCTTTATTATAACTTCTCGCACACCGAAATTGTCTGGCATAAAAAAATGAGACAAGAAAGTGCAAAATCTTTTTTACGACAAATAATTAGTACTTGATAAAGCCGTTGTTCGGCTCACGGAAGTTGTCCTCGATTGCAGACTCCAAATTCGAAAACAACTTCTCGCACAGCGAAATTGTTTGGCTCAAAAAATTTGATAAGAAGGTACAAATCTTTCTTATGCGCCCTATACTGAGCTAATTGATAAGAGTTTTACAAAAAAGGCGAACTATTCAATCATGTTCGCGTGCAATTAGTCTCGACACACGTTTGGTATCAGCGGAGAAAAGTCGCTTGAAAAGAAAAAAAGAAAAACAGCAACAACTACAACAACAACATTGAAAACAAAACAAGTTTCCTCGAGAACAGTTCCAAGTTTTTTTGTTTGTCATGCCCTACTGAAGTATTAAAGATCTTACTGAGTGAATTTGAAGTAGTTTCAAGTTTACAGAGAGAAAGCAAACTCAACCTTCTTGTTTTCCCGTTCTCAAAAACCTCTTAAATTTGATCATTTGACGTTGTTACACGTATATCGATATTATTGTTTTTCCGCCTTTTTTTCTGTCGATTTTGAAACACCAATCTACCCTTATTAGACAACTTTGCCATGTTTGTTCTCATCTTTTGTTTCCTTAGTTTCCTCCAATTTTAAGCCCTTATAACATTATTTCGACGCGTTTCTCGTGGCGTAATTTTTGCTTATTCTCTTGCCAGTCGCATAAGTGAAATAGAGGAAGCCCTACGGAAAGGAATCTCTGACGCTGATGCTGAGGCAAGAGCAGCCACGCGAAGGTAACCATTCTCTCATACTTGTCATAGTTTCACGATTGGCGAAAAGAGCTATTTCGCGCTTTACGCGCCACTTGTTTTGCGTCTTTACGCGGGAAATTTCGTAACCGCTTTTGATTGGTTGTTTTTTCATTGAACTCAGAAACCGGGGATAAACATTTCGTAAACTGTTGGTTCCTTTGAACTTTTGACTTTTCTATGGATATGTCCCACGAATTTGACTCAAAAGCAGTCAAGGTTTTATTTTAAAATGTCGACGAGTATGGGATAGAGAATAAAGGCGATTTTAAGCTCGGTAAATGAATGTGAATGATGTGATAGTCAGCTTGTCAAGAAGGTGGAACGTAGGGAAAATCTCCAGTCCTTCCTCGTTTCTCTCGAGTTCGCGAAATTCTAATGTTCACATCTTTCACAAGTGGAAGAGTACTTAAATAGGAGAGATTTAGACGGCTTGGCCAAGTTTGGGAAAAGGGAAACCATGTTTCTTGATCGAACTCTTACTATTGAAAATCATCCGTAGAAGCACGAATCGGCATTTTGGCGGCCGACGCGTTTGTTAAGTTTGCGAAGTTCATAAGAAGCGTGAATTTGCAGTCTTTTCTCTCCACTGCCGCCGCACGCTTGTTCAGTACCATCCGCCAATAACCCTCACGTCTTCCGTCAGGTGTTTGGCATGTTCAAAAGCACACCCCCGCTCAAATGCAGATTACTGTATTTTGTACATAATTATGAAACTCGATTTTAGATAAAAATGATTCTGAATTTCATGCGAGGGACTAGTAATATCATGCGGTGTCGGGTTCTGTAATCCTATTTTTATTTTTCTTCTGTTTCCTTTAAACTATGTAGGACGTAATGTTGTGTACCCGTACCACCTACCCAGATTTGAAATCCGTTATTGGCAGGTTGTATCAGATTATCACGCAAACTAAAACATAACTGAAGCGCTTTCTTAAGTATAATGTTAGCAATTCTATAAGAGATAAAGAAGAGAATGTCGTTTACAACATTTTAAGCAATTTGAAAATCCGATATCTTCCTGTAACATTTCAGTTACAGGAAAAAAATTCAGTGTAACATTTTTCCTTTTGATATCTTACGCACAAGTTCAAACTTAGGTTTTCCACTGCTTTATCCTCAACTATCTTGATCTCGCTTATCCACTGGGGACAAAGTCTCTGACTCACAGAGACAGAGAAAACAGAGAATTTTACTATTTATTTTTGTAAATATTGTCATCATTATTTGTTTGAAATAACGCGGAAATGTGTCATTTATCTTTGCTATAACCTTTCTGGGACGGTTTTTGTATTTTAAGACTTAACACTGCTGTTTTTCAGTCGAGTAAGAAGAATTACTTGCTGTTTTTCCTATGCTAGGAAATTTTTCCGTGCGCGGTTTAAGGTGTTCATTGTGTCGCCTTTTGTGATTTTGATTCTGTAAAAGAAAACCTCAAATTTTGAGATTATTTTACTATGCCACTGCGTCGCAGCATGCTTGCAAAACAGGTGCCAGCGGAGTGTTCTTCATAAAGAGCACATTTTGGATTTTTCTGGTCCTGCAGTCGTTTCGAAAAGCGTAACCGTCTGATTTCTTCATCCTGCATAAATTCTCTTGACTGTATCGCCCATCGTGGAAACATTTTCATGCATTACATTTTCACTTGGTTAAAAAGCTTGCTGTTCAGTTGTTACAGTAACTGTTCTCGTGTTAAGTTAAAACTTGCGTATTGAAACGTTGCTTACTTTATTGCTTCCAAAACGATCGGAAAGGTAACTAGCAACTTCAAAAGTAGTTCGCAACTACTAGACTTGAGTATAGTACAAATAAATTTAATACAGACGATTTTAGTTTCCTTTTGAATATTGTTTTCCAAGGAAAGAGGAAAGAAAGAGTTTCGCATCATTGAATGTTGACTTGATCTCTTTGTTTCTAGTTCAAATTGTAATAAAAACGCTTAGAATATGCCGCACGCTATATTTAGAAGAGTTATATGCAGATTTGCATGGAGCAGATTTTTTTACGGGTTTTGTTGTTAGTAGAACTACACGAGAAGGTGTCCTTTGTGACACCGCCTTGTCCATAATTAAACAGTTTAAGCTTCTTTTTGCAAATCTGTGGATGAAGTGGTAAAGTACCACTATAATCAAAGCTAATGACCAGTCTTGCCATGCAGTAGCGTTTTCTTCTCGTTTTAAGCAATCGAAAAAGTTTCTCGGTTGTTTCTTTGGCACGTTTTGCAGTGCTTAATTGACGGTCTGGTGCTTTCCTAGCTTCGCTGAGTTAATACCAGGCGGTTTACAAGCCGTGAAAATAGTTTAACACCCCCATGAGATTCTGATAACTATACAATGGGTCTTCTTTTCAAAGAAGAATGCAGTTGTTGATATGATCACACAAACCTCTTATGGATATAGAACGAAAATTAGCAACTATATTTCAATGATGTGACACTGAGTCGTCCGGTCTTAATTTCTTCCTTTTTTCTGATTTTCAGGGCGTTTTGGCATTATCACGAACTATTCCGGGACAAGGCGGAAAGGTGCGTTCGTGCGACTTGATTTCTAGTTTGGTTCTTTCAGCTGTCTTTGACTGGTCTCCATAAATATTCATTGCGCGTTAATTAGCTGTACAAATCACAAACAGAAAAGAATCACTTAAGTATAGCTGCTTGAGATTTATTGAACAGTCTCTTGCGCGCGCGTTCGCATGAGCTGCAATATTTCAAGTTCTTGTGGTCGCTAACGTTATTGAAAACAATGGGAAAGGGCAAAAGTCGTGACTAAATATTGCTTGCTTTTAATTCAGCAAGTTGTAATATGCGGTTTGCTTATGGCGTTATGTTTTACTGACGATCAACCATCTTGGATCTATTACTATAAGTAAACTGACTTTAGCGCGAAGCAATTGACACATGTACTATGTTTTCACATTAACTTCACTTTTTTGATCGCCGCATTTTGCCCTTCTTTGCAGCTTGCTCAAGTCTTTCGATGTCTCGAAGCAGAAACAACTGGAAAACGATCGGAATCTTTCCAATCTTGGCCCGACGAAAACGTCGACATCGGGACGTTTCGTATCTGTAAAACCCACGAAAACAACTGCTGGTAACAGAGTTCGTTCCTCGAGTGCAGCGAGCGAAGACGGAACTGTCAGGTACGTTTGAGCGCCTATTGTATTAGAAATGGACACCGATTTTGTTCCGGTGTGTTATAGTTAGGTGCCGGTGTGCGAATTTTTTTTTAACGGAGTATGAATCCGTGTGACATGTTGATTAAAGACTCAGTTTGGACCGCAAATCTTTCGCAGTTTATATCATTTTTGTAAGCTAGTGCAAGTACAGTTGATTAACTTAAATTGTATAGTTGTTCAGTTGAATAACGCGGGAGTCGATTTCTGGAATGCAGAAACGCGTGCTAATTAAAAGCCAGCTTGAATTCACATTAAGTGTAGTCTGCGGTGTATTGACGGTTAAATTATCAAACTAGCCAACAATGTTTATCTAGTAAAAGCTCCTTTTAAGATTCTGGTAATAATATTCGTAAGGGATGTAATACGTGCCATGGCTCAGTGGTTTTGCTCTTTTCAATAAGCATGAATTAATTTCCGTTAAGTTCTAGTAACAGGTCCATAAAGAAAAATACCCAATATTTTGGACGAAATGTTAGCTAAACGTGAAAGCGCATGGCAGAAGTAGTGCATGTATATCGTACAGGCTTCGATTGAAAGCTAAATTTGATGCAGCTTTTCTTAAAATAGATTTTTCATTATCTTAACTTTCAATCGCTTATTAAAGTGTTTAACAATCGTGTGTAGCCATAACTAAATGTTATTCAGTTAAAGATGATTATCGAGTTTCCATAAATTTAGCAGCCATTCATTAGCAACATACGCACATGGTCCTCGCATTTCCCGTTGGAATTTTTCCTTCCTTTTCAATTAAAAACAGCAAAAAATTCCAACCGAAAAAAAAAAAAAGTCCATAAATGAATCAGCCTTTATGGAAATAACTCAGAAGCCAATTGTATTGTCAGGTCACTCAAATAATGATGTAGCCCGCTTTAGAAGTAAATGAAGTACTTCAATACAATGTTAAAAAAAACGTCGAAACAAAAGAGTGTTGTTTCAACGAAAGGCCGAACAAGAAGCAATTTACAACCAGTGCGAGAGAGTTTCCCAAGAAAGTACAAACCGCGACTTTTGTTTCAATATATTGATGTGTTATTGACCATTATGGACCAATATTGATCGTTTTCGTTAAGTATCGTGTTTACAGCTAATTAACTCTGGTACAATATTTAAAGATTGTTAAATACTGCGGATGAATAAATCAAAGACTTTGCTCTACGTTGTGCTGAATGAAAACCATTTTCCTGGCATTAAGATTTTTTGCAACAATTATAGAAAATCCAATGTCACGTTCTTTTCTCGCAGATTACGGTGCAATAAATTTTACTTTACCAGCTACACACTGACGGTGCAAACCTCGCCCCCCTTTCCCCACCACCTCAACAAATAATCGTTAATCAATGGTACTGTGAATAGGGAACCTGACACATGGAAAATATGTCCAACTAGTTTGTTCTAGTGTATGTGATTATCAGAGGGAATTCTCTATAGCAATGACGTTCACTTTTTTCATTCTCTTCAGTTCGCGTCATACCGCCCCTACTCGTCAAACCGTTGGAGCTTCCAGTCGAGCGGCAAGAACCTCCCACAGAGAAGGTGAGAAAATTTGGCCACAAACTATGTATGTGTTTACTCCTCACATCTTTTAAGGCGTTTGTATTTGTCAGCAAAATTAACCGTTTCCGTCTACATTTTCTTCCAGATTCACGGCATGCGGTGGCTTCAAAGACGTCAGGATCTCTTTTGTCTCCCATGGCTGCTCTTGGCCGCTCCATCAGTAACATTGATCAGCGGTCAGCTGAAAGAGCCAGCGCTCGCTCAAAGCTTAGATCAGCGGCTTCACGCGTGTCGCCTCAAAACCATCACGCGCAACTACGGCAACCAAGGACCCAGCATCCGTCGCGGGGAACTGTATCGCAGCGTGAGTAAATCTTTAGCCAAGCACTTTCCGTCGCGCCTTTTTCTTGTATGCTCTACGGCGATTCTACAGTTACATAGAAAAAAGGGGGATGTCTTTTAACAGTTCTTTTTAATCAATTGCACTATGTGATCATTTTGGGCGGACGAATTCGGACCAGTGCCAACATTGCAAACATCAAACAGTTTTTCGGGCCCGAAAAGTTACGGAGACTTTCGAGAAAAGGACCCCTGAAAATTTAGTACCGAGACTTTGGAGAAGCGGACCCCTGTCTTACGCGCCACCTGAAAATGGCTAATTGAGTTTCTAACACTCTTTCTCTTTCTGTTATTTCAGCTGGTAGTCGGTCCCAATCTCCCGATCGGCTTTTAGCAACATTCCCTCCCCGAGAGAGGTCTGAAGTCTACTGTCGAAGGGAAAGCATTTCAGGGAGAACAAAAATACCAACACCAAGGTAAGTGATCAATTACCATGCACAGCAGTTTTGCCTTTATGTTTCAACCCTGTTATCGTAATTTTTTTTTTTAGTTTTTCTTCCCGCCTTGATTAGCTGGGCTATTTTGCAGGCGAGGATCAATTAATGATATGTATCCATCCAAAGTGTTTTAAATAAACTTGTACTTGAACTTCGACAGCTGCCCTGGGTTTGTCTGTTTTGCGTCGCGAGATACTAGTGAGATTTCGAACCTCGTTAAAAGTGCTCTCTACGAAACAACGATTGCTTCTCTTTCAGGTGTAATCACGTTATTTAGCCGTTGCATCCTGTTCGATAACATGGGCTGTTGTATATAGTTCCTCTCTCAAATTTTTATCTTTTTGAAACAGTACGTTGATCGGGCTTTCAACACGTTCTTTAGAAGTAGCTGCTGACTACTTTACCCTATTAAGCCACAATATCCACACACAAATTCTCCTGAATGATCTTTATACATTTCCTTAAAGAATTAATTGAGAGAATATGGTTAAAGACCAAAGTATTCCGTTTGGTTAGCATTTAATTTTTGGATCAATTTAGGTCTTGGGGAAACTACCCACCTACCCCTCCCCTAAACCAACATTATTACTTACTTCTCACTTAGGGCAAAATGTTAGGTTAGGGGAGGAGTAGGTGGGCAGTTTTCCAGAACCTAATTTGATCCTAATTTGTTTGTCATAACCTTTTCTCTTTATAATGTTTTGATATTAGGACAAAATTGATGTGGGTCACTCATGGGGCTAATTTTAGTTAACAAACGTGCTGGTGCATGGTAGATACCTATTTCTTCCTTCTTTTTAAAAGCCAAACATTTGGGAGAATGTCATGGAAATGCTTTTAAATTTTTTTGTGTGAAAATATGACCGGTTGTACCTACCTTAAATATTCCCCTGCAAATTCATAAGTTCCATTCGTCAACGTTAGCAAATTACATGTTACTAACAATTTTGTTGTATGTTGTGTTTGCAAGTCTACCTATCTTAGACACTCCCTTGCAAACTGTGTCTAATAACTGTCAGTGAACTGTTTATTGTACTGTTTGCTTCGTCGTAGTAGTTTTTGTTAAATGCATTGTTGTTGTCGATTCTTTTCCAGTGTCTCTCGGCATCCCAGCGACGAGAATTTGGCCATGATCCCTAGGTGCCAGTCACCCCTACCCCCTCCCTCTAGTTCTCCTTCTTTCCTCCCTGTCCGTAAGCATCTGTGAGTAGTTTTGTCCTCTGTCTTATTTGACGCATTTAAACGTTACCCAGTCGTTCGTCAACTCGTTCTTTCGCCAATCATTTTTCTTCAAGCTCGCGTTTAATTTGTGCCTTGAGCTCAGCCTGTCTTCATTTTCCTTGCTACTTTACGTTTATTGACTCAAGTTTAATTAATGATTCTTTTCCAGTACCTCTCTGCTTTTAAGCCATGAGTCTCTTGTTGGGTCTGGGCGCCAGCCGTCCTCACCCACACCTTCTCTATCTTCATCTTCTTCATCTTTTCTACCTGTTCCTAAGCCTTTGTAAGTTGTACTTTTCATTCTTTTTAATTTTTTTCACAGCTTCTTTTTACTTCTATTCGAGTAAGTTCCATCGACTGTCTTTAAATTAGCCAGCCTCTGAGCGTAGTCTGCCACAAACTAATCAAAACAAAGTAATCAGTGAGTGAATCGCAGCTAAGAATGAATTCGTGACAGGCGCGCGATTTAAAGGGCGGGAAACTTGTATCCCGTGACTTCTTGCGCGGGAAAAAAAATTCTACTCATGTCATGTCGTTACGTGTGTGGTCATGATTGGTTATCTCTGGGATTAGTCATAGCACTTCACGCGTTGCGCTGGCTTTGTAGGCCAATCACAGAGTTTCACAGAGCTTAACAGAAAACAGAACTACATTCACGTCAGTGAACTGTGAAACGCTCTGTTTTCAGTTGTTTTCTTCTTAAAAAGACTTTTGTCTTTATCCTTCTTGCTGTTTTTGCCCCAGTTAACTTTTTCAGTTGGTTCTTTTTGATACGGTTTGACTCTTTTCACAAGTTGACATTTTGTTAAGTTGCTTACTTATTTGTTTTAAAAAAGCTTGTGTTTCATTTTTCCGGTAGCGTTCTTTCGATCTGTGTTTTCTTGCATCAGAATATCGCAAATGACATCTTTATCTTTTTCTTTAATTTGCGTTTTCATTTCTTCTTTTGTTTTCTTGTTTTTTCTCTTCCGTTGTGTAGTAGAGGGTGCGAGAGTATTCTCATCGATACGCCTAGTTTTTTCGAACAGTCTTAGCATATGGACGAGCATGAGAATTACTTTTCTTCACTTTACTATATTTTTATTTTTTTGTTCTCTATATTTGTACTCTGTCATCCTTTGGGGCACAGCAGGTATTTTTTGTAGCTGGGGTCGGTGCGCGAGCAAAAATATTGGAAGATGAGATGAGACTGGTGGTGATAAGCCAGGGTCGCCTCGGCCTCTTCCTTTCAATCTCCTCGCCTTCTGTTCAAATCTCGCCCGCGTTGCAAATTTCTGCGCATCGTTTCTTCTCCTCTAGAGGCTTAAAGCTTTATCTTCGCTCTTATTTTTTCTTTGAGACTCTGTCTTATAGTTTCTGTTTGTCTTCAACATTCACTGTTCGTACCTTGCATTCTCGCGATATTCTTTCTCAGGGTTCTCCTTATCAGTCGGCGGTAAATATGTCCATTTATAACATCATCTACAGTGAAAGCATTTTAAACTACCTGTTATTGAAAATACGCACACTGTGAGTCACCTTACCCACTATAGTTACCCGCTTGCATACAAAAACACGTTTTGGAACGCTCTGAAACAAGAAAAAGCACGCTGATAAGTTACGGAGAACCTTGTCTCTTGTCATAATAATGTACAATCCCTTTCCTGTAATATCTTTGAACAACTGATACTTGTGCTCTAACTATCTTCTATTGCAGTATTTCTCGACATCTTAGCTTCGAGTATCTACCTAGGGGTCCTCCTGGTTTTTCTTTCTCTTATATTCCTGTTTCTCAGTGAGTAAACTGCTTATTCTCTGCATGATTCCTGTGGCTAACCTTAATCACCATTTCACTGCTAAATTATGCCCCCAGTGGGTTGACTAAGTAACTATTTTCACTGCCAGGTACAATCCTTTGATCCCGTGCCGCCACTCTCTTCTAATTTTTTGAGGGGTCGTAACTACCACATTTAACAGATATTTTAAAAAAGAATTTACCCATGTGCCATTTGAGAATAACTTACTCGTTCGTACTAGCGTTCTCCATTTATTCATACGTTTATTTCCAAAGATTAGGATATCTCAACGTTTTCTTAGCAATTCTGAAGTTATTTTCCTGTTTTTTCTGACAGTCGAATGCGAACTGCCTCTCAATCGAGCTCACGTGCTAGTTCGCGTGCGAGCTCCCGCGGGGCGAGTCGAGACACGAGCCCTGATAGGAGAGACAGACGATTGAGTGTAGAGAGAGGATACAGTCCGAGTCATTTGCCAGTGTTAAAGAAAGCCAGCCCATTGCACAGTAAGTATATCATTTTGAAGGGAGTTACTGTTATGTTGACTTGGCCATAATAAACGGCTCGCCAAATAATTAATAAATTATGAGTACAGTGAAACCCAGTTACAGGAACTACGTCATAGGGATACTACTGGTTTCGGGCAATTCTGTGCTTAAGGTGGCACGTACCCATTTTCTCGCGTGGGGAGTCCATCGCGCGCGCGTATCCCACTCCACTTTTGTACGTGAGAGATACAGAAAACAAATATGGCGGTGCGCGGCTATTTTTGTGCAAGTTTTAATACTTTTGTGCCAGACCCATATATTTTTGGAATAGACCTCTTTTAGCTGCATGTTTTGTTTTCCCAATTCCGACCACGTGATATTCTCTAGGGAATTTGCCTTTTCTCTTTTCATTATCATGTATACATATGCACGTGGGATGCACGTGCACAGGACGACAGTTGAAAGAAACAGTTCTCTGTGGTACCGTCACGCGGTCTGTGATGGGAAAACAAAACGTACAAACTAAAAAGGTCTTTTCAATGGATGCGAAAAAAGTTTTAGCTTTTTTTTTCGCCCTTATACGGACACCTAAGGGACACACCGTGCTGTCCTTATTAAGCGGGTGTTTGTAGAGCGCTGTTTCACTGTTTTTTACGTTTTTTTTTTTCAATGTAGATCCGCCATTAAAGCAATCTAGCCAGGGTGAGCCTGCGGGTAAAGGCGTCACTGAAGCAGCGGTTTGGGACGCGTGGGTAAGAAGAGTTTAAACTTTGTTTTTTTTCACATTTGTTCTTCGTTTTTCTCTAGACAAATTTAATAAGTGAGGTGAGAGCGTGAATCGTATGTTTGGATGACTTAAATTTCCGCACTGTCATGTAAGGTTACCGAAGGCGTAGAACTCTCTAGATAGAATCACTGATTGATTAACATTCATGTGGACTTTCTGCAGACGTTTTAAAAAAACAGTTTATCTGATGTCTGCATCAGTTAATTATCACCGACCTACGCTTGATTGGCTGCATGCAATCAGTTCAATCAAGGAAGTTAGAACTTAAGGTACGGTAAAATTGGCAACTCTGAAAAACGTGCAACTTGTTTTGCAACATTGCTGAAAAATGAGTTGAATAGCCATGTTGCGCGTTTTGCCAATTACGAAAGAAAAAACCTCGCAACCTGATTTGTTGCAAGACAGGTTCGAACATGGGCGGTAAAACACGCAACAGTGCTATTCAACTCGTTGGGCAGCAATGTGGCAAGACAGGTTTTACGTTTCTGTTGCCCGTTTTACTGTAGCTTTAAAATTTGAAGTTGAATAGCGATAAACTGCTTTTTAAAAGTCTATTCGGATAATTATGCGTTTCTGGGAAACTGCCCATCTACCCCTCCCCTAAGCCACTTAGGGCAAAATGTTGGCGTAGGGGAGGGGTAGGTTGGCATTTCCCAGAGGGGCACAGGTTATCAGTATTCCCTTGTTTTGCCAGGGATACTAACAAAAGAATACTCGAGCCTGCTTGAAAATTGCTCCCTCGCGAGGAAGGTGACGCGCGTGACGGGGATGTATCCAAGGGAACGGGTAGTCCCTCATTTTCCTTAGGGATAAAAGAGTGAGCGGATTACGAGAGCGAGCGTGAAAATTGCCACCCACGAGGAAGTGACACGCGGAGGGAAGAGAGAAAACTCACGCGCACTCGCATACTTTCCCTGAAGAAAATGAGGGACTATTCCAAGTCTACTGTATTCAAGTGAAAATTGTTTCCTTGCTTTATTGTTCTCTCTTGCCATGTAAGGATTCAGGCCAGTTTTATTGTTTTTGCGCTAGATTTAATTTGTTTTTTTTTTGTTGTTGTTTGAAATCTTAGCATAAAAGCCCATCAAGAAGAAAATATTCGTTTGGTTCGACTAACTCTCAGTGTTCTGATGACGACAATGACAGTGATGTGGGCAGTATATCATCTGAGAGATCGTACGGATCCAGAGGCTCTCGAACCCACCACAAAACTCTTGAACCCGGAAACGTAAGTCTTCTGCGTTATACTCGCAACATGCGGCACAAACTGCGACTTTGACAGGGTGCTTACTATTTGTATGGGCAAGCCGGAAGAAAATTGGGTCGATGGATCAGAGAATAAAATAGTTCGCGCTATTTCTTTCTGCGAAACTTCATATATGGTCCGTCTTCTGAGTCGACGCTTTAGTTTTACATGAAGTTGTGGTCTTCTCATCCAATTTGGTTACACGTGCACAAGGTTCTTCTCCAACTAGGTCAAGTTTAATCACTAAGTAATCATAAACAAGATTTTTAGCGGATGTTTTGGGCAAATCGTAAGCACCCTTACTGATTTGTGTATATACACATGTAAATGTGATTGTTACCTAGTAGATAAGTAGCGGCTGATAAGAACTCGTTTTTCACGCGTTTGTGCGTTGCGCGTGGAATTGGGAGCCGGTCAGTAAGTGTTACGAGTACGGGTTAGAAACCTGGGCTAAACTGGTGGGCGGAGGATGCTGCATGCATTAAAGTGCATGCCGGGGGCGGGTACTGGGCATATGAAAGGGTTGTGGATGCTCGTCGTCTCCCTTAGGGCTGTAAATTGCGGATTTTGGTCTCACTTAGGGTGTTCTGGGCAAAACGCCATCATATTTAGCCGTGAAGGTCTCGTTTAGGGTTGCACGAGCAGAAATATAAAAATATATATTTGATATGTATATTTTTTTGGTCTCTTTTAGGGGTCAAAGAAAGCTTGGGCTACGCCCAAATCGGTCTCCTTTAGGGGTTTAATTCAAAATTTCCGACGAGCATTCCCACCCCTTTAATAGGCGGAGTCCCCCCCGGGGGGGAATGATGTAAGGTGGTTTAATTTTTTAGTCTGTGGATGAAATCCTAAAGTGTGACCATTCAAATGGAAGCTAGGAGCCGTACTTTCATGTGGTGCTGTTTATTGTGGTGTACAAGGTGATTGTAACTTAAAGTTTGACAATTCAAATGAAAGCTGAGCGGTATTTCCTTTGGTATTCTTTATTATGCTGTGCCAATTCGCTGTTGTTTCAGTAAAAAACAGAAAATCGTTTTCGTGCAATTTGCCTTTGAAGTTTCGAAGTGTCGATGTTATTGAAAATCTCATACCTTAAAATCTGCTTGGTTTCATTGCAAAATTACAGAAAGATTTTTTTCAAATTTGTCATTTTTGGAGCAATTCCATCTCAGCCAGGGGCAAAGCGTATCCGCATTTACGAATCGTTTTAGAAGGATAGCGAGTACTTATTTTTGTTGACCCATCCAAAATAATTGTTCTTGTACTTTTCGTTTGCTCCACTAAAGCAGAAGTTTCAGTGATTATGTAATCACTCTATACTCTTTAACTATGTAAGTTATACTTATGTAAATTATCATCTTTGTTTACTTTTCCAATGCTCGTATCAGTGATTTTACAGACGATAAAAGTTCTATTATCTAGCGCGAAACACTTGTTAAGGGAGATTATTTAATTTCGTTCTGATAACGGGTAAGCGAAATACACATATAACGGTGTGTCCGATTGAATCTTCTTTTTTTTTGGCTTTCAGTTGAGAAAAATCCTTTCGTTAGCAGTTTCAGATGCCGAATTTAAAGCTGTTTCCCAAAACGGACAATAAGCTGGTATTGACGAACAAACCTTTGTCGCTTTGAAGGTTGCGTCAAAGGAAATTTGAATGAAAAGCGAATTTTTAATTACTAAGTGATCCTTTTCAAAGAGGGTCGGCGTCGGTGTTTATGTGCCGATGGTAAATGAAACGTATGGTTTTGAAGGTAGCTTTACTGTTGAGGTCGTTTCCTAAACAACACAGCCAGTAGTGATCATGGAAAGCGATATTCACACGACCTTAAAGTGGTTACACGTGAACGCAGTCAAAACGTTAACAATAAGCAAACTGAAAGAAACACATAAATGAAGAAGTTATCTTCTCGGAAAAGCAAAACAAAACAAAAATAAAAACTTAGGGGCTTTCTTAGTGGCGAGTGAACGTGAAAAGAGAAAGAGAAATTGGTTCTACCAAAATCGTCCGTGCGTCGACGGGTGAATGACTCTAAAACCACTTTGCGGTTGAAGACTCAGTATTTGAATTTGTTAAGCTAGTCTATTTGCCAGAGCGGAAAATACCATTATATTTTGTAAACCGCAGTTTGGGTGGTTAAACCTCACTTTTGCCTAATTTTTTTTGTTTTGTACGAAGTGCACGTGCAGTGTATGCAAATTTACGAGGTAGTTTACGGCAGACGTTTCTCCTCGTTCATCGCCACTGAGGGACGTGACGTTCCTCGTCGCGAAACGTCCTTCAGCGGCGATGAGCGAGGAAAAACGTCAGCTGTTCGCAGGCTACGGAGCAGTACTTTCCTATGGTACTGTTTATTATGCTGTACTAGGTGGTTCTAACTTTTGAGTCTGCGGATGAAATCCTAAAGTGTGACAATTTAAATGAAAGCTACTGAGCAGTACTTTCCTGTGGTACTGTTTATTATGCTGTACTAGGTGGTTTTAACTTTTGAGTCTGTGAATGAAATCCTAAAATGTGACCATTCAAATGAAAGCTACAGAGCAGTTCTTTCATATGGCACTATTTGTTTTGCAGCATTTTATAAAGTGAAATCCCAAAAGTTTTTTGAATTTTCACAATGGCTTAACTTTTGGCAGTGAAAGGATTACTGAGACTTATAAACAGAAAATCGCTGTCTTGCGCTTTCCTACGTGCGTTCAGTTTTCAACCCGTTGACGCTTAACCTGTTAACTGTCACCTCGAGAACAACAATTTAATTCCAACACAACTGAAACATCGTTTGCATCATACTCTGTGGGTGGGTAGCCTGTGGTTCTTATGTACCTGTTTTCTCGCATTCTCACTTTCCACAAGAACACTCGCCCCAGGCCATGCGCGTTTTGTTTTCCCAATGCAGGTCATGTGATAATACTTTAGGGGACTGTTTCTTTCAAATTTCGTCTTATTCACGTGTATATGTTAGCATATGCACGCACGTGCTTATGTACGACAAAGGGTCAAATTCCCCTGTGACCTCTATTGGGTAAACAAAACATACAAGCCATACAAGCTGCATACATTGTAAAGTTATACAGCCAAATGATCCATTTAAAGAAGTTGATTTGAAATGACGTTCTTAGATCTTTCTTAACACTCTACCTGCCCCAATGGCTAGGAACTTTTTTTAATTTTTTTCATTATACATCTCGTGCATTCTTTCCCTAGTAAAGGAAATTAAAGACTCGATTGTTTTCTAGAAAAATCTTTCTCGCTTGCGCGAGACTATGTTGCGTGATTTACTTCTGTTAAATAAAATTCTGGAACCTGGGGCTAGCTTTTTCCATCCTCAAAACTCTTCGTGGAATTGTAGCTTGTGAACAATTTCATTCTGATAAAGTCGAGCCAAATAATCACACGGGAAGTTAATTAGCGTGTCTATTCCTATGGTGTTGTTTAATATTGTGGGGTGAATGCTTCTTTATGAGTGTGGGTAAAACCGTGAAGTTTAACCATTTAAATAAGAACCCCGCGGTGTTTGTTTTTATTGTAACTAGTGATTCTAACTGTGGCATCTGTAAGGGAAAGCGCATGAAGTCAAGATATGCGGTTACACCTTTGCCTTTTTTCGTTATACTAATGTGAAACGCCTAATTACTTAATTTTAGAGTAGAAATAAAAATACAAAACGGTCTTGGAACCGGGGTTGAATTGAGAACTTGGCCATTTTTACAAGCCAGTAGTTTAAGACCTGACGCCTGGTTTCTGTGTTTTGAGTCAGCCTTTGTCATATTTATACGCCTCGCTTCCTTTGAATAACTGATTTGAATTGTATCGTTGACGCAAAAGCCGTTTATTTTCCTTGACCATTTAAAAATAGACGCTAAACGTTTTTGAATTAACGCTGAACTATAGTCTCTTTTCTTAGCACTTAAGGTAAATGACCCCCTTAAAAACGCACAGATAAGTGACCAAGAGGCAAAGAAATGTGGCGCCGAATATAAAGTTGTGTACTTAACTGCGTTAAGTAACGAACTTTAGCGTCCTCGAATACACCTTTCACCTCAAGATCGAACACCCGATCATAATTTTGGAATTATACTCGTATTTTTTCTCGCCATATCAACCGATAAATTCTGCAGTTGCTCGCGTGCGTGACAATTAATTTTTCATGTGACCATTCGTGCGCAGACGACAACTTTAGTTTTAGTTGGTTCTAGATAAGACGAGCTAAGACAAACCTCTCTTTTTCCTTCCGCAAACTTTGTGAGTAATTCTCACAATTAATACAAAAGTTACTGCAATATAAGGAGTAAACTTGTTTTGGCTTTCATTTGTTTTAGGCAGAACATACTACGTTTCTAGCGGACTTAGCTTGACTAGAACAATCTTCAACTATTGAACTGTTTCAAATTTTGTTCTGTTATGTTAATTACACCTGTTGTGAGTTGTAAAATAAAGATTATTTTTTCAAAAGAGGAACGGATAAGCTAGTGAGTATGACGCACTTCTTTTTCGAGGAAACTTGACGTGAAATGTGATCTTTTTCTTCCTCTGGAGGTTCCATTGAGCAAGCGAATCTAATTAAAGCAAAAAAAGACAATGTAATGGGTTTTCTACAGCTGCTGGGAGTTTTGTGTTTTAGCCGATCTCATAAAAGTTTAATGAGGTTTTTGTTATTAGCGAGCGACCTCAAAGTAGTGTTCTATTCCAAAGTCGCTATTCTATAACTCTTGAACGGCTTTCATTCGTATTTGTATGAAGTGAAAAAGTGTTATTTGTTGGTCGTGAAGAAGTAAGACGTCCGCCGCTCCTCTCTGCGAGAAGTTTAATTTGCTTTTTCCAGCGGTGCGTGTCCAATCAAATTGATGGATGGATAGATAGATTGCCAACTCATGAATTACAAAACAGTTCCGCACGTCTAGCTAAGTTAGCTGGCAAAGCTTCCTCTTAACGACAGCGAGCAAACATGTGGAACAAACTCTTCGCAAATTAACCTGGAAGGAAAGTCAACTCATCGAAACATGAACTTGTTAACGCTCGGAAGCTAAATTTTGGAATCCTATGGAGGGAAAAACGACGAAAAGACCTGCTAAAACCCCGGCCTGCTGTAGCGAAGGCTGCTTTCAAAAATGAGAACAAAGACGAAGCTTTGGCCTACGTACCCGAGTTATCGGCGTCGGGTTGATGCCTTTGTTTACAACCTGAAGCGCTATATAGTGAAAACTGTTTTCCCTGGTAATCCAAGGGAAGAATGGCTCTGGTTCAAGTACTGCCGAAGAAAAGGGATTCTTCTCCGTATTCGTCCAAGCCATGTTATTTTATTCCGACAGGTAAACTGCTGTGACCTGCTTAAATCATGAATTGCGTTTATTGTGAGGAGGAACACAGTTAGAATTTTGCATGTACTTGGTGTTCTAACAATTTTCTATTTGCTTTGTGCTTTAAGAATAATTTCGGCAAAGTTCGATATAATTTTTTCGTACCGGATAAATAAACTGATTGTGGTCTTTCGATCTCTTCCGATTATTGTTTTTAATATGAAAGTATGGTTTTAACATATCAAAAGCTCTGTCGTAAATTTTCAAATTGATAAATAAGTGTTTCGTAGTTTTGGCAAATGATATCAAGGACGCGAAGTTGGAAACCTTTCCTAATTCAGGCGGAAAATATATTCCTTCACAGTCATTCAGTTTCAAGATAATCATAACTTATTGCGCTGTTTTTGGAGGAATGTACTGACGTTTGTTCCTAAAAACAAGCGGGATTGGATGTTATTTTGTTCTCGTAAAAGTAAATGAAATTCATATCTGCATATGGTGCATCTTTCTATTTTAGAAGATTACTTCTTGGCGGAACTTTTAATCTTTGTCAGACACCTGCTACAGTTTGTCTATGATGACTGACATCGACTTTTTAAGATTTTTGGATATAGGTCGAGCTCAGTTTACGTTCATATCTCTTCGTTCAATTTGTAACTTGTTATTCAGTGTTCGTTCTCTTAAGTTATAGGTCAAAGTAGCCCTTCTTTGACTCTCCTAAAAGAGTCAATGGAGCCTTCTTTTCTCCTATCGTTGAGCAGGGCCAAAGTTCAAAGAGTCGATCTTGATTGTCGAAGAATGGGGTGATTTCGTTTGGGTCTGTTGTGATCCTATGATTCAGACCCTATGGTTTCAGCATTTAAATTAAAGCTACGTACTTTCCTATTGTACTGTTTATTATGCTGCACAAGGCGGTTCTAACTTTCGAGTCTGTGGATGAAATCCTAAAGTGTGACCATTCAAATGAAAGCTACTAAGCGGTACTTTCCTATGATACTGTTTATTAGGCTGCACAAGGTGGTTCTAACTTTTGAGTCTGTGGATGAAATCCTAAAGTGTGACCATTCAAATGAAAGCTACTGAGCAGTACTTTCCTGTGGTTCTGTTTATTATGCTGCGTAAGGTGGTTCTAACTTCTGAGTCTGTGGATAAAATCCTAAGGTGTCACCATTCAAATGAAAGCTACTGAGCAGTACTTTCCTGTGGTACTGTTTATTATGCTGTACAAGGTGGTTCTAACTTTTAAGTCTGTGGATGAAACCCCAAAGTGTGACCATTCAAATGACAGAATCTGAGCAGTACTTTCCTGTGGTACTGTTTATTGTGGTGTACAAGGTGATTGTAACTTAAAGTGTGACCATTCAAATGAAAGCTGAGCGGTATTTCCTCTGGTATTCTTTATTATGCTGGGCCAATTCTTCGTTGTTTCGGTAAAAAACAGAAAATCGTTTTCGTGCAATTTGCCTTTGAAGTTTTGAAGTGTCGATATTAGTGAAAAGCTCATACCTTAAAAACTGCTTGTGTTGATTGCAAAATTACAGAAAGATTTTTTGTTTGCAATTTGTCATTTTTGGAGCAATTCCATCTCAGTCAGGGGCAAAGCGTATCCGCATTTACGAATCCTTTTAAAAGGATAGCGAGTACATGTACTTGTTTTTGTTGAACCATCCAAAATAATTGTTCTTGAACTTTTTGATTGGTCCACTAAAGAAGAATTTTCAGTCATTATGTAATCACTCTATAACTCTATAAGTTATACTTATGTAAATTATCATCTTTGTTTACTTTTCCAATGTTCGTATCAGTGATTTTACAGACGATAAAAGTTCTATTATCTAGCGCGAAACACTTGTTAAGGGAGATTACGTAATTTCGGTATGTTAAGGGATAAGCGAAATACAATATAATGGTGTGTCCAACTGAATCTTTGTCTTGGCTTTCCACTGAGAAAAATCCTTTCTATAGCAGTTTCAGATGCCGAATTTAAAGCTGTTTCCAAAAAACAGACAATAAGCTAGTATGATGAAGAAACCTTTGTCGCTTTAAAGATGGCGTCAAAGGAAATTTGAATGAAAAGCGAACTTTCAATTGCTACGTGATCCTTTTCAAAGAGGTTCGGCGTTGGTGTTTTTGTGGTGCTCGATGAAACCATATCGTGTTGACGATAGCTTTACTGTTGAGGTCGTTTTCTAAACAACACAGCCAGTAGTGATCATGAAAAGCGATATTCACACGACCATTAAGTGGTTACGCGTGAACGCAGTCAAAACGTTAACAATAAGCAAACTTAAAGAAACACATAAATGAAGAAGTTAGCTTCTCGGAAAAACAAAACAAAACAAAAATAGAAACTCTGGGGCTTTCTTAGTGGTGAGTGAAAATAAAAAAATTGGTTCTATCAAAATCGTCCTTGCGTCGACGGGTGAATGACTCTTAAACCACTTTGCGCTTGAAGACTCAGCCTTTGAAATTCTTAAACTAGTTTATTTGCCAGAGCGGAAAATACCATTACATTCTGTAAAACGCGGTTTGGGTGGTTAAACCTCACTTTTTCCTGATTTTTAGTGTTTTGTACGCAGTGCACGTGCAGTGTATGCAAATTTGCGAGGTGGTGTTGCATTGCACGTGCAAATCATGCAGAGAACAGTACAGTGGCGGATCCAGGGAAGGGGCCCGGGGGGCCGCCCCCCACCCCCCCTTATTTTTAGACCAAACTGAGGCCCAAAGGGCCGAAAGAATTTTTTTTGAGTCACGGATTATAAGCGTGTTAAATCCGTACTGAACAAATCTTGAACACTCGGTAGTAAACAAACAAACAAGCAAACTGGGCTGAGTTGCTCAAAGCATGGTTAGCTCTAACCATTGGTTAAGGAGTATCAAAACCAATACGGTGTAAAGGTATTAAACGCTGGTTAACGCTAACCGTGCTTCGAGCAACTGGGCCCTGGTGTTCATATTTATGTAAAAGTCTGTATCTGTGGATGCTGGGCCTTTGTCATGTCTAATTTGAATTGCCGTGCCCTAAGCTGTTTTGTTTTTCATGCCCGTAAGTTTCTCTCGTTCGCCTGAATCCCACTCTAATAGTTAAGTGTTATTTTTCGATTTTCAGGAGGTAGCTGAGATAGTTCGTTTAACAAGCAGTGATGTGTGGTCGGACAGGCGCGATGGAGTCGTGTGCCTACAAAGCTTTCTTCTCAACTCTGGTGTTGTCAGGTTTGTTTACAAGTCTTTCTGCTTGTGACAAGTCACTGCATTATTAGCATACTGATACTCCTAATATTCCCATACTGAAACAACACTGTGACCGTACTGTTCCAATATTGTCGTCCAGTTGTAACTATACCCTTACCACATTGGTATATACCATTACGCTATGTTAACTCAAAGTGACTTACCATTGTGTCAGTGTCAACCTTTCACTATGCTGTCTACTTAAAGTTTCAACAGTTTTACCATATTGTCGCCATACGTTTTCCACTGATTGCGACAATGTTAATATATTGCTACCTTCTTGTTACTATACTGGCACGCTACTGTTTACCGGACTTAAGGATGGTGTCGTCAAATGACATTTTATTTTTGCAGTCAAATCCTTAAAACTTCTCAGTTTTTTTCTCGTGCGCGTTACTGCTGAATTTTTGTAAATGAAGTTAATGTTTTTTTCCCTTAGCCAAGTGGAACTGGGGCGGATAAAGGATTGTCTCACGCGCTTGTTCTTTGATCCTCACAACAAGGTAAAACACACTACAGTTTACAATTTCGTTTGTTGAAGGTCAAGGATCTCTTGCAGCCGCTATACTGGTAGTATACACACACTGATGGCCGGAGTGTCAGTGGACTTCAATTTAACAAACGTTACACCAAGATTTCTACCGTGGCAGGATAAGCTCATTTGGTAAAGCACTTGACTACAGAGCGGGAGGTCTTGGGCTCGATTCCCGGGGCCGGACCAATACTCAAAGTGTTAAAATTACTAGGAAATGAATGTTCTTCCTTTGCACTCTAAGCGGCTACATCTTCGCGTGGTTCGGATGACCACGTAAAATGGCGGTCCCGTCTCCAGCTGGAGACGTAAAAATAGTGTCCCCAATTAGTGCTTTCGTGCTAAATACATGGACACTCAAGTAAAGTGCATTTTTTTTAAGTTATGTAATTTTTTATGAAGAAATACATGAAAGTAATTTTCTTTATTTCCCTTGACGCCACAGTTTTTGCGTTTTGTGCATCAGGTCTAACACGAATTGGTCCGATTTATCGGTTAACAGCAAATAAACCAATTGGAACAAAAAATATCCAATCAAGAGATATAGCTTCAAAAAGTGGGTGAAAAAATATTTTCTAACTTAAGAAACTTGAAGGAAACTGACCAAGTTAACTTTCTCAAAGACTTCTGGGGCTGTCCCAGGGACATAAAAAAAAAACTGGCCAATAGCTGACCGAAGCTGACGGGCGAGTTCCTAGCCTCTCACGCAGACGTTCTTAGGGGCTCGTCACGCGTGAAGTGGGGCAGGAACGCGTGACGAACCCCTAAGAACGTCTGCGTGGTAGGTTGGTGCGTTCCCTGTAACGATCCCGGAAACAATCCCGGGACGCATTTCGGCTCCAGTTCCCGTCTGTTTCTAAAGTGGCGAATATAAAGCCCATTACAAGGAGTAACCAGCCATAAAAGCATAAATCACCCCGACTATCGTTGAGATTGGCTGATTTCGTTTGTCTGCTTTTTTTTTTCTCTTCTGCAGGTTTACAGTTTGTTTTTGGACGCATTGTGTGACTTCATAGTCGTCAATAAAGTGGATCTTCACGATTGGTTGTTCGTTTTGTTGTCACGCCTTCTCACTAAGCTTGGCACGGAGCTCTTAAATTCTCTACAGTCGAAAGTTGTTAGAGTGTTGGATGTTATCAGGTGAGGCTTAACAGGAGAGATAAACATCATGTTGAATTCGAAAAATAAATTTACATCACAGAAACAAATAAAAACTTTCAAGCAGGACTGTTAAGTTGACGTTTCGACAACCTCGCGTCGTCTTTTTCAAGATGGCATTCATGTTAAGTCACGCGCAACCACTTTGGACAAGCCATATTGAAGGTCTCTATTCCTTGGCTTGGTTTGAACCACCTTGTATGGCATAATAAACAGCACCACAGGAACGTACTGCTCAGAAGCTTTCATTTGATTGAATGTTCACACTTTAGGATTTCATCCACAGACTCAAAAGTTAGGAACACCTTGCTCAGTGTAGTAAACAGTAACACTGGAAAGTACTGCCCATTAGCCTTCATTTGAATGGTCACACTTTAGGATTTCTTCCACAACCCGGTCTCAGAAGTTAGAACCACCTTGTACAGCATGATAAACAATACCACAGGAAAGTACTACTCAGTAGCTTTCATTTGAATGGCCACACTTTAAAATTTTATCCACAGACGCAAAACTTAGAACCACCTTAAACAGCATAATAAACAGTACCACAGCAAAGTACCGCTCAGTAGCTTTCATTTGCATAATGTGCAGCGTATCTCATGTCCCATAAGACAGTTAATAATGCGATTCTAATTACCACCAGTTAGTCGTTTTTGCGTTTCTTTCCTGCAGTAAGTAATCACCAGTTATATGATGTTCCTTTATCAGGAATTTCCCCTGAAAATATACATTCATATTTGTGTTGTCACAAAAGGGGTTACTGAAGACATTTTACTTCAAAAGAAGGGAGATTTCCACACGACGAGACGTTAGTACCAACTAGTAACTTAACTCGTTAACCTTAAGGGTCGTATCCTTTCGTAAATCAGTTGGATTTCGGGATGAAATAGTTAATTCGTTATTGTTTTTCTCTTTTTCAGAGATTCCTTTCCTTATGATCTTCAGTTTAGCATTTTAACCAGATTCATCACTGATCAAACCCAGACACCCAACCTCAAGGTAATGGGTGCATGAATGTACTTCAGGGTCTTTTGCTCTTGTGTGTTCGTTGAAACGTGTTACCAGTGCGGCATGTCATTGGTCAAAGATAGAGAAGTTATTTGGGGAGGGGAGGGAGAGGATGTCAGCAGCCTATAGCGATTCGTGTTTGAGGGATAATCATATTAAGCCTCGTTATTAGGTCATATTTACATTGTGCTGGTAGTATTTTACTTCCTGTTTACCATCTTCCGTTTGTCTTGCAGGTCAAGATAGCCATTTTGCAGTATTTACAAGGACTTATCGGTTTGATGGATCCAAGCGATTTCACCAACTCTGGTGGTATCCTTTTTCAAAGATTTGTTATCCATGCAATCAAGTATGACTTATCTAGCACCGCCATCTTCGTAAAACCTTGTTAAATGTGATAAATTTTACATCAATCCTTCTGAATAATTATTCAGACTTGGCTCCTGGTCTCAGAAAGTTGGGAAGGCAATAGAGACATCACATGACGCACGAAAGGATTTCTTCGTTAGTTTATGGACATTCCCTATCTCTCGCAACTCCTTGTACGAAAATGGAATACATTTGCAGGTTGCAGTCAGGTGTGAGACTTTTAAGAAAACGTGGAGAAAAATACGTTATTTATGTTGCTAAGGCAAATATTCCCCACTTCAGAAGCTCAGGGAGAATGGGTACAAGCTTTGGTTGCAGTGATGTCTGGGATTCGTTTGGGTGGGCAAGCATCATTTATGATTGGTCGATGGTATTCAAGGTAACCATTAACCAATCATAAGTAATCCTTGTCTACCCAAACGATTTCAGAAATCATTGGACCCAAAGCCTGTAACCATACTCCTTTTCGTTTGTGGAGTGGGGAATTACGTCACAACTCTCTTCACTGCCACACGGTTTAGAATGATATTACAGTGTAAATGTAAATGCTTTTAAACGCGTGATATCTTGATAAGTTGCTAAAAAAGCTATACAACTAGATTTGTTGAAAACGTTTTTATAGCCTTAATACAGCGTAGAAACACGGTTGGCGGTTTCGCGGATAATCACTTGGACGACTGAGCCGAAAAGCGTAGACGTCAGAAAGGTAAGAAGCACTCGTGCCACCCGAAATAAAGTGTAAACAGTAATAAAATAAAATGTAAACAGTAATTTTTACCACGACATGTGGGTGCCGGGTACTAGAAAAAAACTGCACTTATCTTGATGACCCGTGCACTACATTGTGAGCATCCCTGGCGACTAAGCTATGAGTTCAGGGAGATGCAGGTCCTAAGCGCTCATAAAGAATGCACTTCACATTTCGTTATCTCTGTCAGTTAATCCACTCATGGGGTTTTCCAGCTTCTCTTTTTTCAAACCACAAGGGTGAGTGCAAAATTTTTGATACGAAGTGATGTAATTTGTGTTCTCATGCAAAATAAAACTTGTATTTTTCATCTGGCCTTATTTTAAAAGTGAAAGTTTTGGAACTCGGCAGAACGTGGTTCTTGTCCACTTCAGTGCAGTGTTGAGCTAATTTAGTGAAGGCGCTTGCTCGTCGGGTGATTGTTTTACTGTATGTGACACAGTTTTGTTTTTGATTCATTTTGACTGCCTCCTAATTTGTCCTTAGGAATCAGCGGCTGTCATTGTGGCTTTGTTTGAGTTGAACACTCCAGAATTCAGTATGATGCTAACAGTTTTACCCAAATCTTTCCAGGTAACTCAAGATATATATTATTGACCTGAAACGTAGTGTGTGCATTTTATGTATTTCATTTTATGCAGCCATCGAGGGAATAAGCAGTATGAGCTCAGTCAGAAGAGCGCTTAACTGCAGAGCGGGAGGTCGTTGGTTCGATCCTTGGGGCCGAACCAATACTCAGGGTCTTAAAAATAATAATGAAGGTACTGCCTTTGCCCTGCAAACTGATAAACGTTTGTGTGGCTTGGATGAGATCGTAAAATAGCGGTGACGTAAAAATAGTCCCCTTATCAAGTACTCTCGTATTAAAATACATTAATAGTAAAAAAAAAAAATGCGTAATAGAAGTGATTGTAATGCTTTTTTTTCTGTTTTTTTGTAGGACGGTGCTACTAAGCTACTTCACAATCATCTAAAGAGCAGCAGCCAAGGTTCAGAGGTATTATGGGTAACGTGTTAAAATCAGTGTCGTTTTCTTTCGAAGGAACAAGAGCAATAAGCCACAATCCCGGTCATAATTTGTTGAAACACTTCCGGAAACAGTTAGGCCCTTATATGGAGAAACGTTGCTCCAGGAAGAGGGTCATCCGGCCGAGTCAACTTTGGCAAGCGTTTATCTGAGAAAAAAGTCGACCCCTTTGCACGAGCCAAGACCTTACAACAGCACTCCCACATGCACTGATTGTCTCGGCCCTTGACCGAGTTGACCCGATTGGGTGAGGCAAATAATAATACGGAGAAAAGTTGGCGCGCCCGGCTAGTAGGATTACCCTATCGTCGAAAAAGGGTGGCCCACCCTTTTGTAAGGAGATCGCGTTGGAAAAATTCGGGTAGGCGGGTGACTCCTGGGATAACATTTCTCCATAAAAGTGGGGCCTTAGACTCTGATTGTAAATTGTAATTTTATTTTACACTGCTAACATGCTAGTCAGTCAGTCACAGGCGTGAGTTCACCGAGGAATTAAGCGAGTTTAGCCGCTTGTTTTAGAGTACAAAGCAGGAACACCATAAAATGTTTGTTTTCAGCTTGTTTTAGCGTTTGTCCTGCTGTTCCAATTTCTGGTTTAAGCTTCAAAATGTCTAGCCCAAATGTAGAGCGTACGTAAAAGGCTTCAAAAGCTTGTTAGTGATTGTTTAACTTGCCTTTGGTTTCTACAGCCTTTTGCTGCCGGTCGCGGATCTCCGTCGTCATCTTCGTCCAACTTCGATGAAGTAGAGGAGCGACCAAGGTTAAGACTTGGTTACAGAACATTGTCCTCATCATCCATGAAAGGCGTGTCCCCGACAAAGGACGAAAACCGTGCCGATCAACCGAGCTCCCCCGACCACCACACCAAGATACCCACGCCTACGAAGAGTCCTCGAGGCTCTCAGACCAGGTTTGGGTATTCTCCGCAAACAAACACGCCTTCGTTACAGCGTGACAACAGCAGCGAAGTTGAACCGTTGAGCTCGAATGAGTCCCTAGACGGAAGGTACGCATCTCCTCCACCTCCCCACCGTGGGGACGCCGTTTCAAGCCAGCCGGAAGACGCGCCGAGTGTGTCATCCGGGTATAATAGTGATGACGTCACATCCGGGAATACAGAAAGCCACCATCGAAGAGCAAGCGCGGCTGGAACGCCAGCTTCGGGTGAACCCGCCGGACAGAAGTATGACCCGAGACAATACCAAGATAAACAGAATGATTTTCATCCAGTGAGTAAACAAAACATGGTAAGAAAATCAATGAAAAACATGTAGCCGCATTTTAAATATTAAGGAGATTAATTTCCAATTTTTGGACCTGCCCAACTTTCCCTCCAAGAGTTATGTATGTCTTATAGAGAGTCAAATAAAGGGAGTAATGAAAGGCAAGGACCAACTCTAAGTGTCCGTTCCGCCGCGGTGTCCATCTTATAGAGGTATCCATTAAGGTATTAGAACTGCTATAAAATTAAAAAATGATCATGCTTATAAAGTCGCTTATTTCAAATGTACTCTGAACCTGAACTCAAATTTCGAAAGTCAAGCATTTTCGTTAAATAGGAGCCTAGAAAACGAAGGCCAAAGATGGTATCTAAGAGCGCTATTTTGGAAATATTCATAATCACAGGGCTGAAATCAACGCAATACTTTCCGTTGTTGACAGAAATGTTGCAATTTTCACATCCCGGCACGCGATAACGTGTTATGAGTTTCAACCGCTGAGTTACTGTTTGGGAAATTGTTGATGTAGACCGAAAGCCTTTTTCCTCAACAGAAACAATTCCGTCCTCACTAAATAATCAAAGATCGTTTGTTATTGATACCACATGGGAAGTTAAATTGGAGAGCATGTAGCTCTTGTCGTCTGAGGACTTCTTCACACGATGAAACATCGCTTGCCTTTGACGTAAATTCTATCCCATGCCTTGATGATGTGCTGTAGTTTAGTAGAAAGTGAACAAATCTCACCGTTTATAGACTGGCACTTTCTCTAAAATTTTTCTGTTAAACTTGTAGGTACCGGAAATGAATGGTTTTCTTACCGCTGGCCGGAAGAAGAACGGTGAAGTGGAGGACGAGCTTGATCGTTCATTAGAGGGAATGGATCACAGTGATGACCAGTTTGATAAAGGTACTAGCATTACCTGCGTGATATTATTTCGGCTTTGTGATACGAGAGACCTTTAGATTCCAATACTAAGTAAAGCGCGCGTGTGAACCAGCGTCATTTTAGCGGGAAAACGCGATAGCCGTCTTCCTCCTTGGCCTATTAGATAGTCTTGTGCAGCGATTGGGTTGTCACAGATGATCAACCTGAAGCTCTCCCCTCCCCCCCCCCGCCTTAAAAAAGTACTAGTTATGTTTAGATGTTTTTCTAGCCTTCACTGCCTTGAATAAACCTGAATGGACTAAAATTTCTGGCAGTGCAATGGTAAAATAGTACTCGTCTTATTTTATATCATGGGCAAACAACGTCCGGCTAAGTAAATGAACTTTTTTAGGCCATGTTTATACTGAAGAAACTGCTTCATAGCCCCAGATCTTTTATTCTTTCGTCGAAGTTTTGACGTTGGATTTTAACAAAATCTCACTCTCATTGTTTTGTCGTCTTAGATGTTTCTTTTGAAAACGCCGATGGTCTTTCTCCTCTGATGGTCCCTCTAGGAGCACCCTCAGGTATGCAGACGGAGGAAAAGAAAGAGGCCCTGGGAGAGTTACTGAGAATGGCCCGTGAAGAGGCACCTGAACTTTGGGAAGAAAACTTGAATACTCTGCTCTCCTTAGTCTTGAAGAACATTGGAGATGACGAGGTAATACTATATAGACTTAATTTGTTTATTTTTATTTATTTATTTATTTATTTACACCACCACTGTAATTTTACACCATGTAAAATAAGATTTTGAGAATTATTCCATAATTAAAATATAGTTACATAAAATACGTAATATAAAAGGATCTAAATACTGTATGGTGAGGAGACCTCTGAAAGCTAAAGGCTTGTAAAAGGATGTTCCCCTACGATTTGGTCATCGATTTAATCTTAGATACTGAAACTTTGACCAGCGGGCGTAGAAAGATACAATAGAATTCAACTTTGCAAAACATGTTGCACGGTTTTGCTGCCCGTTTTTACCATACTTCAAGAAACAGAACATGCAAGGAAACTCTGTTGTTTGCGCTGACTTGTTTATTTGTTGTTATTTATGCTTCAGCCTTCCATACGACTGCTTTCTCTTCGTGTTGTAAGGGATCTGGTACGGACTAAGCCCCATGCCTTGAGCGGACCAAATCAAAAAATGATTGAAACAGTTCTCATTGCACATAAGGACTCTCAGAAAGAGGTAAGGCAAGAAACAGGTTTGAAAAGTAGTAAGAGTAACAAGAACATATTATACAAGATTGTTGCGTTAGTTTTAAAAGACTACGGTCAATGCTGTCGTGTTAAATAACATTCCTTTACATTGGGCAGGGTCGAATAAATGGGATTTCTTATGATTTTCCCACTATTGTCAACTTGATGGGTGTTTTTCAACCGGTACTGTTGGACGGGGCGTGTTGACTTCGACAACTGTGCACTGAGAGTCTAAATGATTTCGTCCAAACTTGTTGCGGAGCCTGTTGTTGACTTTCAAGTCTCCCTAACGAGATGCATTTATTCAAGTCAACAACCCGTTTTGTAGAGTCAAAAAAGTGGTTTTCAACTCAGAAGCTCTACAGTGGTAGACATGATTAAATTTTTTCAGTCTCGAACTTTAAAATAGGGGTTTGCCTTGTTGCTTGAAGATTTTCCTTCAGTTAAACCGTGGATTGTTTGCTTTAATCGACAATTGTGAGTTTCCAAACTGAAAACAACTCTTAATATTATTGTTATATTTTTGCAGGTTGCTCGGGTCGCCGAAGAGGTTGCTGGGACGATTGCCAAGTCTCTACCACCTGAGGTGTGCCTGCAGGCCTTGGCCCCAGTCCTCAGAGATGCGGATTTCCCGGTCAATCTCGCCGCTCTTAAAATGACAATTAAGGTATCGCTGTAGTAGATTTTATTTTTATTTTTCCACTATTTGTGGAAGAGTTTGACCTTTCTCCCGCCTAGAGTAGCCTAGAAAAATTTACATTTTATAAATCTTTTGCAGGTTGTGGAAGATATCGATAGTGAGACGGTTGAGGAAAACTTAGGAGAAATCGTGCCTGGGCTCGTGCGGGTAAAGTTGTGTTTCTGCTTTCTGCTTTTTTGAGTTCAGTTTTTAAATCTCTTAATTCCATGCATTTCTTTTACTTGCTCCCTCCCTCTCGAACTCACCATTTGAACATTTCCCAGGATACACTGATCTTGTTCATTTTTACACTCCAAAAGTTTGCATAAGCATTTTCTTTAATTCCTCGTGAGACGATTGTGATACTCTGGAGCAAACAGTGGTTATCCAATTTTTTTCAGTGGGCAGTGGTAAACAAGATGTATTATGGGCAATGTGAAAATGATGAATAATTATTTCCTCTGAATCCTGTCCCCTGCGTAGAGTAATCGTGCAATGAAACATGGTGTTAAATTTTATCGTGATATACAGTTTGTAACTCTAAGTACATTCATTTACAAGTAAAAGTTATATCGCTGTATTTGTCCTTGTTCTCTCATTCACGTGTACTTCATAACTTTACACGACTTGAAGATCAGAAAAATTCACTGTAAACGCCTTGAAAGAGAACGGCTGATTGACTGATTGTTTTACACGATCGCCGCTCCCGACAAGACGAAAAATTGAACAAGTACGGCGGCGCTTTTGGGAGTAATTAGTAATAATAGACCTTCTTAGCTTGTATGTTTTGTTCCCATTTCAGACCACGTGATGATTGATATCCCTGAGAGCTGTTTCTCTCAAATGTCATCCTATGCATGTGCATCCATGTGCACATGTATACATGATGAAAAGACAAAAGGCAAATTCCCTAGAGAATATCACATGGTCTGAATTGGGAAAACAAAACATACAATCTAAAAAGGTCTATTATCATACTTGAATGAAGGAATGAAGAGTCGTGGATGAGAGGACAACAGACGTGCCCTCTTACAATACATTTTAACATGTGAAAAGTAAGCTTGGACGTCAGCATACAAAGGCGCCACTGGCAGCCGCTCTCAGTCCATTTATGAGCTTACTGTACCCACCCAACCCATGATGTGATGAGTGAAGGTTGACCACAACACCGGGATCTACGTCCCCTACTATTTTCGCACCGTGATGTGGGTTCTTTTACGTCCCACAAGAACCAGGTAAGTGTAAGTGCTGTGAGACGGGACCTACGGTTTTTCGTCCTTATCCGAGAAGACTAGAAAGTCTAACCGTTTGCAGATGTCATTACAAAGGCAGCACTTTCTTCTCAGTTATTTTAAGACCCTGAGTGTTGGTCCAGCCGGGGTCGAACCCGTGACCTCCCGCTCATCAGACCGGCGCTCTCCCAACCGAGCTAACCAGGCGGCGGTCAATTAACTTTTTTAAATTAACTTTTTTTCTATCTTTTAGTGCTATGATCACGTTGAAAGTAGTGTCCGCAAGGCTAGTGTGTTTTGCCTGGTGGCGCTTCACGGCGTTGTAGGGGAGGACATTTTGATGCCACATCTGGCTGAACTTTCTGGAACAAAGATGAAACTTCTTAACCTCTACATCAAAAGGTCCCAGGCTGGTAACGGCGGGGCTCGTCCGTGAGTGACTGGTGACGAGTGATGAGAAACACGTCTAACCGTCGTCATCTAAGTGATGCCAGGGAAAAGGCCGGTCTTGATGTTGCTATAGCTACCCTTGGGCTTGCCAAAGAAGCTTGGATTAGGTGCACAGAATCGACGTGCTTAGTTTCCTTGGTTCAGTGGACTCTAAAGAGGCATCTTCCAAAAATAAGCGAGCGAAGAAAACACTAACGATCGAAAGATGGGTCCCCATAACTGAAACCGGAAATGTCAGCAGCCTCGCCTGGAAAAAAAAGCGATTTCTCACGTTTCAATGCTTTCTCTACATAAAACATAGTTACCTATCTTGCCGGTTTATTGTTGCGTTGTGAAAACTTGACAAGCTGGTTTCTGCCAGTTTTTATCAATATTGTGTGACATAACTAGAGACAATGGTCATGACGTCCAGACTCAAATAGTTGTCAGTTGTTCAAGCTCTACGTTGGAAATCTACACTGTCCGTCAAGACTACGAGCTTTTAATTTACCAGCATTTTATCGACTTTTCTTGTACAAAATTTTTACCATTTTTCATATTGTATCATATTATTTTCTTTCCTTGTTTCACCTGGACATATTATAAGCAAATCTAATTCCTGTTATAGAAAGCGCGAAGAGCAAGCCACTCGCTTTGCGTGACTTGACAGCCTGGTTTGCATGTGATGGCTAGCGACCAGGCCCCAGTTGTTCAAACGGCGGATAAAGCTTTCAACAGGACGAATCTCTCTCCACCTTTTAGCGCAATTGGTTTCTGTAATATTTATCCATTGGGTAGTGTTTTTTTTGCATTGGATAGTGCTATCCAGCGTTTGAACAACTGTGGCCCGGTAAAAACTAGCCTTAAAATAGTACCGAAGTCTCTGTAAGTAATCGTTGCCACTGAAGATTGGTTTCCATTTAATCGTTGCGGTCGCTTAACGTGGGTTTCAGCTACCCTAACGATGGAAGCGGTTGTAGGCGTTTTGTACAAACCAGGCTTTGATGAATCTGATTAGACTGTTCACAGTCCCCTATTTTTTCGTGAGATCGTTTAGAGATACCGCGTCTTACCGTCACCTCTGTCTTGATTTTCAAATGTACCGAGGGGGCGGGCATTTTTCTCGCCTCCTCTCAAACCGCCCCCTGCCCCCTAAGTAGTTTTGTCACTCATGCGAGATGGCAGCCCGTAACGCAAAGGGCTCGAACTCGATGATCTTACGGAAAAATAGAGGACTGTGAACAGTCTAGAATCTGATAAACTAGCGAACGGACCCTACAGAACTACAGAACTGTTTGCCTGTACACCATTGGAGTCAAGAGATGCGCAAGTCAAGGACTTTAAAACACTACGTTATGCTACAAAGGACAGTAAACAGGCGATGACCGCTGTAATTGATTTTGTTTGTAAAGGAAGTAATATATTTATTTTTAAATAGACTTCGATTGAGCGGCAATAGTTTTATGTGTGAAGTAATTAAATTAAGGAAAGGCTGGGACCACTCCTGGCAGCTAAGTCGTGATTTTCACGATTAACTAGATCAAAAATATTAAACCGAAAATCTTGTTGAGTAATGATTATTTGCCTGAAATTAATTTGGTACTTTAAGGGGCTGTATCATGGCTAGCTTGTTCATTTCGTTTATAATGGCAATTACACGTCCTTATACGTTATGAAACTTGTGAAATTACTTGGAATGTTGAAATCACATCTTCGTGTCAAACAAATGCATTTTTCAAACTTTGCAAACAACAAATATGAACTTTGAGAAATATGTTAGGCTAACAACAGGTTTTCAAAATGCAAAATATGCAATCGGTTTCAATGGTCTTCAAGTTTGTCCACCTGTGCTGCTTAATTTGGTAGCAGTTCCCACTGTTTGAAAATTTGGTAAATCTCGTGTTAAAACATAGCCTGCGTGCAGACGATAACTAAACTCTGATTAGTACCGTCTGTGAAGCAGCGCAGAGATCCTTGTTCTGGACCCCCAACGGACTCAACGAATTACTGGAAGTGCGTTTCGAATTCCCCTTCAACCTGATTGGCGATCACGACAAACAAAACAAAGGCCTTTTTTAACTGGCCAATCGTGGCGCGTACTCAAATCTGGCTACACAGCTGGAAGTCCAGAACAAGGATTTCGGCGCTGTTTCGCAGACGGAGTTAACCAGAGTTTAATTTCGTCTGCGCGCAGGCTAGTTAAAACACAGCTACTTTATAAGCAAGGGAAAACTGTTGTTAGTAAAATCTAACTAGTGGTCTATTGTCAATGCTACGTTCTGATTGGTTGAGCTACTACTAGGCTGTATGTTATAGCCCACTAGTAGCGAAAAGCGCCGGCTTTGAGAACCAAAACAATGGCGACTGAATCGCGTTTTGCTTGCTAAGGTTGTTTTGTCTCGGTATTTTTTACCAACTAGTTGGATTTTACTAAAACAATTATTCCTCTCGCCCTCATTGCCTTTGAGTCAATAGCCCATTCGGCCTTCAGGCCTCATGGGCTATCGACTCAGAACCCATTCGGGCTCGAGGAATAATTGTTAAATAGCCCGAGTAGTGGGCGGTTAAAACGGAGGATAAGGGAGGCGTAGGAGAGCCCCTCGCTCTCTTCGCCTGTGAAGAAATCAGCCTCCTCTTACCGTAAGATCGTGCGCACGGACCACGTGACCCAAACCGTATAGGCCGCGCGGAATAAGCAGAACTGCAGCAGTATATAACCTCGCAAGTTTGCCGACTAAATACAAACCTCGGTAAAATTTCGCCACTCTGCGAAGTTGTTTGAAATGTACAATTTTCAATCTTGGTAGCTTTATAGATTTTAAAGCGCTCTTTCTAACATTGACGATAGACAATTGTATTCCCTGAGTAACATTTGTAAACCTGAACAAGAACAGTAGAAGAACAGTAACACTTGTAAACCTGAAGAAGGCTGGTATGGCCACCCGAAATTTTGTTATGAAAAAACAATACACGTTGTTCTGAATCAGGCTTGCAGTAGTCTTTGGACTTCTCGTTTTTATTCCCTAAGTGATAGCCTGGGACCAGGCTCCGCATTGAAGGGAAAAAATCGACGAGCGAAGCGAACCGTCTGAGGTTGGAAAAGGGTTCTCTCGCCGATATTTTTCCTATTTGACCCGATTTGACCCCGTTTTTTCCCTTTTTCTCCCACTGCGGATCCTGTAGTCTGCTACACAGCCGTTTTTAGTGTCGTCACGCAACGCTCCTCCGACACTAAAAACGGTTGTGTAGCAGACTACGGATCCTGGTCCCATCAAAAACATTGTGGACGGGTGCCATTATCTGCCTACAAGACTGGGGACAAGTCCGAGCAGTAATAAAATTGCATTGTGGGATTTTCCGTTCCTCTTTCCGTGGCAGAACGGCTTCGAATAAAATTCACTGGAAAATCAAAGACATGGGTTTTGGTGATCTTAAGAACAGATCAGGCTTAGAAGCCTTGAATACATATTTAGAACATAACAGCTACATCGAGGGGTACGTATAATGGTTTTGTTCACTATTAAGTGCGTACAAGCAAGGGAATATGTTTCGTCCACGTGCATTGGAGGTTATTTCTTCACGAGAATTTTAATTTTTGTACAGTTCACGAGGGAAAGTAAGCTTAAGTTTAGAACCCAGACTTAAGATAAACCTCAACCTCTTACATTCTTCAATCTTGAAGTTTCACTAGATGTTTTCTGGTAATCACAGGGGATCGAATAGTCAACTTTCTTAAATTTCTTTGCGTATAAGGTTGTACATTCTTAAAAGTATGGTACAAATACGAGTTTGATGAAGTTGTAAATAATTATTATGGTGCGAAAGCCCTTCGCAAGCTTTAAAGATTGTTCATTCATTTATCTCAGATAAAATTACAAATGTGAAATTTCAAAATCTTGCATCCTTTGTTAAAACTAATTAGTAGAGTATTAAGTTTTACTTTTCTCAGTCTTGAATGATATTATATAGTAGTTGGATGAGGGTGATATAAAGCATTATGTAGATCAAGGAGGTGTTTTCAGCCCAGGTGGATCACACCCCCTGAGATCTGCATTATTATTATTCCTCATTTCATATGAAAGGCAAAATAATTATTTTATTATTGTTTTATCATTCATTTAAATCTTTCCATACTCATTAGCCTACCCTTTCCTCTACGTTGAATTTTTGAGTCAGGGCTAAAAATAATGGTCGGTCAACAGACAATGTCTGGGCAGAATGGCAAACTTTACTCGCCAGTCATGTTGACCGGTCTTGCATGCTCTCATTCTTGAACAAACAGTCAAATCCTCACTGGTAAATCTTAGATTTTTGTCTCTGTGATCACAGCTTTGACACAAAGAAGAAAGGTGAACAAAACAGCAGACGGGCCAAAGTTAATATACCGCATGTTCGATTGGTGTTAAAGACCTTAAGATACTCCATTTCTGTTTACGGGTATGGGTGAATTACCCGTAGGTGTAGCCGTAAATATGGGTAGATTGCCTCTTACCTGGGAGAAACAGGTAGGCTATTGGGTAGAACAGTAACGCCATTATCACATCTGGGAATGTGTGGTTCCAGAAAATATCCATGCCCCCCACGGCCCCCCCCCCCTCGGAAGATCATTGGAAATTCCGAGGGGGAGGGGGGTTCAAAGGCAGTTATTTCTGAGGGGTAGGGCGGGTTCATAGGAAACTACTTTTCCAAAGGAGAAACCATCAAAATGCAATAGAAGACTAAATTTGAATATATTTAGAGATGGCATTACATCTTTATAAGTTTACAGGGTGAAGCAGGCAAAAATATATTCCTGTATTGGGCACAGTCACAAAAGAGAAAGGCCGTCTTACATTTGAATTTGATAGTTTTCATATGTCATGCAATGCCATGATAAGAGTTATTATTAGCCTAATCACAAAATCTACTGAGCCCTAGGCTTGGACACAATTTGCAGTACACTGCCTTACAACAAATAGAGCATTTATTTGCTAGATCTTCTAAAAGAAGATGAAAAGAAGCTGACTTGTCAACCCCTCATATGCTTTGCTCTTTCAGGTATGTCCCATCCCAAGGAGACACTGTAGTTTACGAAGCATTATCTGGGGTCCCACCCTCTGATCTGCCACATGCCCTACGATGGTACAATCACATAACCTCATTTGGTTCAGAGAAGGCAAAATTTCCTGGTGCTAAAAAAGATCTTCAAAGCTATGGTGCTGGACCTGCAACAAATGGCACAGCAAAGAATGTTGATGATGACTTTGATCTCTTTGGTTCTGACTCTGAAGAGGTATTTATAATATTATCTTTTTGGTACCTCAAAGGTGCTACAGTAAAAACCTGCTTACATAAGAACCTGGAATAGGTTCTTACAGAATTGGTATTTAGTGGGATTTTAGGCTACTTAGGTTCTTAATTTGATAGGGGCACTAGAACCAACCCAGATAACTACTACAGCGCATACGTGATATGGAATATATTGGTGTATTAAATAATTATCTAGGCTACACTTTAGATGTTAACCATACAGTAAATTTATCTTTCCAAAGTACTAGCATGCATGTTTTTCATGCTGTATTTTGATCTGTGCCTTCAATTTTGTAAAATAAGAACCTATTGAAAATTTTAGGCTAAATAGGTTCTTATGAAAAGGGGGTTTAAAATGAAAATTTTAGACTAACAGGTTCTTAAATTTTAGGTTCTTATACATGGGTTGTTACTGTACGTCACAAGGATAAGGCTATTTTAGGTTAATTCTGTGCTGCAGGATTCACAAAATGCTCCTGTAGAGTTGCATTTATGAAGAAAATATCTAATAAATTTCATCCAGGAGCACAAACCATATCATTTTTTTTTGGTGATTTGTTTTTTGGAATAGCATTGAAACTTGAAAAAGTTGGCTCAAAAAAAAATTTTGTAAGGTTGTCCAGTCCTTTGTACACTTTTGTTTTGAGAGATTATAACAGAGCACATTACTTGTTTTTGTTCAAAGAAGCTTATCATAATGCAGCATTACCAATACCCCCAAGAGACAAAAATCTTGAGATTCTGATCCTGGAGTTGGGAAAAGTAGTGAGAAGTGGCAAAAAGTTGTAACATGTTCCCAATGAATTTCTTAGTTGAAGGACTTCCAGCAGGGATTATGGGTAATAGAAGTGACATGTTGTTTAAAGCTGGAGCAGTTACATTGTAACATTTCGGTCAATCTTCTTCATCACTGCTGAAAAGCACACATTTGTTAGCATGCCTCATGAAATGAGAGATTTAGGTTCATTTTAATAATGGGTCTCGTATTTTGTGCCAGTGGCAAGTCGCAGTAGACTGAAGATAGTAAACAATGCAACAAGTAGGCAATCCACACCTTTACTAATCAAATGTCACTGCAAGGCATCTTTTTATTACTGATTTTGTTCTCTTACTTGGAAATGAACCATACAGATGCTCCAAAACCTGTTTGTAGCGTGACTTTTCAAGAAAGTTTGAGAAATCAGTTGTCAACTAAAGCCTTGAATATTGGCAAGTCAGAAGATCAGAATATTTTTGAGTGGACCATTGAGTCCTTGCTTTGCATTTTAGGAAACTGAAGAAGAAAGAAAGCGCAAAGAAGAAAGGGAACAAGCGTACAAAGCAAAAAAGGCTACAAGTAAGCTATAACAACTTTTCTGTTGAATAATCGGTTTCTGATCTAGTGCTAAATTCTCCCTCTGTTTGAGATGTATAAAGTATGCCAGGCAAGTTGATAAAGATTAACCTAAGGCATTTACATGAAGTCTCATTATTTTTCGCCTCCCTTCCTTATCTTTTATGTTGTCACAACTGTGTCTGCTCCATTGAGAAACCATGAACATGTAATTCCATGGATTAGCTACCTGGCATTATTCCAATTACATGTTTCAACTGATTTTAATTAATCAAGTGAATGTTAAGCAACATTGACTGGTCCCCTGGGAACAGTTAATTTTGTTTTGCTAGAATATGAGGCTCTACTTCAGGAAATGGTGATATTTTAGTGTTAGTATCCCATGGGGCCAGCCAGTAAGTGATTTGTTTTTAGAGCCAAGGGTGAAAATATCTATGCGTACAAATTCATGAAATTCTCCATGGTCGTTATGTTTACAGTTTACATATCACTATAGCCCGCGAACCCAAATGTGTGAACTCAAAGTGACCATAGGGAACCTGTGCTATTGGGGGAAAATTCCAGCAATATAATGTATATATTTAACTGTTTTTTGTTGTTTTTTCAATGTCTTTTTTACTGCAGAAAAAGCAGTCATCGCCAAATCCAGTCTCCTCATTGATGTTAAACCATGGGATGATGAGACAGGTATAGAATTGTAAAAATCAGTCGCAACCCTCCCTGGTATGCAGGGTAATGTTGCATGTCTTTCAGAAGGGCCTGGCACCAAGTAGAATGTTTTGGGGTTTATTGATAAGCTTGCAAATAACAACCATCTCTCCTGACTTTTCACGCGGGGTCCTCGTTGCAAGGGACATTTCCCCGTGGAGAAGTCTGTGCCTCAATGAAAGAAATTGCATACTGATGATGTAAAATTGATCTGTCCAAAATCTTGTCAGGTGTTCTCAGTAGTCAAGAAAATTGTATTCTTTTTGCTATTGTTTTTTGAATGACAGACAGAAAGACAAAGATCAAAATGTGAATGTGACGAGTCTACTACAAAACTTCATTATTCATAGCATACTGAATATTCCTTTTTTAGAAGAAGCTTTTTGGTTATGCTGTTCCTAACAGGCCATTTTACAGCCTTGTTTTGTTACAAACCTTTCCTGCTTTAAATGTGCAAATCATGGTATTCTGATGCTAACAAGCCCGTGAACATGATCATTTACATAGGAAAAAAAAGAAGGTTTGTAACAAAACAAGGTCACCGCCAGCCTCACTTCTATTCAAAGGCCAGGGCACTGAGTTCACAACTGTAATATGACCTATTGTAGAAAAACTCAAAACCTTTTGACAACAGGAGAAACTTCGCATCAAACAAATTTACTTTCGGAACTCCATGACTACGAGACTAATATAAACAATGTAAACTTTGATTTGCATCATCAGTGTAGAATTTATGTTGTTGAAATGCAGGCAGTCCTGGGGTGGGTACTCCCATATATGGGTAGATAGGTATGTGCTGCTGGGGAGGGGATGGTTTTTGAGGGCATTATCCTCCTTATATCATCTAGCTATAATTCAAGTGAGTCAATGCCTAGCTACAAGAGAAACAAATTACCCGTTAAAACTGAACTTTACAGTAGAGTATTAAGAAAGCAATTTAACCCATTTGCCCCTGGAGATTTTGCTGAAAAACTCATTTTGAAGCTAGTCGAGTGGTTTTCTGGTCACTGTCGTGCTATAAAGAGGCAAGAAAAGGTAAAAAAGAGGGGTGGAGAGAAGGTAAAAGTCAAGAGTGCTGTGTCACTTTTAAGCCCAAAAACTTTTGCTTTCTGTGCGTGCCCGAACTTTGCAAGCTAATATTTTGATCTGGATCAGAAGGCTGTGAAGTGTACGACCTGCTAACGGCTTTGTGGTAAGTGTTAACTCTTTATATTTTTTTTCGCCAAAATCTCCAGGCGCAAATGGGTTAACTTGCTGTATTTCCTTTAGAATAACAGGCAGAGGGGTTAAGGAAGATTTGTTTCTTCTCATTGAATTCTTAGTTTTTGTTTTTTCCTTGAATTGGGTCTCGTAAAATTATTCCAGGTTTGGACCTCAAAAAGGGGGTCAGTTTTAGTTTGTCTCATCCTTAATTAGGATCAGGGTTTAAGACCCTGGGCGGCACACACCTATCAGAAATTTATGGGAGCACTCCATCCCTTGGATGCTATCCTCCCAGGCAGACATTTTTTGGCTCGTCACACGTGACTAAGCCCAAACAACATCTGCTTTGGAGGTTACTTGCCGGCTAATGTTCTAAATGGCGAGCAGCCAGGAGACACAGCTGTATTTTCAGGCTAGGGTATATTTGGTGAGTGAATGAGGCAATTAACATGAGCAGGTCAACCAGCCCCCTTCTCTTACGTAGGCATGGTCAAAGATGTGTGTGTGTGTTCTTCCCAAAGGCTAGTCCTTCCTTATAGTTTCAATTCAAGACGCGTTTCTTGACCGTAGCATTGCCACTTGAAGTCTTCCAGGTGGTCTTTTTCCTATTGTTCGCTCCTTTATAACTAATGGTACAAGATCACCATGCCGTAGGGTGTGATTAAAATATAAGAGATAAAAAAAGGAATGATGTTGTTGCTTCTGAGGATGTTATCCGGGGCATCCCCCGCTAATCCATACCAAGTGTGTGCACAGGCTACCCCAGTTTTAAAAATTGAGCCTGATAATTCGCCTGAACTATCTTGGGTATCATACGCCGTTCCCGGTTTCATTCAAATCTTTATAGTGAGCCGAGCTGCTTGTGGCTTTCGGCCTTTGGCCAAAGTGGTGTCAGTCAGACTGAGGGTTTACAGTCAAGTCGCCCGAAAGTCATCTCGCCCGAAGTTCGCTGTTTTCAAAATGGTTGTAAATGCTAAAATAGATTTTTTACACTATTTTTATTATTTTTATTTTTGTTTTTTAGATATGAAGGAAGTTGAGAGACTTGTTCGCACCATTGAAGCAGATGGCCTTGTGTGGGGTGCAGCCAAACTGATACCTCTGGCATATGGCATCAAAAAACTTCAGATAAGCTGTGTGATCGAAGATGACAAAATCTCCACAGATTTTCTGGAGGAAGAGATAACAAAGTTTGAAGACCTCGTTCAATCCATGGATATCGCTGCCTTTAATAAGATCTAATGCAGGAATTGCGGCAGAGATACTGAATTAATAAAAGAAATAAACACCAACAAAACTGTGTCTGAATATGTTTTGTTGTGTCCTTTTGCTTTGTGAAAGGGTAAGCAGTTCCTAAAATGTCTATAAATTCCATGAATCCTCGAAAATAAAGCGTTTAATTTAATTCTTATACCCAGGAAACTTATAGCTGTTAAGTAGGAGCCTCTATTCCAGAAAACTTGTATTAAACATGGTCCATTGTCAGACTTGCAGATTGCACTAACTGGGACGTTAGGTTTAAATAATTTTCACTGCGCTTTTTAATAATACCATACCGTTTATTAAATGAAATGGCTGGAAAAATAGAAAGGAGGGCCTATTTGAGATCTTGACTTAAAGACCACATGGATACAGACGCCGGGTAACATACGAGTAATACACGGATACATATAGGCACATACGAATACACACAAGTAACATACGGATACATACACACGTTCCTAAACTACTGGAGGCCACTGTACTTTTTTACCGTAAATCCTGAAATTAGGCATTTTCACTTAGTTGTCGTGCAAGGTTGTTTTGCATATTAAACCTATGATAATTTGCTTTTTTGCGTTCTCGTTGTGGTAATAGAGACCTTAAGGCCGAGGTTTGGTCATCATTTGCTGCAAACTTACGACAAACTGTGGTTAACTAGACTACGAGCAGTCTCTCTTTCTTCTTGGTCCGTCGAGCAAAACGCCCGAGACACGCAAATGACCACGCGCGTGACTGAAGGCGCGAGACGGGAGAGGCACGTCACCCTCGTTTCTCGCGTCTTCGCCGCTCAACGCCCGCACGCGCGTGCACTCCCTTTACTAAATCTGAGGAAAAAGAGTGGCTGCTCGCAGTGTAGCGGTTTACATGTTTGTTTTCATTCATCCACTTCTATTTTAGCTGAGAAATTGCATCAAACGACTATCAAGAAGCAAAAAAGTTCTAAAAAGTCGAATTTCTTCTAAAACGTGGGATTGTGATGTTTTGGGTTACAAAAAACCTTGCGGTAAATCACTTACCTCTGGAGCGTGATCTAGCCGAACAAACGTGAACCTCAAACCGCAATCCCGACGCAATGGCAAGGACCTGGTCACGTGATTTCTTGACTTTCTCGGTTCGCGGGAAAAGCCGAAAAACCTCAATCTTAAGCTCTCTAATGATCTACAGTCCGCGGAGCGAAACGCGATACTAGGACAGTGCCGGCAACGGAATAGCCTGTCCGGACGTTCAGATTGTGGGGACGGCGCAGAGAGATGTCAGAGCCGGGAAAAACAGCGAAGAGGTTACCTCTCCCTCTCTTCTTATTTCCTCTGACTTCGCGCCACATTCCCCTGACAGGCTGCAATAATCGTCAAAAATCTTGAAACACTTGTGTGCGTTTCCCCTCCCCAATGCTGACTTGGCTATTACAGTCGTCTAACTGCTCCAAAATCAGGGTTCGCACTCTGCTCAGCTTTTCAAATTCCATGACTTTCCATGACTTTTTCCATAACCTTTTCAAACCTGCCTCACTATTCTCTACCTGAACGGGGAACTTACTTTTTCACGGAATGTAAAAGCTGAGACCATTAAACCAGGGAGCTAAATATCTCAAAGTTACTGGCAAGAGCGCTTTTAAGTCATATTTTATCGATAACATTTAACAGAACCTCAGCAAAGGAAAACTTAACACTCGTTTTGAATAATTTTATATGGAATATCTATGGATTCGGAGAGGACGCAGTCGGGTTTACTGAATTTTCGCGAAGTGTGTGAAGACTTATAATAAATTCAATTGTACATAAATTGCTACAGGCTTAGAAACAAGTTTTAAAGTTTTTTGTGTTTTCTTTATTTCTTCCACCGTCATCTTGCGTCATCTCTTTCTTTTACTGAAAAGAAATAATATGAACAATTTAAGAAGAAATCACTTTAAAGAGTGAAACTGTGTGAGGGACTGTGCAATAATTATCAGGAGGGGGGCTGAAAAACTAGAGGGGGGGCATTATATAAAATTGCTGCCAAGATAGGGGGGCTCAAAGTAAAATCACTCATTCAATAATTATTGCACAGTCCCTAAAGTCATCTTCATTGAATGTCTGGTATACCCAAGGACATATAGGTAACCTGAGATCAGGCCCAATTTTAGCAGTTCTCATACATTCTCTCTTACGTGCTAAAAGCGAAACGAAAATCGAGCCCGATCTCAAGTTAACATATAGGCGGTATTCACACTAGAGACGGATTATCCGTTGAATAATTCGCGTCAAACAAATAAGGGGGGGGGGGGAGGGGATTCAAATAATACGTCTTAATTTGAAAATGGAACGGTTTTGATTTTGAATGAACAATCCGCCTAAATTTATCGACAACTGTCTATCCCTCAAATTTGCACAGATTTTGAAGATGGATTATCCCTCACGGATGACGGATAATCCGTCATTCAGTGTGAAAACAGACATAAAGTCTTACCAACATTACCGGAGCTACGCGCAGAGCAGCAGGGAAACACCGTGGGTATAATAATCTGGTAACATACAAGTACCGTAAACTTTCTTTTATAAGCTCCCTCCCCAATCATAGCCCCCTCTACAGTGGAACCTCGATATCATGAAGTGCCAAGGGACAGGCAAAATATTTCGCTATAACGAGGTTTCGTTATATGGAGGTTCTTGTCCATATATTTTACTGTTGCTCGGGTAAAGAAAATCGTTCCAGTTGTGTAGGAGCTGCTCGTAAGGTCTCTCCTGATTGGTCGCAGAAAACAATGACATGTCATTCTTTCAATTGTTTCAGTACTGTTTGGGGTCGGGAGGAGGCACCATTGGTGACTTCTCTTCCTCGGGGGCGTTCGTTATATCGGGGACTTCGTTATATAGAGGTTCGTTAAATTGAGGTTCCACTGTACCTGTAAACAACGACAACAACAAAATACTTCAGGTTACAAGCCTCATCAAGATATAAGCCCCCTCTAGCTGGTATTGAAATGAATTCGATTTTTTACGACGTCTTAAGGTTTGAAAAAGCCAGTTAGTTCAGAAACTATTTTGATCAGCACTGCTCTCTGGCTTGTTTGAAACTCGTTTTTAGTCCGTTTGTAATCCCCCAGGAAATAAGCCCCCCCTCCCCCCCCCCCGGTTTATCAGCCCTCCTAAAGCCCCCTAAGAAGTTGTGTGAGCCCAGGGCTTATAAACGTAAGTTTACGGTATATGGATGGGGAAAAAATTTGGTTATGGCGTCAGAGAACTATCCGACTTAAGGCCCCGTCCACATTATGCCGGATGAATTTGAAAACGGAACTTTCAAACCGGTTAAACCAAACCACCTGAAAAAAGATGACCTTATCTTAACGAGATTCCATCGCATTTTCTTCATGAGATAACGACAAAAGGCTATGAAGCCATCCATTTTAATTTACTCCTCCACACGTCTATGAGATTCTCCTGCCAAAAAAGGAAAACTCGGTCCCTACGATACTACTATTCTAGCTTGAAAACATATTTTAAGAAAAGTTCTCGATAAAACATTGTTATCCCTATTATTTTTTTCAAGGAAACGATGCGCATTTAAAAGAATCCAATTTATTCTTACCCTTATTAATAAAACATTAAACACAAACGCAATCTCTACAATAATACACATTGCATTAATCATACAGCTGATTAAAAGCATTACTTGCCTCTTTATTTGCTCTTCTTGTATCAAGTTGTATTGGAAGGCAAAGAAATACAACAGATTGTCAAATTTTCCATCATATTCTCTAAGAAAATCAATAAGAACAGTAATTGTTGTACGTAAGCTTATATATTGCATGGCACTTGTTATATGAAAAGAAACAATTCTTGGCATTGAAGGTCTTTGATATTAAAATTATAATTCAACCTCGTCCCCAGGGCGCTTTTCCCTGGCTTTGGAGGAGGGGCGGAAAAAGGTACCAAAGCCAGGAAAAAGCGCCCTGGGGACGAGGTTGTATTATAATTCTGCAAAATTTAGGGCCTGTTTACATTGAGGTGGGGGACCCCATGAAGGTGAGGTAACCCTTCTGTCCATGTAATCTCTCATACGGTCACCCCACCTATCACGTAAATGTGATCAAATAAAAATGAGAGATTATATGGACATGCCGGTTACCTTCCTCACCTACCTACGATCCCCCACTTGTATGTAAACAGGCCCTTAGAAGTCTTAGTTTTCACCCAGGGTGGTCATCTTGTCAGGATAGTGAAGCTTGCAAAGAGCTGTACGGTGGAAGCGATTTTATATCTTTTTCAACATCCTCGAATCAACAGCTCCTTTTGGCCAAGAAAAAAGTATGATAGCCCAGAACCAGCCTCTCTGGGAAGTAAATTTCCTGGTTTTGTAGTCAGTGGAGTTTTAATAACAGTCCACTTAATCATACTAGTTTTTACAGTACCTAATACGTACCTTAAACTAGTATTCATAATTATTTGACATTGTACTAGTGGAGTAGCATGGTATTCTCACATGAGAACTAAATCTGCATGTAATATTTCAAGTGGAACAGTCTTGCAATATTTACCTTTTCTTCTGAAAATGCCAATTTTTTTTCTGCGAGGAACAGCAGTGTAGATGGATGGTACAATCTGCATCCTAACTTAGGCTTTTTTGCAGGTACAATACTTTCGAGTAGCAGAACTTCCTTTTTGAGTCAGTGTCTACATTTGCTTTCAAGTAATACAACATTATTCTTCAAAAAAAGTCTATCGCACTCAGAATTGAAAACATCACTAGTAAGAGCAAAAACTTACGATAATGGCAATGCAGGTCATGTACCTTTTTAAAATATGTTGTTCATATTCCTTGAAGAAGTAATAAATTGCTTCAATGGTTGCTAGGCAAGTGTCTGGTTTATTCCTCTGAGGCCTAAAGAAGTCAACAATTCCATGAATCTCTAATTAGTCTACAACACATTTCTTACATTACAATAAATGCCATCAATTAAATACACTACAGACTGCATCATACTTCATGGTGATTTTATTTGTTACATAAAAATACAATTTACAATTGTATACCTCCAAAAATGTGTCACAGCACTTTCAAGTTTGACCCTTCTGAGACCATCCAATTTTTTGTCCTGGAAAGGAAAAATGCATTTTGTTTGATGGTGGCAAAGAAAGTTGTGTCTGATAGCCATGATTAGCTGATTTTATGATTGTCCACAGGGCAAGTGAAGTTTTCTGGAGCAAATTTAAACTTCAGATTAGAAGTACTGAAAGAAAAATTGCTTAAATTCCTAATAAATTCATGGGATACCAAAAGCTGTTTTTTAAAGCTGATCAAACAAAGTGAATTACAGTCAAACCTCCCACAAGCAACCATCCAAATGCAAAGACTTAGTGGTCGGTTACAAGAATCGAACCAGAGGGGGCCTTTTCCAAGAAGATGCCTGGGCACATTTACTTTATGGAAGAAAATCTTTTGCATGCAATTTCTAAGTTATGCCATTTGTAGTTCCATGTTGTCATAAAAGTTATTTGTATATTCTAAGTACTCAGCATAGTGCACACAGCGAACATAGAGATCAAACAACACACCTACATCAAGTGGTCACTTACAAGAGGTAAAAACAATTGGAAAATTATTAAACCTTCAGAGAGACTGAGAAACTGTGTTCATGTTAGCTCTTGTATTTGAGCAGCAATAATTTCACTGAGACTGGGAAACTGCTTTCAGGATAACTATTGTGTTTGATTCGAAATAATTTTGTATTGAATTGTGTTTACCTAGTACGCACCCACTCACTTCTCTCTTTATTCCTCTCAGTGTTTTACCCATAGTTGAAATACGCACCGCTCTCGATTAAGTGCCAAACCTTTAACAGGGAAAATGAAACAAGCGCCCCAGTGCTTAATTGATCATTTATGGTATTAATATTATAATGGCAGGACTTCACTGCACTACTTATAACAACACACAGTAGTTACAACTTACTTACAGTTATTATTTGATGACACTGTTGCCATGTACTGTCGATAAAAACAACTCTGTCAAACAGCGCAGTTTTGTTAGCATCTGACAGCTCTTTTTCCTGTCGGTCAAGGTCTTGACGAATCATTTTGAGGGAAACAG